TTTATATTTGTTTAGTTCAGTGAATTTGCTATAAAATTTCGGTTCCTGAAATACTTTAATATCATAGAGTATACTGAGTGGTTTTTAAATTATGGCCACGTCCATGAGGATGTCAATCTAGACGTCCAGGAACCTTCGTATGAGAACTTCTAATCGAGACGATCGACTTATTGTAAGTTTATCGCTAAGAAACCGCCGTTTACCAGCTGTTCAAATTTATAATGAATTGCACCTAAGGAACGTACATATTAACTAAGGGACTATAAAAAGAAGACTAAATGAACCAAATCTGATGTCAAGAAGGCCTGCTTCGGGATCAGAACTTACTAGATCTGTTGACTAGGGAGGACCAAAAGCAACGGCATGGTCTTAATGTAAAAATTACGAAAAAATTTTAGTGTCTTCTTCAAAAGCGAATATCTCCAACAAAAATAAAGCTAATGAGATGAACCAAAAAACAAACTATCCAGAAAGGATTATCTAGATGATAAAATGATTTTTAAATTTCTTGCTGTTTTAACATATTCCACAGGGTGTTTCAAACTTTCACCAAAATATCAACATTTTGTTTTCCCTCGTATAATTAACAGATAGGGAGTTTCACTTTTAATTTAGAAAGAGATACCAAAAAATCAAATAATTTAGCTACATACTACCTAAAAAAATCATCAAAATCGGCCCACTAGAACAAAATATATTAAACTTTAAAATACATCAAAATTTTGAGGTGCCCATTTTTCATGCCGGTGAATGTATTTCAAAAACTATACGTTTTAGTCATATACTTTTCTAAAAAAAAACCCGAAACTCGCCTTTATTTTTTACTAGAATCCGAAAATCAATTAATATATAGGGGGTATATTCCATTACAAAAAACGCAATTTTGATGTGTAACTTTTTTTGGGGACACCCTGACGAACTTTATATAATTTTAGAAAATGCTTTAAATTGACTTACATAAGCCCACAAAATTTCACTTCAATACAAACTTTTGTTCTCCTTGGAAAAACCGCGTCGTATATGACGCGCCACCCTGTATAATTTGATTTCAATCAAAATTTCAATGATTAGATTTTAAGCAGAATAGGTATAGCTTACGCATTAGATTCGTTTATTTCAATAAATTTACTTAGAAAAAAAACTAAAATAATCAAAAAATTAAGAAGGAAACAATCTACAATTGGAAGATTGTATTTTAGTTTATAATCATCTGCTGATAATGCTAACATGGTTAGCGAAACGCGCGTCCGGTGTAAAAGTAAAAGTGTTTTGGTGTATTGTGGTGATTTAGTGTTTTATTTTGCTACAAAATCTATTATCAATTTTCTTCTAAAGAAACGTAACAATAACTCAAAAAAGAACAAATAAAATTAAACTAATTAGTCTATTGTAACTAATATAAGCTATTAAAGTTCAATCGCACCGATAAAACTGTTTTTATGTAACAATTTCCGTAACAATCACAGAAATATTTCGATAATTAGTATTTAATAAATAAATAACAAAACCCACCAGTCCGAGGCTGTTATCCAAGCTTTCTTATTCTTATCGTACACCGCCTGATAAGAACTTTAGTTTCCTCGATACCAATTATTGTCTTCATGTCTTTTGAGCTTCAGTCTATTGCCAACCATGACTTAAAGCCGTTGACTGATTACTGATTTATTTATAATAAATAAAAATTAACATTTAATCAACGCGTTTTTTAATGTGCGACATTTTAGTGATCGTGCTCGGTAGATTATTTGGGGTGCTATCAAAACGTGTGATAAAATTTAAATTATGTGGAAAAGTCTGCCGACAATTTGGGTTGGGGATCATCGTGAAAAATCACTGGACGATTCAGATGATGAGGATGCAAAATATTCGGTGTACTCAGGTATATTGTTAAATAAATTTGGATGGGAATTAATAATCAATGGCATTAATTTGTAATTATATAGGGTGCGTTTTAAATAACTGCACATATGCTTTATTTCGGAGGTACAGGGTGTAGAAGTTTCATTTTTATTTCGATTTTTTCCAACTGAACTAATATAAGCTATTTGGATGAAAATTGGTGAGTGTTTTTTGACATAAGAAATTTGATTTTGATTTCAATATGACTCTTACTTGTAGGGGGCGCCCCCTACATGTTTTTAACTGGTTTGAAGATTAATAACTTTTGGTCTGTACCTGTATAAAACTGCTAAGTGAAAAAATATAAAGTTCCGCTGTTTTTACGTAAATAAGGTCTCTTGGTAAAAATCGTTACGAGTAATGGTTCTCAGGATATTTGGAATTGAAATAACCAATACATGTCATAATTGACACAAATTATACATGTTGACTGGATTATTACATTAGTCTGAAATAATAATTTTGGAATGTTTTTGTGTCAAAGATTCAACAGAAACCGTTTTATCGTATTTTTTTCATAGGAAGATACATGATTAGTTTAAAAAAATAAAAAGCTCCCAAATGTATCGTTTCAGTCAAATAACTATCTACTCAACATGTTTATTTTTTGTCAATAATGACATGTATTGGCTATTTCCATTCTAAATATCTTGAGAATGGTTGCTTTTAGCGATTTTTACCAAGAGACATTTTTTACGTAAAAAATCACGGAAATGTATATTTTTTCACTCGGTAGTTTTATACAGGTACGAATGAGAAATTATTACTGTTCAAATCAGTTATTCAAAGCGCCCCCTACAAGTAGGAGTCATATTGACATCGAAATCGAATTTATAATGTCACAAAATACCCAGACACCAATTTTCATCCAAATATTGACGTTAGCTCAGAAATTATTTCGAAAAATCGAAATTAAAATGAAATTTCTACACCCTGTATCTCCGAAAATCAGCATTTTAGGTATACGAACTTTTTAACTTATTTTTGTCCGGCAGAATATGCTGCCGAAGTGTCCCGAAAACAATTGGGACCACCCTGTATACAAAAAAAATATTATTTATTACTCCGACAATTTCAAAGAAATATATATTATTTATAAACGTTTTAATAATATTGATAAAGGAACTATATGGGTGGTTTTATTCATATTCACTTTTCAAATGAAAGACTTCAATTGTAACTTAATTTCTTTATGATAAAGAAAATATCAATGAATTAATCTTTGTCATTTTTAACGTTATCGTTTATAATGCATATTCGTTTACGTAAAATATACAAAAGTTTTTTTCCAGAATAATAATATTAAATAATCATTTATACAGGGTGGTCCGAACTGTATTCCGGAAACTTCGGCAGCATATTCTGCAGATAAAAATAAGCAAAAAAGTTCGTATAAATGTTTGTCCTAAAATGCTTACTTTCAGAGATACAGGGTGTAGAAGTTTCATTTTTATTTCGATTTTTTCTAAATAACTTCTGAAGTAACGTCAATATTTCGATGAAAATTGGTGTCTGGGAGTTTTTTGACATGAGAAATTTGATTTTGGTGTCAATATGACTCCTACTAGTAGAGGGCGCCACCTACAGGTGTTTTAACTGTTTTGAAGCGTAATAACATTTTGTCCGTACGGTAGTTATACAACCGAGAGAAAGAATATACATTTCTGTGACTTTTTACGTAAAAAATATCTCTGTGTAAAAATCGCTACGAGCAACCGTTTTTAAGATATTTAGTATGGAAATAGACAATACATGTCATTATTGACGAAAAATAAAAAGTTGAGTAAATAGTTATTTCACGGAAATAATAAATTTGTGAAACATTTTTTTTTAATTAACCATAAATCTTTCTGCAAAAAATGATGATATAACAGTTTCTATTAAACTTATGGCACAAAAACATATCAAATTTATGATTTCAGTCTAATAACTATTTAGTCAACATGTTTAATTTATGTTAATGATGACAGGTATTGATAATTTGGATTCCAAATATCTCGGAAACCATGACTCGTAGCGATTTTTACCAAGAAACCGTTTTCACGTAAAAAACGTCGTAAATGTACTTTTTTTTACTCGTAATTTTTATACAAGTACGGACGAAAAGTTATTACGCTTCAAACCAGTTAAGAAATATGTAGGTGGCGCCCTCTACAAGTAGCAGTCATATGGACATCAAAAATCAAATTTATCATGTCAAAAAACTTCCAGACACCAATTTTCATTAAAATATTGACGTTACTTCAGAAATTATTTGGAAAAAATCAAAATAAAAATGAAATTTCTACACCCTGTATCTCCGAAACTAAGCATTTTAGGACATAGATTTATACGAACTTTTTTACTTATTTTTATCTGCAAAATATGCTGCCGAAGTTCCCGGAATACAGTTCGGACCACCCTGTATATAAAACGTATTAATGCTGAAATCTTTAGTGGACTATTCCACGCTTATCTGCACTTAGCTCTGTCTCAAATAAATGTCTCACCTTGTATGTAGTCTCAGTAGTTTACAGTGCTACGTATAACTTACGTAGTCTTAAGATGATAGAATTCCACTAAGTGCATTTCTAAAATAAATCTAATAAAATAAATATATATTAAAAATGTTTCAGTACCTATTTTTGTACATCACGGAACTATCCTGTAATATTAACAAACTGTTTTATGAATCAGCCTATGTTTGCTAAATATTACACTGGATTTCAGGAAGTAAGCTTCATTCTTTTGCCAAACAATATACACACGTATAACATGTGTTTATGTGAGAGTGTTCCAGATTATGCATCATACAAATATACTATTGAATTTCATAGTATAATGCTTTCATATATTTTGCCATAATATGTATATTTCGCATTTATGTGACTTTTAAAGAGTTTTAAAAAGCTTTAAAGAGTTTCTATATGTTTCTAACTATTTTCTTGTTTACTATAATCATTGTTTTGTGTATTGCTTTAGTATATTTAAAGAAGGGATAGCCATACATTATATGGGCAACATATCTGTACGATACAGTTTATGAGTCTCCTTAGTTAGAATTTCCGGAAGATATAATAGCAGTAGACGCATCTCTCTAGTTTCATTGTCTTTTGTTTCAGGCACGCTGTCAAGACAACACCACGCCAACATGGATGACATTCTCATAGTGTCGGCCAAAGATAGCGAACCTGCTAATCTGTGGGTCGATTATTTCACCACCTGGTTTCAACAAGTGGGCAAATCAGCCAATAGAAAAGCATTCAAGTACGTATTTAATCTATAGAAATAAAAACAACGAATTGCATCAAAAGTTTTCTTAAAATTCTTACATTTCCTACAACCTTTAAGGGATATTAATAGTTATTTTTTATACAAGACGATAAAATGGTATTTTATCGTCGACCGAAAAGATTAATTCACGAGCGATGAAATCGCGAGTGAATTCATTTCGGGGGGCGATAATGCAATTTTATCGTCGTGTATAAAACAATATTTTTTTCCATAGCGAGTTACGTTTTAAAAAATATTCAGAAATTATTATTTGAAGGAATTTATTACGAGTAGAAAAAATATTGTGCTGGGTTGGCGTTGGTTTCTATGTAATTTGTCAAATAAATAAAGCTGTCTCTTTAGTTGTCAGTTTTGAGTCAATATTTTTTAATTCTCTTGCGTGTCGATTGCTGATTGAATTGGAACCAGAAATGGCTTAAAACGAAATAAGTAAATTACCAACAGATATTCAGGCTGAGGCGACAAACGCCATATCCAAACTACTTCCATTTAAATCCCGAATAACTTAAGAAAATGAATACAACATTTTTCGAAAATCAAATCAATTAAAAAACGTGCGAGAAGAAGTAAAGTTTTTAACCTATCCTCGCTGTTAAATTATCATTTAAGCTACCCTTACGACATGGATATAAGCCTTATTTTAACTATTGCTATGGAAAACATGTTATTGATTCTACTGAACTTTTGTTTTCAGAATTCAAAAACTTTTCTTGGAAGACGCACTGACGTCGAAAATTGAAGACCAAAAATTCATAGATGGCGCTACTGGCGTCAAGTTACAGCTTGTAGTCGTTTGTCCAGTGTTTCTGGATTTCATTTCCGAACATCCGGATGAAGTTAGCAACTTAATCAAAGTTTTGCTGCCAGATAGAACTCTAGCTCTTCTTTTAGGAGTTACTGATGATGATTTGAACGAAGCTCATAAGAAAGGTGAGTAAATTTTCAAAAAGTTTTTTACTTTCTTTAATAATACGTTTTAATATTTTGCAGCACTGCCATCTTATTTTCAATGGCAAAGGCAAACTGTCGGTCAAGACCAAGACGAAGCTTTCACCAAGGAATTTCTGGATCACGCCATGAGTATTCTGGCGAAGATATGGAAACAGCAAAGTTCAGTCATAGCACAGGAGAAAGCTTGTTTCTCGGTCACACCAAAGAAAATTAGACAGGTAGGTTTTATTTTTACGTGAGGAATCTCCCCACGAAAGATGGCACATGTTTTTTGAGACACCGTGTATAATTTTCTCTGTTGCAGGGTCAAACGAGTGTATTCATCTTTTTGACCCACCCCCTGCAAAAGGAGGACATTGTGAAAATATCGGTGGAGCGCAACGGCGAGCTGCAGGAGGTGAAATCGATGAAAAAGCGCAACCCGTACATGGTGAAGATCAGCGTGCCGGAAAATCTGACCGACGTCACCGCCATCGTCAATATCCTGGTGGAGAAGAACGGCAACATCATCGGCAGCCGGCCCATCAAGTGCGAGAGCAAGCTGAAAGAGCTGGAACAGATACTGCGGTCGACGACCAATCCCGTCGACTTTATGTGTCAGGTAAAAAATGTCCAATTAGTTTAATAAATAAAATAAGAAGTAAAGGCTCTCTGATTCCCAGACCTCTTAAGGTATTCAGAGTTTTATATAACTGTTATTGCCAAATAACAGTTAAAAGTGTTACTGTTCTTTAAAAGTAACTGTTTAAAATAACAGATTTATGTTATTTATTGACAAAACTGTTATACCTAAATAACAGTTGGAAATAACTGTTATTTATAAAACTAAGACATAAAAGAATTACTGTTATTTATAAACTAACGTTTTTTTTCTGATATTTGTTGATTTTATTGTTAAACAGTTTAAATATAAAAAAGAAACGAGTGTATTTCTATCACCTGACTATCTATACCGGGTGCGTCTCAAAAATGGCTCACCCCTATACCTTTTTATTTTTCCAGATTTGGTATGTTAGTATATGACATAAATAAGGATTGATTGACGTATTCAATTGTTTTTCGTCACTTCCTGTTTCACCGGAAATGACTACAACTTTTGATTTTTAAATGGCACCCTCGGTATATTTTTACTTTATTGGATAGAAAATGATACTCTGAATAGAATAACATACCATATGTCAACTTTTGACGTTTTCGCTTTTAAAAAATCCTATTTTAAATTTCATTCTAGAGTGCCATGGCTGTGCTAAAACACTAATTTTGAATCAAGGAGCCTTGAAAAAATAGGTTTGATCGTCTATTATTTTTCGTGTCTTGTCCTGGCCGGTTAAAAGATGCCCAAATCGTATTTTTAATCATATCTCATTTTTTGAAATGGAACAAGGGTGGCTTGTTAGCATATTTGAAAAAAGCATTTTTTTTACGAATAATTTGGTACCACACACTTGGTACTTCGAGTCAAATTGTCGTTATGAATCGCATGTTACAAATTCAAATAAACCATACGCAAAAATGTCAAAAGTTCACATATGATATGTCATTCTATTCAAAGTACCATTTTCTATTGAACAAAGTAAAAAAATACCGAGGATGTCATTAAAAAATCAAAAGTTGTAGTCATTTCCGGTGAAACATGAAGTGACCAAAAACAATTGAATACGTCAATCAATCCTATTTTATGTCATGGACTAACATACCAAATTTATTTTTTTATCTGAAAAAATTAAAAAGTCATAGGGGGTGAGCCACTTTTTGAGGCGCATCCGCTATATTCTATATTTATTTATAAACAATCATTTGATGTTCATTGTGAACGAATATCTACTTACAATTCTCTAATAACATAGATAAGAATAAAATAGGAATAAAAAGATAAAAAGACTAACTCCGCAATAACCGGGATCCATAACAGTTATAACTGATATATCAAAAAAGCTGTTGTTGTTTTGTTTACGCCTTCCAAATCAAAATTTATTAGCAAATCGATTACTACAAAACCTTGTTAAATTTCCTGTTCCATCACGTCTTCACATCATTTTCATATCTGTTATATTTATGAAGTAACAATAACTGTTGCATGCTTAGTAGAATTTCGTGGCGCGGTGATTCGGGCTCCTATTACGAGAAATTCCTATCAGAACACTGTTATTTTGATATCTGTTGCCAACTGTTACTTATAAATAACAGTTACTAAATTAACAGACCTTTAAGTGAAATAAACCGTTTCTGACTTTCAATAGCAGCTAGTTTAGGGTTTAAGTCCCATTATTAGGCACTTTACTTTTTCAATTACCATGAAAACTCCTTTTGGTGTACAGTGGAAACCTAAAAAATACTATTGATTAACTTAGCATAATACATATTTATTTTGTAAACTTTGATAAGGATAATACAAACAGAAGATTTGGACCTAATAAATGTAAATTTTACTTTGAGGTCTATATTTTTTTAGTTTATATTTGAAGGGTAAAAGAAAAAAACAGACGATGTCACAAAACTGACTTTTACAGAGAAAAATTTTCATGTTGCTGAATATCATGTTAAAGATACAAAAAAATTATCAGTGTATGCAATATTATTTGGACATCGTTTATTATAATTAACTACAATTTAGCATGGTTCTACAGATGAAGGATATAATGGTGTTTGGGACTTGATATTCTCAACAGATTAAGTTGATTACTTAAAAATTCCTATAAAATATGGATATCGTTGTTTTTTTTCACTGGCCCTCCATTTGTTATTAATGGATAATTTTATGGAACATATTTATTTATCTTTCGAAATACTTGTTTTTTTTTCTAGGTCTAAAACAAACAACAATTATATTAAAAAAATAAATTATCAGTTGTATATTTCCTCACGTTCGATTTTAAGTTCGGTTTCCAGCAAAAAAAAATCCTGAAAGTCAACAAACAACATTGTGGAAATCGACTTTCGCGAAAATATACAGAATTTCATTAGTACGTGATTACGATTTCCGCAGCACAAACATCGTTTACCGCCTCTTCAGGGAGTTAAATCAACAATTCAACTCTAATGAGTTTAGTTCATTCAAGTGCCATTTTTCTGTTTCGTTTTGTATTAGTATTAGAATAATAAAGACTTGGGCTTAAAAATTATTTTTCTAATATTAATCATAACACAAAAAAACTATGCTGTAACAATTTAAGATTTTTTTATTTATACAAGTTGGCCTTCTGTTTCAAAAAAGATTTTAAATATTAACGAACTTCTATTTTTTTAATTTCCAGACCCTTGGATTCAGTCCAGCAGATCGCGAACACTTGGACAGCTGGTTGGTGCACAATTTCCAAAAAAACTTACCGCCAAATTTCAATCTTCTATCCAATAACACCACCCCCTTCGCTGCTGCAGTCCAAGTCCATAAACACAGTAAGTTATTAATCATTATAGTTAATTAATACAGTTCATACCAAATAAATTTTTAGTCGCGTGATTAACCTTGACCGGCACAGCCTTGCCTACTTTTATATATTTTCTTTTAATCAAAATATTTTCGGAAACAAAAATAAATTAATTCTAAATATTTAAACAGTTATGATTTACATCAACAAAACTCACCTTCTTAACTGCACTTAAGCGGTAGCAATGAAGTGCCATTACTACCGCTTTCCCGTTCAAAATAGTCTAATAAAGTTGCGATGAGTTCTTTACGGCTATTAAGCTATCTTGTACACTTCGCACTAAAGGAGGTTCTAAAAAGAACAATATTCTACTGCAAGGTCTGCTAGTAAACAATTTTAAACTTAAACTATCACAACATTATTTATTTAAACCAATAAAACTCGTAATACAAAACTAAAGTGTCAAAACGAATGACAATGTCAGGAAATAAATAAATAAAACGGCAACTTGACATTTTTTACAACAGGGTTTCCACTTGAATCCCCCATGGTGAATATCTCCATGGTTGGCAACAATGAATTTAAAAATCACGCCCTCGATTACGTAACTAAAAGTTTAATTGGTATCAAATACAGATCCTGATTGAATATGTTTTTATTGCGTTTAGGTAATGAAGAATTCCCATCTTTGTTACATTTTGCTGCCAGGTTCGGTCTGGAAAAGTTAGCCGTCCTGTTGCTCGACTGTCCAGGCGCCGATGTGGCTTACGAAGTTAAAAATGTCTTCGATATGACACCTCCCGAAATAGCTGACGCAAATGGACACCACGAACTCTCCAACATGTTTAGGGGTTATATTAAAATGAACGAAGTGAGCACTACGTATGCTAAGTTAAAGGAAATTAGGAAATGTGAAAAAGGTAAGAAAATTTGATAACCTTTTGTAAAAGACAATACTATTTCTGGAGCTTATTCGACCAGGTCTGCTCCGTTGGGGGGTTTTCAAAGGAATGCACATTTTTTATTTTAATAGTGGACAATAATAGTTATTTTTTATAAAAGATGATAAAATGGTATTTTATCGTCGACCGAAACGATTAATTCACGAGCGATGAAATCGCGAGTGAATTAATTTCGGGAGACGATAATGCAATTTTATCGTTGTGTATAAAACAATATTTTTTTCCACAGCGAGTTACGTTTTAAAAAATATTCAGAAATTATTATTTCAAGGAATTTATTACGAGTAGAAAAAATAAAAAATATTGTGCTGGGTTGGCGTTGGTTTCTATGTAATTTGACAAATAAATAAAGCTGTCTCTTTAGTTGTCAGTTTTGAGTCAATATTTATTAATTCTCTTTCGTGCCGATTGCTGATTGAATTGGAGCCAGAAATGGCTCAAAACGAAATAAGTAAATTACCAACAGATATTCAGGCCGAGGCGACAAACGCCATATCCAAACTACTTCCATTTAAATCCCGAATAACTTATGAAAAGGAATACAAAAATTTTCAAAAATGGAAACAATTAAAAAACGTGCGAGAAGAAATAAAGTTTTTAACCTATCCTCGCTGTTAAAGTATCATTTAATCTACCCTTGCGGTTAAAGTACTATTTTATCTACTATTTTTGATAGATATAATGGATATAAGGCAATTTTAACAGTTGCTATGGAAAAAAATATTACTGTAAGGAATTTATTTTCCTTTATTTTTATAAGTTTTGTACGTTTTATTATTAATAAACACAGATATCTATTTTATTTGATACAGATGATGAAGGATACTTGAAACCAAACGAAATAGTGGAACAGTTCTACAAAATGTGTCCGCCACCTCGTCCAGTAAACCCGGAGTTAACCCGGATTTCTCCAACTCCGGTCACGCCATCTAGCGAATGTGGAAGCTCTCTGTACTTAGCTATGGATCGAACAGGTATTTTCTATTTATTTATTTACTCCTAGAAACTTATATAACAAATATATTTGTGTAATTTTTGTTAACAATCAGTTAAAACATTGACATTTTTTACACAAAAAGCTACTGCCTAGCTACTGATTGTTGTCCTTAGTTTTGAAGTTGTCGGACTTCAGTGTTAATTAGTTTTTACTATCACTGTGCTATAGATTGTTCAGCCATCCTTCAAAATCACGTCATATATTTTGTCGAACTCTCTCAATCACTTGCCAACCAGATGAAAGAGATTGGTGACGTCATTACGGCATTTCGTAAATAACTGCATATTCGTTTGACGTTTGATTTGGGGTTATAGTTTTATTGGCGGACATCGGTTAGTGTCAAAATTAAAGTTTGATTGTGCAAACATACGTGCTTTGATTAAGGTTTGCAGAGCTTCAGCATTTGCCATAAAATAGCGAGCAATTTGTTACAAAACCATATAAATTATATATCACCGTAATCACAAAACTTCAATCTATTTCCGTATTGTAACGGAATTTTAAATTATGTTTTTATTTTCGAGAAAATTTAGTCCAAACATAAGGAATATTTTGTTGATGTTTGACCATCAAAATCTTAAAAATATAGAAGTTGTATAAAAATGTGCTACAATACGGATATAGTATAATCCTTTATCTTTAATTTCCTTCTTCATTTGTGTAAAAATACCTAGCCAGTTTTACATAAAACGTTAAATGCCGAACGCTTATTTTGCTACTTTTTCGGACTAATGAAATGGACTCTTAATAACAACAAGACTTTCATTATCAAAATTTATTTTTTACAGCCATTGCCTTATCTCGGGAAGACCTACGCAAGAAAACCGAAGACTCCGAACCCAAAAAACCTCCAAGCACTCATCATCACTCGCGAGATCCCTCACCCAAACCGAAAAAAAACAAACCAAAAATCGAATTTGTAGAGGACAAGGTCCAAAAGGAACTGGCCGAGATCCTTATGGACTTCAAAAACAACGTCCACTCCCTGGCCCAAGTGGAGAAACTGGTGGAGGACTGGGAGAACAGGAACGACGTGCAAAAATCGTACAAGGAAAAGATGGAACAGTTGTCTGAAATGAGACAGCGGTACGAGAAAATCCAGCACGAAATGAAGGCGGGAATGAAGAAGAATTCGCCCTTCGAAAGGTTCAGGAGGTTGTTCTCTAAGGGACACAAACACGAGGAAAAGTCCGAAGAGATGACGACGATGGCGGTGATTTCGGCTCCGGCTTTGGCGCTGAACCAGAGCGCTAGGCCTATCAGTAGTTTGAGTACTTCGTCGAGCGGGTCCAGCGGGAGGATGAGTACTATCAGTGGATGTAGCGTGGGAGATAGTGGAACTCATTCTGATAATGAAGAACGAAAGGTAAGAATAATTTGGTAGGAACCTATATTTCAAGAACGGGTGAACTACCCAGACACGATTATTGCATTTTTCATTTTTTGATCAAAAATAACCATTTTTAGTAGTAATTTTAAATAGGAAAACATCCGGATTATGTATCGAATAGGTACTATTTGACACATATTTGACGTTACAGAGATATACAGGGTGTCCCAGGCTGAGCGTGCATTAGAAGTTTCTAGAGAACTACAACATCTAGCTCAGAGATTTTTTACACATCATAGTTTCACAACGAGATCTATCGATTAAAAATATTTTCAATATGGCGGCACTTCCGGAAATACCGGAAGTTGACAGCAACTTTCTTATTTTAAATGGGTGCCCCCATTTTTTATTACATACTTAAATTCTCTGTAAAATTTTATGAATTTTGATATTAAACACCTTATATCTAACATTGACCGTTTTTGAGAAAAAAAATATTTAAAATTTTTGAACGAAAAAAACTGCCTATCAAAAATATGTGTATAGCCTAAACATCAAATTTAGTGATTACCACAGCCACTGTGCCAAAAAGAGAAAACATGTGGCTATCTATTTCAAAAATTAAATAGTTCAGATGTCATATAATCATGGAGGTAGCTGTCATGGAATTGAGCGATTAAAAAATTATCATAAATCATTTTTTTCAAATGGAAACCCACTTTTTTATTTCACTAGTGAAAAGGCTTTTCAATTCGTTATTTTTCGACTATACATGTTCCTATACCTAAAACAAATCGTTTTTAAGTTATTGTGCCAAAAGTTTAACAGAAACTGTTTTATCATCATTTTTTCGAAGAAAAAGTTTCCGGAATGCAGTTCGGACCACCCTGTATACTATAACATTCCTAATTACTTAATAAACGTTGAATATAGTACTATTTACTATTATTTATAATTTCTTTTCTTCTCAGCTTATGCTTACCAACAGTCAGAACGATGGAGAGTTTTTGAAAGAAGAACTGAGTAGGTGTATGATCGAAATGAACTACACCCCCGTGCCTATACCTAAACCAGTCAAGTTTTCGGTGATGCGTCATTTTGAAACCATAGAAGAAAACAAGCCTAGCATCAGGCCCGATAGCCTACCATTAGGCAACGATCAATTTTACATACAGTTTCCACCAAATGGGCAACCTGTCGCTGGTGAGTATACCCTGCTGGCAAGCGAAACCTTGGGTCGGTGTTTACATGTATAGGAGTGAGTCGTTATGGCAATCTAGTAGTCGGAGAGAACAAAAATACGAAGCATTTATTACATAACCATTTAATCTGACGCTAGGTTCTATGCGCTTGGGAAAATACTTGCCTTCTGTCTTTATTCAGTACATCTTATTTTGCTAAGCGTGTTGACTGTCCTCTTCGTACACACGAAAATCGGCACCCAAGACCAGCAGTGGGATTCTGTAAGCTCCGTAGCAAGAAATTTCCTGTCTAGCCTATGCTATTTGTATACGATCGATGAGTCACTAGACAGGAAATATGTTTACAGAATCGCTAGCCAGAAATGCCAGCCCTAGTATAATCATATCTGACATTAACAAACATAGACATATTTCACTAAAAAATTGCTTCATTCTTTTATTTTTTTTTTTTTAATTATGGGGAGAAGATTTGAGATTAATTTGACTTTGATTACTTTGACTAGAAAAAATTCAACTACGTTTTCATGTTTCTTTTTCATTTTTTTTTTCTAAAACGGTATAAAAATTTGGAACAGCATAAAAACGGAGTTAACCATTTTAGGACAAGCAAAAATGTTTATGAAGAATGCATTTTTCTCAAAATCTCAATAATAAAAAGTGTTTCATTCTCTTGTAAAGACAATCCGGAGACATACTGTAGATAAACAATTTTTTCTACAAACGTCGGTAAAAATGTAATTTTTAACGCATGCTGTCAGTGCCTAAAATGTGACATAATGTCACTGATGGTAAAAGTAATTTACTTTTAGCACTGGTTACACTTTAGCACACCTCACAAAATAAAATACAACTTTTAGCACTTATATCATAATTATATTATAATAGTTATTTATGATATAATAAGTGCTAAAAGTGGTATTTTATTTTGTGAGAAGGTAAGCTTTCGAACAAAATAAAATCACTTTTAGCACACATATCATACACTATTTTTTCTGCAAACAAGTTTATACTCGTATATATCAAAATGTATTATTACTTTTTACGTTAATGAATAATTCATAATATATGTCATTCTGAAATCAAATTAATTATGAAGTTTATGGTTGCTAGGGTAATTGTTGTCGCTTCAGTGTTAAAAGTAAATCACGTGACTTAATTTTACCACCAGTGCTAAAAGCAAATGACTTTTATTTACCATCAGTGACATATGTCACATTTTAGGTACTGACAGCATGCGTTAAAAATTACATTTTTACTGACGTTTGTAGAAAAACAATTTTATCTTATTTTATCGAATTTTTGTTTTATCTTCCAGGTTTCACCGATGGGAATACAAAAAGCCCACTGGACAGTCCCAAAAACTCCTATATGAACTTTCCGGCAGGTCAGAGTACTCACGAGTACATAAACTACAAAGTTCCGCCGTCGTCTTGATAATAAGACTTGTATAAACTGAAAAGCATAATAATATCGTGGATCTCAGTTAAAAACCGTATTTTTTCTATCCCAAAGAATGCCTAGAAATATCTACAACGACTTCAACATTGAAAAAACAACTTACCTAATTACCAGTTTCTGTTTTCTGAAATTGTTAATTATTTTCTACGAATATACAGGGTGTTTCAGGGAAAAACACGAATGATAACGATTTTTTTTTCAACATACCATATTTATTTAAGAAATACAAACTTTTTCTTTTGATATAAATAACACAAACACTTTTCGAGACACCCGGTATATGCATTTATATATTTATCGATGTTTTGTGTTAAAAATGTTTTAATTGTTAAATTATATACGATATAAGTACCTTATTTATTTATTTGTAATGTGTGTAACGCATTATTATAATTGACTTTTTTATATTTTGTACATTTTTCTAAAATAAACTTTGTGTTGTAAATTATAATAATATGCTGTGTTTTATTTTTATTATTTCTTAAGAATATATGGGCGTAAATTTCTTTAACCCATATTTTATAATCGATAATAACAATGTTATTAATAAGAAAAAAATCCCAGCGATTTTCAAACTGGTTTGATATGTAGCTCTAAGCAAAACAATAAAAAATCGCATTTTAAAAATTGCAATTAGGGGTTTACCGCCTTGCTAAAATACGGTAAACCGAATATAATTTTAGTTCATGTTATTAAAAAGTTATTAACAAATAACAGTGGCATATTTTATAAAAATTGGAAGCCTCTATTTAGTTGAAAACAACAAAACGTGATTTAAAACGTAATAAAAACTTTTAACAAGTGAAACAATAATTAAATTAGTGCATTCGGCAAACTTGGCGATATGAGTCTAAGTGTAATTCTAGGATTCAATTAACCAAGGCGAATTTCTTTAACAAAACTGGCTCCTGGGGATTTATATTCTTCAGTTGTGCTCGTTTAGTTGAAACGAAAGGTCGAAAAAAGCAACGAATATAAACATGGGTATGTGCAAAACACCTAGATTGCTTAATTCGTTTCAATTTATTTCATTATACTTTAATTCTAGCGAAAGTTTGCATGATTATCTTGGTTCTTTTGGTAGCTACAAGCGTTGTTATGGGTCTCGACAGTAAGTATTTAATTTATTATTTTAAGGGAGAAATATGTAAAGAGTTTGCGATCTCACAATGATAAACTTTTTTTTATATTTGTCTAGTAGTTCAGGAGCTGGGAGTAAAATGAAATGCCTGATAAGTTACCAGAGATTTGATGCTGAAATTATAAGTAAATATAAAACCCCTCGTCTGCCGAGTCTTCGTGTTTACCGTTGCGTTATACAGGTTGTCCCATTTTAGTTGAAATCATACAGTATCTCCGTTATCAGTGAAGATAGGAAAATGCGATTTGCACAAACCTGTTCCACTTTTTTGTCAAACGGAAGATGCTGTAAACAAAATTTTCATAGCCCTTTTTTTTTGGTACACCCCCCGTATCTCTGTTATTTTTAAAGGTATCGAGAAGGTGAAAACTGTTTCTTGTAGACCTTTTAACGTAGAATACAGTGGCGTAGTCTGTTTTTCTACGAAAAAATAAAAATTTTGAAAATATGAACTGAAGTTATGTTTACCTAAATAGAACATCCTGTATTTTTAAAAATAATTTGATCAGGCTTGATATGCGTTTCTCAAAAATATGTCCATCCCAAAGATGTCAGTCAACATTGTCCGTCAATTAATTGGTTCAAAGTTATATGATACCTTAGAAAAACTTGCTATCTACAAAATAAAATAATTATTTTGTGTAAACACTGCTGGCGTTAATCCAACAGAGACCAACTTTCGGGAAGTATATCTCTTCCCGTCGTCGGAAGCAAAAAACACAAAGAACAAAGAAAAAACTATTTAAACCCACATAGCAATGAAAGCATATTCATATCTATAGCATATACCTAGCATGTGCGTGAACTTATATCCTTATACTTATATTCTGAGCATGTTCCAAGAATAAATGGACATGTGCCACCTATATTCTTTAAAGTATATTCTTCTGCATATATTCTTATCATATGCTAAGAATATTTAGCTATATACTTCAATATACTTTGCTGGATATGTACAACAACTCGGTCCTCCTGCTCAAAACATCGCATATTTTGGCTATTTTATCCGAAAAATAGGCGATTGTGTAGGCGATATTCTGAAATTCAACCATGGTTCCAAACCGTGCGCGTCTTCAGCGGAGTTCAGCGCCTTCTGGCCGCGGCTCTTCGAAGCTGCAACACGACTAATACGAAACAGTGTTGCCAATTTAGTATAATTATTGTAGATTTACTACGTTTTGGATATGTTTACGTTAATTTTTGTATATTTTAGTTAATGGAACATGGGTTTTTGTTTTATTTTTAAAAATTATCTAGTACGTTTTTATGAAATAAAGTACATTTCATAGGTAATGATCTTGTTTAGTAAGTTAGATAAAATAATTCTGGCAACGCTGTCTACCGACTCGCCGCCGTCGCCGCCAATGCCGCCTATGTTCACAGAATATGCTATATGTATAAAAACAAGAATATTCTCTGCATATTTTAAAATATTCTTAGAACATTCTTAAGCCAAGTGCATAGCACATACTACTTGCGGCCAAAAAGTTATGCTGAGCACACATGCTCAGAACATATTTCCAATATCCTTATACCAAAAATGTTTATTCTGAGCACCTGCTAAGTATATTATTTTGCTATGTGGGAAGTATCTAAATACAACTATATTCAAGAACCCTTTAGGTTTTTCAACAGATACGTAGTCTAACAGCAATTTTCTTTGGAAGATACCTATTTCCTACTTTCACATACAAAAAATATTGAATTGTATCTTTCGGAGACTAATGTTCATACAGAATACAGAAAGGATATTTACAGTGCTTCTATTCTGTGGCTTATATGGCTTATAGGCAACGCAAGTTGTAGTGAAGTACAGAAAAGGCACAATTATCTCTATACTCTTTAGCCGAGGCAAACCTGGCTATTTATTGTTACCATTCAGGATGCTTTCCATACCTGTGTGCCATTGTTTCTTTGGTGTGTACGGGCCTTTAATGGGTATCGTACAAGAGATGCGCAAACAAATTGCGCAGATTTGCTCTTATGCAACTCTATAATACGTGACGAGATCGCAAACTTTTCAGACTACCCTTATATATGTATGTAAATAAAACTATTACAATATTTCTCTAATTAGATAACTGCCCATTATCAAGTAAGATGACCTCATGCTCTCCCAAATGCAAGGACGATTCCGAATGCTTTGGTAGAAAATGCTGTCCAAACGTTTGCAATGCTAAATCCTGCGTACCCGAGCATTTACGCGATTCCAACAAATCTGACGGCTATAAAAATCAAAACGCCAGTAATAAAATTGAAAAAAGCTGATTTTAGTTAATTTTAAAAAACGTTTTTTTTACAGAATCTGCTACAGGAAGCTACTGTGGTAATGTGAAATGTAATGCATATGAAAAATGCGAAATTGACAAATCTACCAAGAGACAACGCTGTATGAGACAATAAACAAATAGATTTTAGAGATAAAATAGATATTTTATTTAACAAAAAAGGAAATTTTATTGTGTGGTTATTCACAATGTATCACAATATATTTTTGGAAAATAAAATTATGTAAAATTATACCCATACAAAGCATTTAATTTCTTACAAGCTGTATCGCTTCTTGTAAGATCATCCATAAAATAATTCACACTAATCTATTAAATAATAATATAAATCAGTCACTTAAAATGAAAGTTAAACAATAAATTGTACAATAATTAATTATGTTGTTAATTTGGAGCCTAAAGCTTTCGAGTTTTTTTCAAGCTTTCTCTGATTCTGTTCCCAAACGCGACGCTCCCTGTCTAGTCTTTTCTGTTCTCTTAAAATTTTCTGTGCCTCTTGATCTAATAACTGCTCACCACCCCAACCACTATTTTCATCCCATTCACGTAATTCTGCTGTAGGCTAAAATAAAAACATCAGGGTTATAAGCATTTTGTTTAAAAACAAGTGTTCTAAACGTGTTTATGGGTGTTTTTTAGTAAAAAAAAATAAGTAAAACATGGTACTTAAATCACTTAAACCTATTATTCTGTGCTACAACTACAGAATTACCATTAAGTTCTCTAAAAATACTTATACAAGGTTACTACTTAATTCTGAATGACATCTAACACTATGTAGTTTAAAATAGAGTTTATAACAATCGTTTTAAACCTAATTCTGACTTTGGAGTTAAAACGGTGTTTAAATCTGTTCTGGAACTGTTTTAAACCATAGAAAATGCATGCTTTGTTTAAAAATTAATAGAACATGTATATTTTCAACCCTGTAAAAAATTTGTTTTTTGAAAAAACACTAAAAATACAAAATTTACCAAAATAGTGGCGGTGTCTTCCCTAGCAGCCAGTCTACTATTTACATTCCTCGAACTAGGATCGTTTTTATTTCTAATAAGCACTTTAGCTTGCCTGGTTATTTTTGGAGTCATATCTTCAAAAAAGTTTAGGTCTTGTTCCTCACTTTCTTCTGGTTCTTGATTGTGACTCTTTACCGTTTGCTCGCGATAGAGATCAATGTAATCTTGTATAGTCTTTGGTTTGTTGCTTTCACCATTATCTTTGCCCCAATCTGACCAATCTTGAAGATCGTTCGACGATTCTGTGCCGGACACGACGTGAGTTAACGGTACACTTTCCGAATAGCTTCGTTTTCGTTTACGGATACAACATAGGGCTCTTCTGAGAATATTTATAAAAAATAAGACAAATCCTTTGAGCTTCGAAAACAACCAAGTTAAAATCATTGTAGTTAGTAAATTCACAATCAGCCCATAAATCTCATGATCAAAACTGTAGGTTAAATTATTGTTTAAAATTAAATCGCATGAAAACAAACATTAATTTTCATCACAATTTCGGTCAACGAAATTTGCGGTTATGTTGGTTTTGGTTATGTGTCTTGTCTTGTCAAAATATCCATAGATCTTTGAGATTATCGGCAAGGATGGATCTAAAACAACCCTGAAAGTGGAAAATATTCTACATTCAATTTTTTGTCCACGCCCAACCCTGAAAGATCATATACTTTTCTTTTTTTTTATCTATAGCTATAATGAATTAATAATCTAGGGAGGTTTTCGAATTTTAATTTTTAACCTAGAATATTTTTTTATTCCAAAAATTACCAAGATATTTTAATATAACAAATATAACAAATAAATAAATTCAATTTTAATAATGTTTTCTAAAAAGTTGTTAAGCCTACACAGTCCACTTGTAGTTATTCAAAGAAATGTGGGGAAAAAGAAATATAACTGGTTTAATGAAGGAATCCAATATCCTGGTTTTAAATATTATCCTAGGTAAGATCTGTAATTTAAACAATTGTGCAAAATAATATTCCTTTTTTTTGCAGACATAAGGACTTTGAAGATCCGCCATATGAACCAACAAAATTATTTAGAGTTAAAAGAATAGCCCCTCTGAAAGGTTTATCACATTTAGAGAAAGAACTTTTGAAAAGCTTTAGCTTAGATGGTGAAAAAGTAAGTTATATAATACATTAATATACCTGTGCCCTTTTTATTTATAATCTACTGTTGCAGAATAATTGTTTTAATGTTGTTAAAAATATTCCCGAAAATAATGGACGATTGTGGAAAATTAAACACTTAATTGAAATTGTACCAATTACTTTTCCTGATGGGTTTCCCGCAGCAGATGATCGCACATGCTTACATGAAAATGGTGAACTACGAATAGTTAAGAAGTTAAATACAGTCGAAAAGCAACTAGAGCTTACTGAAAACTTTTCTAAATTACCTGAAAGAATGGATGGAGATACAATTAGAAGAAGTCTGAGGAAAAAATGGTTAAATGGCTTTGAAACTGTACAATAAATTTATTTAGGCATAATTAATAAATTAGATAATTGATTTTATTTTAATTCTTTATTCTCTGTAATATCTGCCCCAATTTTTTTTTATTTAAAGGCCTAAGCTACTAGGACTATCCGGCCTGACAATAAAGCACCACCAGCACGGATGGTATGTAATCTGAAATTGTCATTAAACATATATTTACCTCATTTACTTTACACAGACATACGGTTCATCCTTGAAAAATATATTTATTCCATGGATATCTTAAAAAATGCATATCTGTGGTTCACAGAAGGACTCTGTAATAACGATTTTCCAACATTGAGGCATAGATGGCAGCACCAAAATATTATACAGGGAGCGTTTATTTTGATTCTGTCATCTGTCAAAGCTCTTTTTGAAGTGAAATCAAAATTTGTAGGTATGTTTATGGAGATTATTTATTTTTCAATAAATATTGAATTCATCTTTAAGAAATATTTCAATTTTATGGTTTAGGAGAAATTCTAATACTATTACTCGTATTTTTTCGTCAATATTTAAAGCCGGCCACACCGAAAAATACATTTTTTTACAAATTTGTATTGACAGTTGTTACATTTTTTCAGGTCTCCGCCATGGGAGCTTACAAATATATCCAAGAACTTTATAGGAAAAAACAAAGTGATGTGCTCCGCTTTTTGTTAAGAGTTCGAGTATGGCAATATCGCCAGCTTACTAAACTCCACAGAGCTCCGAGACCAAGTCGTCCTGACAAAGCTCGCAGACTAGGATACAAGGCGAAACAAGGTACTTTGATTAACATTTTCTATAATGTGGTGAGCACCATCGATCAGTTTTCAACTTTTACTATAGTTGTTTAACTTTTGCAATGGTGCTAAATAATTATTTGCATTGGCCAGCATGTTTTTAATTCATTATGTTAAAAACTATCTAGAACTCTGCAACATTCTTGTTACTCCAACAAATAAAGTATGAAAATTCATGTAATATATTTTGTAGGTTTCGTTATATTCCGTATTCGCGTACGTCGTGGTGGACGTAAACGCCCAGTACCCAAAGGTGCAACTTACGGCAAACCAAAAAGCCATGGAGTTAACGAATTGAAACCCGTACGTAAACTCCAATCGATCGCCGAAGAACGTGTAGGAAGACGTTGTGGCGGTTTGAGAGTATTGAACTCCTACTGGGTTGGCCAAGATTCTACATATAAATATTATGAAATTATTTTAGTTGACCCATCACACAGCGTAAGTTAACAATAAAATATAACAAATTACAATGTTTGAGTGCATTTATTTGCTTTATACAGGCTATCAGAAATGATCCTAAGGTGAACTGGATTGTGAATGCTGTACATAAACATCGTGAACTTCGGGGAAAGACATCTGTAGGCAAGTCATCACGTGGTCTTGGCAAGGGACACAGATTCTCGCAAACGAAAGGTGGTTCCAGAAGAGCCGCTTGGCTCAGGAGGAACTCACTCCAGTTGCGCAGAAAGCGTTAAATTATATATTTTTTATCTATATTGATTGTAAGAATAAAAAAATAAAAATTGAAAAAATGGTTATTTTAATAAGAACAAATAATTTTAACTTCAACAATTTTATTCTTAAAAATTTATAAAGTAAGTTCCTTGAGTTGTATAATTGAATATATTCTAATAAAACCGCTACAAAAAAGTTAAATATCTACAATATCATAATGGAGGCTTAAAATATCTTCTGCATTTCTCATTAAATACCTTAATTGATCTTTCTTTAATTAAGTCTTCAACTGATATTTCTACTTGTAACATCCTCAGCTAAAAAAAATAAATTTTATTTTCGGTCTATTTATTTATGACATAATACTTTAGTCTGTTCAGCCCTAAGGGATTTATTCAGCTGAATATCATCAGTCTTATTTTCTCTTTCAACCTTCAGTCTCTTTACGTTATTTGTCGTGTACGAAATGCAATTCCGTATAAGATTTTCCCTTTTCTCATGACCTTGGTTTATTTGATTAAATATGTCTTTGCAAGCGGCAGCCTCATCGGCATGAAAAGAGCCGGTACAAACTACGGAATTTATAGTATTTATTATAATATCATCACTTCTTCTCATTGTCTTTAGAGCCTCCTGTAAAAAATGTTTGGCAGGGGTGGTAGTGGAAAATCATGGAAAAATATTATATTTTACCTGAAATTCACTAAAATCGGCACATTCCATGATCGCTGCTGGCATGCCTTTTGATATCTAATTGTTTTTCATATAATTTGTTATTTTTTTGTATTAAAAATAAAAATTCATAACCATAACCTTACAAACTCTCTCTCTATCATAGATAAGGAAAGCATGTCTTTTTAATGATGAAGGCGACATCTTTCGAGAGCACTAAAAAGGTTAACATAATACAATTTTCGGATCTGAAATACTAAATCCTAATAATTAAAATAAAAATAAAAGACACTTGTTACTTTTTTAATGAATGTACAAAAAATCGAATGTATAAAATTTTATTCCTGTAATTTACAAATTTTTACACAAATGGCATAGCACAAATGGTTAAATAGGTGTAAAGTAAAAATCTATAAACCCATCCTTGATTTAAAAAATGAAGAAAGCTAAATTAAAAAATTAAAAATTACTTTTATAGAAAATTTAACTGTGAATAGATATTACACTACTATTTTTATTGTTTAACTCGTTTAACTATTTTAAAAGTTTGAAACTCTGAATATACTCCTAATCTACTAATGAAATAAAATCAGAACTGTCATTTTGCTAAATCAATAAATAAATAATTAAATTAATCCGTTCTCCGATCGCCATTTTCTTTCCAGTTCTTTCTGTAGTGGTGTCACGGAAAGATGGGTAACATTTTTAATATAAATACTATATATATTACGTTTTCTAAGGTAAATAATATACATAAATTCAGTCTTAAATATTCCTTTTATTATGCTGTATATTAAAGTACAGTTTTTGTTCGAATATATCCAATTATTCATGTCAGTTTTAACTAGATTTATTTGCATTGGTTTAACCAGCTCTTTAACTCCATTTACGTTATCATAATATTGTTTTCTTTGACTCGCTGATAACTTGTTGAGATTTTAAGAAACAACTTACACAACGTACTGTATTTTTGTTATCTATATTTAGATTTTTTGCTAGACTAGCAGGGAACACAGTTCAATATGTTAAAAGTTCTCTATCTCTACTTGTTTTATATGTAACATTTGGCCAAAGCATTGCATATTTTCGTTAACGACGCTCCAAAATAATCATCTGACTGAGTTATTTATCTAAGTTGGTATATATATTTTCAGATTCACACCATCTCTAAAGCATACTCATGAGAATAGAACCAGTGTGGAGATTGTAGACAGTTTTACAAGGATATTAATTGGCAATAACCAATTAATGATATTAGTGAGTATATCACACCAAATCTGCAACTTCAATTGTAAATTTACTTTAAAAATTTACCCATTTTGCCTGTTGGAAATATAATGGCAACTCAGGAAGACCGCTCATTGTCATCTGGAATGTCGTTGCCAAAATGGATGAAGAATAAAATGACAGATCGGTGAGTTTATATAAAAAAAACTTCTATTTGGGGCCAGAAAATTACTTAGTGCATGATTGTTACTAACAATTTGTAGTCATAAGTGCCTACTTTATTTCTAATAAATAAGAAGTGAGCATGCTATTCCTTTTTTTATGTAAGTAAGTACATTTTTTATGTATCTCATATTGCTTATTATAAATATTTCCTTTTTTATGTTGCTATGGCAACCAGATGTGTTTACACTGTAGGTAAATCATGAATTTTATAGATCTCTCATGCATAATCTATATCCACACTTATTATATTGGTATGTGTCATTGCATTAAATTGAAATTTGCTGAGTAGGTATTAAATTTTATTTGTTAATAAATTTCTAATGTGTTAATATTTTGTATGGAGAAATATATTTTTTATTGTAACATTTAAGTGAATGTCCTTGATTATTTTCTTTCTGTATTTTTTTTTTGTTTTAAGCATTTTTTGACGTAGAAACAGATCATCGCTGAAATTTAATTATTAATTTTATAATAAATGTCAGTGTTCAACAAAAAGTATTGCTCTTTCAAAAACCCGCTTGACTATAAAACTTTTTGATTATACTCTTATTGTCTTTTTTGTCTAAAAATTCTTACCCAATAAAATTTATTATTGTTTTCATTGTAACGGGATTCAGACAGAAATATGGATTCACATTTCAAAAGCTACTATGACGCCAGTTTTTTTTTGTTTTAATTGTATAGTATTTTTGTGTTAGGGCTATGTTTGTGTCAAAATTATACACAATTTTTGGACGTAAGATATTTTAAATTTCACTTTGTTCATCACTTTCAACCAAGTGCAATGAGATGTCATCAAGGTCTTTGTCCCAACTTTCTTCAGGCACTGACCTTAGCTTTTTTACTGTTTTAAGCTTGTAATATTTATGGTTTGTCTTTGTTTAGTTATGCCTAAAAATTCCTACTAATGTGTCATTGACCTGACCGAAATTAAATGGAATATTAACTTTTTATTGAACTTTACATAAAAATATAGCAAACTTGAATATAAAGTTATTTATTATAAAATTAGAAATTATACAGAAATTTTTAACTAGTTATACAGGTAAACAAATAAATTTAATATTTGTTTGCACGTTAAATCCAGATACAAATGCAGTAGACACTTGTCAGCATTTTCAACTACAAAAATAATTGTTATAGTTTTATAAAAGCGATAGTTTTCTGAATTTTTTCTCGATACACCCTGTATATAAATGACCTGTAGGTCGTGTGCTTGTTAAGAATGTAAACAATCTATATGGAAGGCAAATAGGAAAATGTAAAAAGTCTATATTTGTTGTTACTCTGAGGGTGTTGATATTTTAACAAAAAGTAAACCAATTTTCAATTTAAATACCAACTTTGTTCTATGAGTGTGTAAATAATTTGATAAGCTTAAATTTTAAATCAATATTTACTGAAAAATATTCCACCATATGTTGGAATGGAATACATTTTTTTTCTTATAAATTTGAGAATCAAAAGGTCAAAGATATGCTATACTGCATCAAGGACCACACGCTTTTTGCTGTAGTTAGCCAGAATAGCCAGACACAAATTTTTGGCAACTTGTTCTATGATAACCTTGATTCTTTTTATGAATCTGGCAAATATTTTATATACATTTATTCCAATAAACTTGACTATATATGTATTTTTGATTTTGCAAGCATATAGAACATGTTGCTGTTTTATTTTTATAGTTGCAGAAATTACTAACAATCCATGGGTATCTTTATTTGAAAATTTTATTGATACCCTATATTTTTTGCTGATGTTGACTATTCTGTTACACCATAAAGCTCATTCATTTATCTTTAAATAAGCATAAGGTATCTTAGTACCTCAAGAAATTTTTAAAACATTTCATATTCGTATTTTATATTGGTCCTAGACCCAAGAAATAGGTAACCAAATTCAGACAATATGATCTTTGTATATTCATCCTCGAACAATGCCTACTAGGTATATTTTTGTGAAAAGTCTACCTGCCCTAAGGCCCTAAGAGGTCAGAAGAAATGTCATTTCTTCTAGACACTTTTTTCTTCAGGTTCTCACCACATTTCTAGAATAATTTAAAATATATTGAACCCTAAAGTCCGTCTACCGTCTGCGTTTACTGGGGTACCATCGAAAAAAAAACGTGTCACGGTAACTTTAGAAATGGCAATGATTGATAATTAGTATCTTATTTAGGTCATTCTTTATGTCTTTTATTATAAACTGGTCAAAAAGATTATATTAAGTGTTTATTTTTCATTCAAAATAATTATAATAATAAACGATTGTTAACGTTTATTATAGTGTAGTTTCGAATGTTTCCATTCAATGGCATGCTTACAGTTTAATGTATTCTTAAATACTATTTAGATTACTTCGCATAAACAATCGCATTTACACGATGGACTTTAGCTTAATATCCAATTTAGACTAATAAATGGGTGACCTTGTCACGAGACATCTGCATTATTCCTGGTCATAAAAAACGCATTTACATAGCTGACTACAGGCCAAATAGCGACACCAACACGCTTTTTTAATTCGATATAAAATAAAAACTGGATTGAACCGGATTGAAGAGAATAAAAGTCGAACAGACGGCTGTGATATTATAATATGCTTGGTTTCATCATTATAAATAAATTACGGGACCATTCATTTATAAAGGTCCGTCTACACATACGGTTTTACCTGTCAGTCTTACCTGAGCAGTCAAAACGTATCAAGCAATGTTAACGGGAAATCTTTGTAATCATATAGTTCCTAAACGTGTCACTATGGCAAACAAATTGATAAGCAAAACATTTGATTTAAAGCTAAGAAAAGCATTATAATAAACTTGACTGTACCTGGGTACCAATATTCTCTGATTTTGTGCTAGGAAGTAAATTTTCATGCATATTTTCATCGATAGGTTTGTAACTTCTGAATAACGCTCTAGGTAAAGCATTTAGCTCATTTGGTAGCTCAGAATTAGAATTATTAGAGTTAAACAACTCGCATTTTTATTGGAGGACATCGTCATATTTATTTCAAACCAATAATCAACGAGAATATTCGTATAATTGAACAAAATTACTGTAAACCACTATAAATACGAATTGTTGGTTAGGTTCAAAATTTTTTCTCTTCTCAAATAAATTCAAGCATTGACATTATTATGTATTTGCATAAAAGTGTGTATTTTGGGTGGTATTCCACAAAATTTGCAGGCAGTTGAGGAAACAGAAAATGTACAGATTACAGACAACAGCTGTATGTTGATCAAGCTAACTTCTGTGTTCTTCAATTTATCTAGTTAAATTCTAAAATCTAGTTAGTTCCTTCCAAATTTTTACTGTATAATTTCTACCGACATTTTGTTCTGAAGCAAGTACTTCTTTGCACTTTGAACGTTAGATGGTACTAATTTTATTCTCAACTTAAGACAGTCATGACTATTTGCCACAGAAGCCAATGACTGAGATGACAATCGATCATATAATATTCAAATTTACTTAATTTTAAATTTTATCCTAGTACAGAATCTGTATTGGAGAAAGATACTTCATTTAGTCAATTCGTCAATTATTCTCACCTTTTTAATGCACCTTTGCTGGAAATATATTAGTCCTCAAGGCGAACAATAAAATCTTTGTCCGTTCCAAACCGTATAAGTTCTATATTCTCCGGTGGAACTTGGCAACAGGCCACGAACCGTTTAAAAGGTCAACAGACATGTGATTTCCTCGTCGATGTTTATTTCATTGAATTCCCTATCATAAAATTAACACAAAGCTGAACGTTCTGAAAATAACAATGAAAAAAGAATGCACTGTGTCAAAATTAACAATGTAATTAACATTAAAGAACCATAAGTATTTTCTAGATAATGTTTTTGTTTGTGGTAGATACAAATAATTCAAAATTCTATTCAAAATTGAACTTAACATTTTTTTCCAGCTTATTCAACCATTTCCAATTATGAGGGGTAGCCTCCCTCACATATTTAGATAGTCTTTGTAGTTGGACTCATTGTTGTCTATTGTTGGCTATACGAACCCAAGTTATCCCTTAGGTTTGGTCTTCTTCTAGGTCTCTTAAGAATCTATTACGCTGTACTGTTCGGGTCGCTCTCAGGGGTCGGGTAAAGCGGGTGTGTGGCCGAAGGAAATATATATTTTATTTCAGAAATCTGCCTAAGGCTTAGCCCGATCCTGTCGTGTTAAGCCACACCCAAAATTCCAAACACGTTCTTTCATTAAGACTTGATTAAGGTTTGCAGAGCTTCAGCATTTGCCATAAAATAGCGAGTAATTTGTTACAAATCTATATAAATTATATATCACTGTAATCACAAATCACAATCTATTTCCGTATTGTAACGGAATTTTAAATTATGTCTTTATTTTCGAGAAAATTTATTCCAAACATAAGGAATATTTTGTTGATGTTTGACCATCAAAATCTTAAAAATAAAGAAGTTGTCTAAAAATGTGCTACAATATGGATATAGTATAATTCTTTATCTTTAATTTCCTTCTTCATTGGTGTAAAAATACCTAGTTAGTTTTGCATAAAACATTAAATGCCGAACGCTTATTTTGCTACTTTTTCGGAGTAGTGAAATGGACTCTAATTCCTCGTGGGTACCATTTTGTAATTTTTGTGGTCCATCTGTTGTCGGACCTTCTTGCCAGGTGTCCTGCACATTGCCATTTGAAGGATTTGATTCTGTAGATAACCGTCTATTACCTTGGTTTTTATTTTACATATACCGATTATTATTATGTATTACTAATCAATATTTAAAGTGTTATATACGTTTTTTATTGTTAATTGATCTGGTGATCAGTTTTTCTTGTAATTTTGTCCTATTTACACTTCTAACAAATGTTTATTAATCTTATCTTAACCACAAGCTAATTTTCGGTGGTATGTATGTACCAATAAATTGAGCAAATATTGACGCCTCCAGCGAACTACATCTGCAACAGTTGACCCACGTTGGTAAATACTTTACTCTGTTCATAATTAGTTGTAAATATTATGCATATTTCGTTAATTAGTACTTTAGACAACATCTTTACTCGTATTTCGTTAGTAAACATCCACATGTAACGCTTTAAAAATATTTATTCACGCGTCCTAACGTCATGTTGACGTCACCGATTCCATTCCATCTTATTAGTCGATGAAATTCTTGGCACGCGTTTCTTAAAACTAGTTTAGCGTGTTTTTTTGCGTTTTTTTTTCTCATTCCAAACATTTCAGTCTATATGGTATCGTTTTTCTTAACTAGACGTATATATCCAGTATAAAATTCTTGAATGATGGTTTACAGTCATCGAGTTATTACCTCAGGTAAGCGACTACAGTTTGAGAGAGATAAACAGCATCCTTACTCATATTTCGTTAGTAAACATCCACGTGTAACGCTTTAAAAATATTTATTCGCGCGTCCTAACGTCATGTTGACGTCACCGATACCATTCCATCTTATTGGTCGAGGAAATTCTTGGCACACGTAGTTTTAAACTAGTTTTGCGTGTTTTTTTTTGCGTTTTTTCTCAGTCCAAACCTTTCATTCGCTCTATCGCCTCGTTTTTCTTACAGAACATCCAGTATAAAATTCTCTAAGGGTCGATTTACAGTTAATCGACTTATTATTCTACCTCAGGTAAGCGGCTACAGGTTGTGGGAGGTCGGGCCTTTAGAATTCGACCAATGGCGTAGCTCGGGTGTGACGTTGAACCTGTGGCGTCATCGAGGCCTGCTAGATACTAAAGTCCGTTCTAGAACAAGCCGGAGATTTCGGAGTATTTAAGTTGAGCTTTCGGTAAGTGGGAGGTAGTTTGTGTTCTATCGAAGCGCAGAGAGTTTAGTTGCAATTTATTGATTGTTTTGTCGTATCTAGTTGTGGTTTGTTTTTGTTTATTAAGACTGATTTAATGATGGTTTGGTTTCCCCATTATTCTTCACTTACAAACAGGTGCGTTGTTATTTGATATTTCTTAAAATATTGTAGGGGTTATCAAAACATTGTTTTGTAAGCTCTTTTGTCCCTAGGTTTTGTCTCAAATCTCTTAAATTTATTAGGAATTATTTTTTTCGTATTTTCTTTTCTTTACTTTGTTAAAAAAAAATTTGATATTGTTAGATAATTTCTTTTACTTTTTATTTCTTTCAATTATTGAGTGAGGTGTTATTCTGTATTAAATTTGCATACAGTCTTAACTAGTGTTACTTATGCATTAACATTTTCTGATCTTTTAAAAAATCAATGACCTTTTAAAAGCTCATTTAAAAAAGTAATAGTATTTGATGTTTTTATAAGACACAAGATTATTTTGATTTATTTTAAATGTTTGTATAATTCAATTAATTTTGTTTTATATTTGTTTTTCCTTGTTTGAGATTTTTGAATTTTTTATTTAATATGTACTAATATTCTCTTAGGTGTTTTATCTGTTTTTGCATTCTGCGTTATTGTGTTAAATATATGCAAAAACTAATGATATTTGCTTATTTCTTAAAATATTTATGTACAATATGATAAAATATGTCTTCTGTGATGACAAACGACCCAAAAATTACCCCACATGATCATAAAACTTCTTGATCATATAGTACTTTCAAATTTGGTTGGCACAGGAAAAATTCTTCACCAAAAACTCTTAAATATATTTTTTTAGGTCATTTTATTCTAAATTTTGGCTTTCATTCATTTAAAGTAGTTCAAAACGATGTATATTTAGAATTTACACCTAGCTATTGCGTTCAATATATATGTACAAAATTATTTCGGTATTTTTTGTATCTAGATCATGGATTATTAGAACAAAATATCTTTTTTAAACCAAAATCAAGGATATTCGAACTTATTTCTACATTTCTAAAATTTCATTTGCATTGTCACTGTTCAGGTAAACAATTACGAGGAATATAACTATATCTTAATTATCTTGTTTACAAAAGAAAAGTATAATTTATTCTATTCCTAGAATTTTTCAGGTATTTTTCTGTGAAAATCAATAAATTTCAGGAAATGTTAACTAGGTGTAATATAATTTTATCTTGGACAATTGGACAATACGTCCATTTAAAATTTATTTATCTGTCAATACCCTTATAGGACTAAAAAATAGATATCAAAATAAAGAACAAATGTAATTAGTAAATAGGCAATTAGGATACCAAAAAATAACATTTTGCAAGAATAATATCAATTTGAAAACTCTAATTTTATTTGATATTACTGCTGTTTGCCATGATGCAACAAATACAGAATAAGATCGGGCAATGTCGAGTTGTATTTACGTAAGATAGTAACATTAATTTAAAGCTGTTCAACCATGACAAGAAATAATTTAAACAATTATTTTAACGATGTACTTAAACAGCCGTTAAACGGTAGCCTACTAAAATGCCGTTAATAGATATTGTGACGTCGTTCATGTTGGCGGAAAGTAATGCCTAACCTTAAGCATTTTGCAAGAGCACCTGTGGATCAGTGGCTGATTCAAATCTCACGCCGACCAAGACTTTTTTATATTTTTTTTGCTTATAGCGTGATCTTATTGCATTGCTTTCACTCTTTTTGATTGGAATGGTTTAGTTATTTGGCGGGTTGGTTAGCGTGGTTATTTGGAGGGTGTTAATTCATTGGTTAGTTGGTTATTTGGTGGGGTTGGTTGATTTTTACTAATTTGTATTTGTTTTTTATATTTTTTATCAGTGTCGAGGTTAGTTGCGTTGGTTAAGTTGGTTATTTGGAGGGGTGGATAGTGTTGGTTAGTCCTTATAAAATTCCTATATTTCATAAAGCCGTCAAGTGCGTCACATCAACGACGTCATACCTATTAACGGCATTTTAGTAAGCTACCGTTTAACGGCAGTTTAAGTACAGCCTTATTTTAAATGGGTGGTAAATCTCTTTTTCGTGTCTGTGGCCAGAAAACTAATATTTTTTGTGTTAATTTTAATATTTTTAAATATATGTTATTCTATTTTGCATGCCCATAAAGGCCCATAGGTATACTTGTACCTTAAAATTTGTTAAGCCTAATCTCTATGAGATATTTGTATGTATTATTCTGCCTATAATACTGTAGATATTTATAATTGTAGTAGCAACCATTTTATATAAAATAAAGTATGCATACCTAAATAGATCTTGACAAATACCTAGATAACAGTGGTAAGGATTAAAATGTTAAAATTTTTATAATACTCATTCCGTGTAACTGATAAGAATAAAAAATTAATGTTAGAAACACTTGATGGGAAAAACCATATGTATAGTATCAACTAATAAAGATAAACATTACTAGAAACTGCGTGTGGCAATTTTTTAAATAACTTTTTTTTTAATTGTTTATCAAAGTTAGTATTCCGATTACATAGAGGTCAAACAAGTTAAAAGTAATGTTTACATATCGAAATACTTATCCGGACTTAGTAGTTCTGAGAAATGAATAAATTTAACTATATACAGTAGAAAAAATCAATAATTTTAAGATACAAAGTGCAATTGAGAAATGCATCTAGAAAATGTGTTCCCGCTCTTGTTTTCTGAAGTGACATTTATGTAAACAAAAATAAAATAAACAAATTATCATTCAGTGTATCTAGTCGTTAATAAGTCTGGGAATACTCAAAAGATAAAATATAGAACTTTCCTAGAATTTTATCTGGCTGTTGTAATAATGTAATAAATTTATCGTTTAAAATTTACGACCCAGGCTAACGCGTCACTTTTTTTTAATTGTTTCTATGTTTTGACGCAAATGCATAATAACATTAGAGCTTGTTATCGGTAGTAATGAAGTGTTTAAAATTTAAAAAACGGTAAGCATTTTTTAACTTTTGCCATTCATTACAAGATTATGGAAATTTTACCACAAAAAAAATATTGAAATGAAAATTTCTTGGAATTCAAAGACTACTAGAAATTACTTTAAGGAAACAATATACTCACATAAAAGGGATAATTTTTCACAATTCAACAGTCTCCCAATACAATAATTCACCTGCGAGTTAAAATAACAGACAAAACAGAACTGTCTGTTATGATAGCATAGATTATAATATTATACAATATGATCGAAAAAAAATGGCGTCAGAGATGGCTATGAAATGAATTATCGATCGTCATTTCCAAGCCAAACGGACGCCGTTTTCTTTCGGTATTTGAGTTTTAGTATTGTCCTTGATAACGAAGACTCAGAGCTATCCAAAACGTTATAGTTGTATAAATCAAAAAACAAAAACAATAAGTGTTTGACAGAATAGTTTTATTTCAAATGAATTCCGTCATTAAACAAACATTTTTCTTATTGTTACAGATTCGATTTGGATCAGAGCAACTTGTCACCGACCGATGACAGTTTCATGTACTACTACCGATATCCATCGAGCAAAACGGACCCTGAAGCTATGAAAGACGCCACAGCTGTCCAGGGGACGCTGTCTCAAGTCACATTGCCCTACGCCTCGGACAACCCTTCCATCTCGAAAGTACGGCCCAAAGGCACTGACGACGGTTTTAAAAGTGAAACGGCCCAAGTGGGCACTTCCATATTGCGCGTAGCCAACCAGATCGTCTCAGGAAGGGTCCCCACAGAAAAGACACCCGAACCAGCCGAAGAGTGCGAACAGTTACTTGCCAAATTTGACCCCTACCGCAGAAGAGGTAGTAAATCCTTGCCAGCTTCTCCCCTAACCTCCCCCAAAGCAAAGAGGAAGATGAACAGGTACTTTACGAGTCCCTATGTTGAAAGTGACAAGTCCAAAGGCTGGATACTATCGGGATTGCTCGCCAAAAGGGAAATTTCCCACTCTATGGGTTTCATAGGGGAAGAAAAGAAGGAGGAACTGGATAGAGCCTCTTCGACTGTCAGTGTGGACGAAGTTTCCAAGTCAAAGAACCAAGTGTTCAAGGCCAAGCCTTCTGAACTGAGAGAGATGAATTTCTGGTCGCCTACGTCTATGTAGGAAGGCGCTGGTACACGAATACCTGATTTTTTGGAATAACTAATTTATTTTTTATTGTTTTCTTGACTAGACGTTAAAAAATAATGTTAATGTGATCTACCGATGATATGTATCTTTTTTCTTATATATGTATACAGTATTAAGAAGTGAGGAGGCGTGTGAATGCGAGTTTGGAGCGAATGGGCAATGTATGTTCAATAAATTATAGTTTTCACCTGCATTAGTGTTTCATTTTGTATTATAGTTTGGGGGCGCCCTATATTCTTATTATTTCGATACAGTTGCATGCAAAATTTGACCTCTACCGCTGGGGGGTAGTAAATCCTTGCCAGCTTGTCCCCTAACCTCCCCCAAAGCAAAGAGGAAGATGAACAGGTACTATCGGTATTGCTCGCCAAAAGGGAGATTTCTCACTCTATGGGTTTCATAGGGGAAGAAAAGAAGGACGAACTGGATAGAGCCATAGAGCCTCTTCGACTGTTAGTGTGGAAGAAGTTTCCAAGTCAAAGAACCAAGTGTTCAAGGCCAAACCTTCTGAACTGAGAGAGATGAATTTCTGGTCGTCTATGTAGGGAGGCGCTGGTACATGAGTACCTGATTTTTTTTGGAATAAATAATTTATTTTCTATTGTTTTCTTGACTAGACGTTAAAAAAATAATGTTAATGTGATCTACCGATGATATGTATCTATTTTTCTTATATGTATATAATATTAAGAAGTGAGGAAACGTGTGAATGCGAGTTTCGAGCGAATGGGCAATGTATGTTCAATAAATTATAGTTTTCACCTCCATTTGTGTTTCATTTTGTATGTAATCTATATATTTTGTATGTGATCTATATTCCTATCTTTTTGACCTCTGACGTGTATGATAACGCTATAGCACAAACCAAAAGCACAAACAAAAAATGCTTCAAGTCTGCGATTTGGGGAATATTTCGAAAGACGACGTCCAAAAAATATAATTTACTTTGAATTAAAATGACAGATAACTATTATCTATTCTGCCATTCCCCGTTTCAGAAGCCCCGTTCTCAGAACTTCATACTGTCGCCAGCGATACGTCAAAATAACCAATGAGATTTAGTGGCGGATACAGAGGGGGGCCCATGGGCCCCCCCTAAAATCTGTAAATTGGGTTAAATATTAGGCTTTTGGGTTAAAAATGGCGCCCTAAAAGGCATATTTGGCATTATTTTTTATTTGGGCCCCCCCTAAAATAAATTTCTGTATCCGCCCCTGATGGGATTTATACAAAATTCAAAGAGCTGTCAGTTCTGAGTCTAGTCCAGCTCTCATTGGTTCTTTGAAATGTCAACCAGTGTAGCCAGCGACACAACGAAGTTCCGAAAACGGGGCTTTAGACAAACTTTAAGACTACAACTACGTTAACAGCTCAATTAAAAAGTAACAGTAATAATAAAGTATATAGAGGGGGGGGGGACTAAAAAAGGAGACTATAAATGCTTAAAGTAAATAACTTTAAGCATTAATACTTTCATTCACTTGATTGTTCAAGGAAAAATATCCCAAACAATTACAGATTTTTTTTAATTTTATAATTAAAAATTTTATTGAACAAAATTTACAGAACATATATTAGTCCCAACAATATATATAGTTTGCAGCTATTTCCAAATGGAATACTGTATAATCGAATAAAACGGCGTCAAGTTGGCTTGGAAGACGTTCACATTCACTATATAAATTTACATATAAAATAACAGTCTTAATTTCAAAGCCAACTCTAACGCCGTTTTTTTCTCGGTCGTCTGATACTGTCAATATTGATAACATGATAACTATAAGCTAAAAAAGATCACAACTTTTTATCTACATTTTAACTGATAAAAATATAATTTAATGGAACTATACCTTATTTTTTTTTATTTTGTCAACACGTGATACACCAAAAAATATGAACGCCTAGATTCAAAACCATCATAACTGAAACTGAGAAAATCGAAAAAAAATGGTATGTTTTATGTGACTGGATATAACTTGCTTTGAACTTCAGGAAAATATTTACTTAAAATAAGATTATCCGTACTTTTAATGCAAAAATTGAAAATATCTGGTTTTGTATCTAGGCTAAAATATACGATTAATTATGTACGAAAATAAAATGATATCTTACCAAATTAAATATGGAAATGAAGAAATTATTAAATATAAAATCTAGAAATTATAAGTTTTTTTGTTAAAATCACATAAGGTCAATAATGTTAAAAAACTAAAATATATCGAGCAAATTTAATACACATAAGCTATTTAGTAATCCTAACAGATATCTATTACCCTTCATCATAAAAAATTTACCGTGCGACCTAAAAAAACACGTCACAATAGCCTTAGAAATAGTAATCGACGATGTAACTTAAAAACATTGGTTTTAAAACTGTCAAAAATTAATATTTATATAAATAAGTAAAACACGGCATTGAATTGAAAATAAATTAATTTTAGACAAATTTATAGAAAAATAAAGGTCAGCCTGATAGAAATGAGTTAGAGAGGTCTTGACTGATCATTTAGAGACTTGATCATTTAGAGGAAGTAAAAGTGGTATAGTAGTACCGAAGTCAATGGAAGTATTGAGACTCTTAATTCCCTTGTCCCCACGATGCCGACAAAGACAGTGCCGAAATTACTAGCCAGTCACTAATTTAAAGGTCAATTGACGATGTTTTTTTCGATCGTACAGTAGTAAAATGGTAAAAACTAAAGAAAAGGAGCGTCAGCAATATTAAAGTGGGTATTCATTATAAGAACGAACAAATGATCTTCAGTATATTTGTTTCAGTCTGCATTCCTGTCTACACCTTATGGGAATAAAAATATCTAACTATAGCTCATGGATCTCCAAACCACCACCAAACTGTCCAATCACCAAAAGCAAGGTCACTATGCGCGTCAGTGATCTCGAATCTATAATAGATGATAATATATCCCTCTTTCTCTATTGCCTTCTTGGATTTGAGATCAATTCCTATTGTGAGAACATGACCATGGACCTCCTCCAACCAATCCGCTGATTCTTAAGATGCACAATTTATGATGAATGTGCATTTTGTGGATCGTTGCGTTGCAATCCGCTCGCTACTACTTCGTCCCAGGGTTGCCAGTTGCCACAAGCTACACATTTGCTTTAATGATTGCACAGCTACACATTTTGAATTTTTTTTTCGTATAAAAAATAATAACAGAACAGTAAATGTGCTAACTAAAACTGACTTTTTAGCTTTTAAATTATCTAAGTTAGTACATCAAAAGAGACCGCAAGTGTACTTTAAATTTTGAACAGGTGTTCAGTAAAATGTCAACTGGGTCATGAGTCAAAGACCAATAGCCGCCAATAGCCAAAAACAGTAAATAGACAGAATTGCTTAATCCCTTAAATAATACATATTACGTACTTTGGCCAAATTTCACCGCTCAATTATGTCACTGTAGATTACAGTCTCACTTCCACTCGTTTGCATACGTGAATATTATTCAATTCCTATTTCACTTCCTCTCATGTCAGCAAGGGCTGCAGTTTCTATGGACAAATTTGGCCGATTAGAATCTAATTTATCCATAAAATCGTTAGTTTTGCGGCATCAATTTTGACGTCACTGCAATCCTTGCTGGCATAAGAGGAAATGAACTGGGAAATGAATATATTGACGCATATAGTAAACGCCACGAATGTTTGGGAGTGATTCATCGGTCGCTACCATGTGAACTAATCTGTTCAAGGTCGCATAAAACTTAATTCCAGTGCCGTGGTCTTTCAAGTCATATAATAATCAATATATAATCTGTTGTAATTTGTTGTTTTAACTGTCAAAGTCTTGTCAAAACATATATTTGGTTATAAATATAAAATGGAATGCCCCATTAGTCGCATTGCAAGCACACCAATGGACTGACGCACAAAAACGAATCAATCAAAGAAACGCGATATAGTATCGTCTTTGTCAATCACGTTAACATTTTAGAATAAGTAGTAGGAGGGCAGGCAGATGATTAGACCGGGCCTTTAAAGACCTACGTCTGCGGTAAAAATTTACGTTTTTAATGTAAAAATGATGGCGCGCGTGTCGATTCTAACTTCATCAAGCGATGAATCACTCCCAAACATTCGTGGCGTTTACTATACCTACAAACGAGTGGAAGTGAGACACGTATCATGCTTTAAAATTTGACGAACGTACGTCTTATTGGATAGTTTACAGTTATTGGTCATGGATGGCTACACAATGCTACATATTTTTATGGCCAAGTTCTGCAAAATCAAAAATGTTCTTGTGGCAACCCTGCTTCGTCCAGTATCGCCTCTTCTAGAGCCGTATGCTGGTCGGTGGTCAGTGTAATACCCAGAGATTCTATGGGTAATCCTTTGACAGCGCCGCCATTTTCACTGATGACGCGTCCTTTTCTTTAGTTGCGACCATTCAATTTGTCAACTCAATTGCCAGCAAAGCATTATTAACTCTGAGCTATAATTCCAACTGTCAAAATGATTTATGATAGGAACTTGAGAAAGCAGTTAAATTAGATTTAACTAAAATAAATGGAAGTTTATATGTTATCTACTACTAATAAGATAAAAAATAATAAAGCTTTACAAGGAATAAGTTCAAAAAAATAAATAAATAAATTAAGGTAAGCTCGAACTGCTATATGCGCTGCTGTTATCCGTATCGTGCTCAATTTGGAGCTTTTTTAACGCTACCTCCACTTCTTCTTCTGTAAAAAAAAATAAATACAGATTATACAAGGCCGATCATAAGAAATTTGGTAGAAACATCTTAAGAAGTTGCTAATATCTTGAAAATACTTTGCCACTAGAAGAAAATGCGTGGTCAGCAGTACTTTACTATAAAACAAATTTGCCTAACCGAAAAAAATGTTTCAGGAGGCATACCTTCTCCTGTCGTCAGAAGAAAAAAAATGGCGCCGGGAAGCACATTTAGCCGACCATACTAAAATATGTTAATAAAAAGTTGGTAGGCAGTTCTTTTAGTCTCAAAGTAAAGGAATTTTTCCAATTTTTTTGATCTCAAAAACTGCGACTTTGACTGAATTTGATGTTATTACAAATTTTGTTGCAAATATTATTCCTAATCTTAAATTGAAAACCACGTTTCGCTAGCTACTGTAATTTTGGAGTTGCATTTTTTAAAATTTTTAACCCCCTCCCATACCCCCTCACCAAACCCCACCAAAACCTAATGGTCAGATTCGCGGGTGCCACAGTATTTTTGTGCCAAATTTGGTTAAAATCGGTTTAGCGGTTTTTGAGTTATCGTGTTACAGGCAGACGGACAGATAGACAGACACCATGAAAATATTTTGTATTTAGGTCCCAAATAACTCATTTTGAGTGAAATTAAAAAACTTTTTTTTTGCCGATCTTAATAGCCTACCATACCTGTTGGTATGGTCGGCTAAAAATACAAATAAAAAACTATTTAAAATATCTAAATACAACTATTAAGCAACACCTTAGTTTTTTTAGCAGCTACGTCTATTGTAAACTGTTGATGTTCAATTAACAATTACTACCTTATAACAATTGTGAGGCAAACCCAAAGATCTTCAAACTTTCGCTATAAATATGAATATTTTTAGTCAACTTTTAATCAATATTATTGACAAATTGTTTTCTTCTAGTGGTGAAAAGCCCAGGAGTCTTCATGAAATGACATAGCAATAAAATATTTCATTGTTTATAGAACACTATTTACCAGAATCGGAGTAGTCGCTATGTTTATCTCCTCTAGCTGCTAGAATAAGACCCATGAAAGGTGGTGATGGCCTCATGGGCCTTGACAGGTATTCTGGATGAAACTGAACAGCCACAAAATACGGATGATTTTCCAATTCTAAGATTTCCATCCTTTCTTGGCTTTCATCAATACCTGAAGAGAACAAATTAACAGTTACTCAATACTACTCAATAAATATCAGTTTTTGGTTTAGGAAGTTACTTTGGTACTTGAACTCACCAACAAATACAAGTCCTGCTTTCTCTAATCTTTCTATATAGGCTGGATTAACTTCATACCTATGCCTGTGACGTTCTTCTATTTTTTCCTTATTGCCATATAACCGTTCTGAAAAAAAAAGGTTGGTTAACACTTCAAATATTAGTCCTAACACTTAATATTATCCCTAAGGAATTACCTTTAAGAACTTAAGGCAATGCCGTTCATACTTCTTTATCTTGCGCTTATATGAAGCATACAATTTGAGTTAACCTAACTTTACAAATATTTTTGTAATCTAGAGACACTACTAATCTGCACTAAAATCCAATAAACATAAATCATTTCTAGACCAAAAAAATAGACAATTAACAACATTTATAAACCGTCAAATTCAACACGTCAAATATTATTTTGAAAATTCTTAAAAATCCTAGTTTCACCATGAGCAAATTAATTTTGTATTCTTCTTCTTATCACGCCCTCTCCTGCCGAAGGTTGGCGATCCAAATGGCAATTGTGGCTCTGGAAACTGCAGCCCGGAAGATTTCCGCAGACGAGCGTTCAAACCATCTCATTAAATCTTTTAGCCATCAGTTCTGGCGTCTTCCTACTGATCTTTTCCCTTGCAATTTGCCCTCTATTATGAGGCGCAGTATTTCGTATCTACCACCTCTCATCACATGACCCAGGTATTGCATTTTTCTTTCCTTGATGGTATTCAGTATCTCTTTTTGTTTTTGCATGCGCTGGAGTACTTCATCGTTGGTGATCCTTTGTACCCATGAGATTCGCAGCATCCATCTGTACACATACATTTCGAAGGCTTCTATTCTCTTTCCGGTCTGTGCATCCAGTGTCCAGCTCTCACATCCATAGAGTAACACAGAGAAGATGTAGCATCTGGCCATTCGAGTTCTGAATTCCGCACTGAGGTCTCGTCTTGTATAAAAATGGTTTCATACTCACGAAGATTTTTCTCGCTAAATTTTGTATTAGCAAAAATCAAATATTTCCTTTATTTATTCTGCAGGAAAAAAATGGGGGAAAACACCAGAACAGCTCACCACCGAATGTGCCAAGACGACAATCATTTGTGCCATAAACTGTAAAACCGTCTCAGATACTGGTTTTTGTCAAAACCCTGAGACTGTTTGCTGAGTTATAACTCAAGAAAGGGGAAATTTATAAGGGCGCGGTGAATAATTTCTAGCCAGCTACAATCTTTAGCTAACCAGCCATTAAAAACTACAAGAAAAATAAAAAAATAAAAAAAAAACGTACTAATTTTAGAGTTGGCTGCTGATTTCTTGAAAACTGTAGTTCTTTTCCCTAAACGCATTGTGCCACCCATTTCGCCAGTGTTGTGTTCAGGCATGTCGATGACAACGGGGTTTTTCGTGTCTTCACTTACCTAAAAAAAATGTACAGTTAAAAATAAAGTTTTTACGGAAAATAAAAAGTCTTACTTCTGTGGAATGTGCATCTTCGAGACCCAGCTGATTACGAGAAAATTCGATAACTGCAGCTTGGAATCCTAAGCAAATACCTTGAAAAAAAGATAATGTTGTACACATTTTTTCCATGACATAAAATAATTAATAGATCTATAGAGACGATAAGATTTAAAAATCCGAATTTTACAGGCCAAAATACTGACCCAAGGTTATTAAAAGGTAAGGTTGTCTCGTAACTTTTGGAGGAGCGAAGCGGAATAGCATCCCTCTGACGTAGATAAAAAGTATAGAATCATAGATAAAAGGAATAGAAAATAAAATGCAACCGACAAAGAGAGATAAATGGACAATACAATAAAGAAAACACACATCAAACAACTGAAAACTATTGACGCCATACACTATAAACAATAAAGTACACAATGAATATCGATTCGGAAATGCACTCTCGGACTGTGGGCAGTTTTTATCCCTTTATCTATGAGAGGTATCATTCTTATGACGTAGTAGATGACGTTTTCGATAATGGCAGATCAAGATGGCCTTACGAGACAACCTTACCTTTTAATAACCTTGGGCCCTTTGAATAAGAAGACTAAGGAAGGAGCATATCAAAAATCTTAGATACACCGCGATGCGCCTCAAATATGGCCGACTTAAATTCCGGTTTATCAGTGTCGTTCTAATTTTATTTAAAAAATGTAAAACTATGATGTAGGGTAGACTCAATAATTTGTTGTTTTAATTTACGTTGTTCTTTGACATCTAATCTTTGACAAGTAATAAATAAAAGCCAAAATGCAAGAAAAATATATAATTTAGTTAATTTAAGTGAATTACATAAATGATCGGTTTACTACACGTATGTATATTATATAGTCACTTACTAGCGAAAAGTTGTTCCATTATTTCACTCAATTTTTGCCGAGATCTACCGCGCGCTACACAACCAACTATTTTAGAGTCTTTTTCGATAAATCGCGATAGTGTCACTGTTAATTTAAGTTCTGCCACAATTTCCATCTAGATTTACTACCTTTATACAACTATCAGTAGTAGAATAAATAATAAATATTTAACATAAAATAAGCTCCGTAAAGACTGACAAATCCACAAAATTTCAAATCAAATTCAAATGTGTCAAATGAATCGTCAAACAGAACTGTCAAGGATCCCCACCTTAGAGTGCTTTTTCCGCCCACCATGCATGAATACATGGATAGCATTATGCTCCTTCCTTAGTCTTCTTATTCAAAGCTTGGGCCTGACCATGCAATATTTCAAAAACATACAGGTGTTAATAAAAATATAAATTTTTATACCGGGTGCGTCTCAAAAGTGGCCCACCCCTATAACTTTTTTATTTTTTCGGATAAAAAAACGAGATTTGGTATGTTAGTATATGACATAAATTAAGATTGATTGACGTGTTCAATTGTTTTCGGTTACCTCCTGTTTCACCGGAAATGACTACAACTATTGATTTATAAATAAATGACACCCTCGGTATTTGTTTACTTTGTTCGATAGAAAATGACACTCTAAATAGAATGACATATCATATGTCAACTTTTGATATTCTTGCCTTAAAAAAATGTATCTCAATTATTCAGAAGTTTTTTAAAAATTAATTTTTTTGCTTTAATTTCATATAATAAAGTGAAACAACCTAACACATTATTTTTGTCTTTTAAAATAAAAAATAAAAAAAATTAGCTTTATTTCAAAACAACTAATAAATTATAATATATTAGTTGAATTTTTTTATATACAGAATACTCATAGAAAACATATTCTGGAAACTTTTGTTGCAAATTGTGGAAAATCAATAATTTTCAAGCCAGTCTTTTTGAAAATTAACACATAATTGATGCAAAATCGAATTCTGAAGAACTTTTGTCTTTAACATTCATCTTAAAATAAAATGCTAAAATATACACAAGCATGTTTTAATATTTTTATTTAAAAATGTTTCAAACTCTTAATCTGTGTTGTGATTGCATTGCAGGTTATCAATTTCCTGCTGCATAATTTTAATCAGATTACACCTTTTTTATATATTTGACTCATGTGTGACCTGTTTTGACCCATAGTCTAGCACTAACAGGTCAGCATTATCAAAATATTTTTTGACCTCCACTTCCTCGTGGCTTCAAGTTGAAGGCCAACAATTCATGACACAGGCAATATTCAAATACATTTTCCACTCAAATTAACGTTAAATCAAAAGATAACTAACTTATATTTTACCTGACTCAATGCATATACAGAGGCATGTGATATTGACATAAAAATTTCTCAAAATTTAATATTTAATATAGAAAAAAGCAAAGTTTCCAGACTATTAGATGGTACGGTGGATCACCATGCAAAACGATGCATGTACAGTGCGTTCAATTTTTTTGTCCCGCTTTTAAATGACTTATAACTTTTTGTGATGTTTTTGGAGATTCATTAGAAGAATATTATATGATTATCACATATATTATAAAAAAAATTAAATTGCTTAAAAAAATCTACTAGCAGACCTTGCAGTCGAACATTGTTCTTTTTAAAACCTCTTTTAGTGCAAAGTGTACAAGATAGCTTAATAGCCGTTGAAAAAAACTCATCGCAACCTTATTAGAATATTTTGAACGGGAAAGCGGTAGTAATGGCGCTTTATGTCCCTTAAGTGCTGTTTAAGAAGGTGAGCTTTGATGATCTAAATAATAACTGTTTATATATTTATAATTAATTTATTTTTGTTTCCCAAAATATTTTGATTAAAAGAAAATATTTAAAAGGGGACAATGCTGTTCCAGTCAAGCTTAATCACGTGACTAAAAGTTTGTTTGGTACGATCTACAGGGTGGCGCACCTCATTCGCCTCGGTTGATTATACGAAAACGGAAAGATGTAGGAACGAAATATTTTATGGGTATATGTGGGGAGGCAATGTGCACAATTTAAAATTATTTTGAAATAAACAGGGTGTTTCAGAACTAAGATCCATACCAAAGTTATATTTTTGCCGACCATACCAATAGGTATGGTAGGCTATTAGGATCGGCAAAATAAAGTTTTTTTTAATTTCACTCAAAATGAGTTATTTGGGTCATAAATGACCTAGATACAAAATATTTTCATGGTGTATGTCTGTGTGCCGTCTGTAACACGATAACTCAAAAACCGCTGAACCGATTTTAACCAAATTTGGCATAAAAATACTGTGGCACCCGAGAATCTGGCCATTAAATTTTGGTTAGAATAATATTTGCAACAAAATTTGTAATAACATCAAAATCAGTCAAAGTCGCAGTTTTCGAGATATTAACATATTTTAGTATGAGCGGCTATACGTGCCTCCCGGCGCCAATTTTTTCTTATGAAACACCCGGTATTTCATTTCATTTTTGGATTCCTCGGCGCAAAAAAAGACTTTTATTATAAGGGTTAAATATGTTTAAAATCTTTGGTTTTTGAGATATTTAAAGATATTTAAATTTGCATGCTTCCATAGAATAGATTATTAACACCCTGTACATTACTTTTCAGAATTAATTCTAGTGCTGAATTTAAAGGTAGTTATATAAAATAAATAAAAATTTCGTTATTTCAAATACAACACCCTGTATTTTTTATAATAAATCGAAGCAGATTAAAATGCTCTTTCAAACTATTTTAGGGTTTCCCTAAAAAATCGTAACTTCAAAATTTTTAGCTAGCGAAACGCGGTTTTCAAATTAAGATTAGGAATAATATTTGCAACAAAATTTGTAATAACATCAAAATCAGTCAAAGTCGCAGTTTTCGAGATATTAACATATTATTATTTATAATTTATAACAGTTTATTTAAATTTACCTACATTAGTTTAATAAGTAAGTATTCGTTATTTTATTAAAAAAAATAAAGCAGTAACTGGCGGAACGAATGGATATGTTTCTAGGGATTTTATTTTGGGATCAAAATTGCTTCTTGGCCTCTACAGCTTATGCTTAAAGGTATTCAAAAATAGGAATCGTCCTGATAAGCGTTCCTTTAAAAAACTACTTGTCCTATTTCGCAGAATTGGTAGTGTGGTTTATAAAAAACCTGTTAGGCAGAAACCTGTCGTTGTAAGTGAAGAAAATTAATTTGCCGTAATTGCTTCTATTATATAAAGTCCATATATCATCTACAAGTCATCGTAAAATAAATCAAAGAACTACTTCTTCATTTTTCTTGAGAGAATAATAAATACATATTTAATAAATATTATTTATTAAACTATTGTAGATAAATTAAATAAAAGTAAACGGGTATAAATTTAAAAAAGTCCATAAACTAATTTCGATTTTGAAAATAGCTACTAACTGTCACTAGAAACTTGCCACGACGACAATAGCCCTCTTGGTTGCCATTTTATTGAAAAATTGATCTTTATTCAAAATCTGAGCTAGATAGGTATAGGAAACCCTAATATAGTTTGAAAGAGCATTTTAATCTGCTTCGATTTATTATAAAAAATACAGGGTGTTGTATTTGAAATAATTTTTATATAAAATAAATCATTAAAATAGACCGGCAATTTTTGATACCCCTATATAAATTTAAGGAAGCAATAACATTTTCTAGTAAAGTTTATTTAAATTCAGCACAAAAGTTAATTTTGAAAAGTAATGTACAGGGTGTTAATAATCTATTCTATAGAAGCATGCAAATTTAAATATCTTTAAATATCTCAAAAACCAAAGATTTTAAACATATTTAACCCTTATAATAAATACCTTTTTTTGGACCCAGGAATCCAAAAATAAAATACCGGGTGTTTCATAAGAAAAAAAATAACTTTGGTATGGATTTTAGTTCTGAAACACCCTGTATATTTCAAAATAATTTTAAATTGTGCACATTGCCTCCCCACATATACCCATAAAATATTTTGTTTCTACATCTTTCCGTTTTCGTATGATCAACCGAGGCGAATGAGGTGCGCCACCCTGTATAGCTGGCCATACTGTGTGAGTTTTACATATACAGACTATTTTTACACATTTCTATCAAATTTTAATAAAACTATTAACAAGAGAGACACGCACGATATGTTTTTGAAATCATAAATAAATGTGCTATCTAACACACTTCTAATATACAGAGTGTCCTATTTTAAAAATTGTACCTTCCTTTACCAATTTCTGTGATATTTGACAGTGTATGACATTTTGGCTAATAAGTAAAACAGCTTGATTAAAAACCCTATAATTTTTTTTAATATGTGCAAAAATAAAAAGTTAGTTGTATGTTAAAAGTATGGGATAAAATAAAAGCACTGTATTTTCTATTTAATTTCTCTTAAAGAGCTGTAATATTTGCCTTTCAAGGGACTACTTTGTACAATAACCAACAATAATTTCCTTCAGGTCAATTTAAAAATATACAGATATATATTGTTGATAATAATACAAAGAGCGCCACATAAAAATAACTGATTTAGCTTAAATGAAGGCCAGAGGTTTCAGAATAAACAATTTTGATAAATATAATTTTTGCTTATATCAAACAAAAAGTGAAATAGTTTTCACTGAATCACTGAATACACTAAGTAGCCTGTGATTATTTTAAGCCTCTGTTATTTATTTTTTTCATTCTTTTTTTTTTCGTTATTTTCTCAATAAAAAAATTAACACATATTTACCTAAAAATGGTTTATCATTCTGTCGACACCACCTCACTGCTTCGACCTTCCCTTCCACTCCTCTTTTACCAAAACCGCCTGGTACAACCACACAACTGAAAAAAAAAATCGGTTATACAAAAAAAACAGAATTTGTGAAAAAAACTCACTCGCATAAGCACAATTCGCGCCAGGCATTGTGATAAGAAGCTGGATCGTCCTGGAGCATAGTCTTCTCCAAATTCGAGGCTTCGATAAACTTAATATTTACCCTATAACCTAATTTGTTACCCGCATGATGTAAAGCTTTAGTTATGGAAGTGTAGGAATCTTCTAGCCTAAAAGGAATGACAGATTTAAATTATTATGTTAATAAATTTTGGCAGACCACAAAAGGTTTCATCAAGGCTAAGTAAATAATATTATGCAATAAAAATAAATGAAATTGCCATGTTTTTTACCTTTCAAAGATATATCTTTTTAACAAAATTAAATATTAAAATATAAACCTACCTTGTATATTTTCCAACAATGGCCACCACAACTTCATATTTCAAATGTCGTATCCTTTCCCCCAATTCAATCCACTTGGTCATGTATCTTTTCCTAGGCGGCAATGGAGCTATACCTAAATTTAACCTGTCATTCAAAAAGTCGGCCATGCCATGATTTTCAATGAAAACTGGCACCTCATAAACCGAAGGCAAATCAGGCACACTTATGATCTAGAAGATCAAAGAAATTTTTAATGTTACTTGCAAAGTTTTACAATAATGTTACAGCTTACTTGTTGTGTCGCTACATGACAAAAGTTTGAAATTTTTTCCTTTACGCTAATTTCAATAGGTCTTTCCGACCTACAAACAATTATGTCAGGAGATAAGCCAAGTCCTCTTAACTCTCTAACTGACGACTGTGTTGGTTTTGTCTTTGATTCTCCTGTAGTCTTTGGCTAAAATAAAAATACAATTAATAAGTGAATTTTTGTTTGAAAAAACATTAATATACCTGAGGAACTAAAGATACATGAGCCACACAAAAGTTTTCTCTCTTTACTCTAAACTGGAACTGTCTAAATGCTTCGACAAATGCCATGCTTTCAATATCTCCAATAATACCACCCAATTCAATGATACAAACGTCAGGAATTTTTCCATTATCGGACACAGGTTTCTGTGCCTCTTTTTCAACCCATTCTTGAATAGCGTCAGTTATGTGTGGTACAACTACAAATAATAAATATGAACTCGTTAACATAGTACATAGATATAACTATTTAAGTTCTTATTTTCTATAAAAAAAACTCACCCTGTACCGTTTTTCCTAGGTAATCACCGCGTCGTTCCTTTTCAATAACAGACGAATATATCTTCCCCGTGGTTATATTGTTGTCCTTATGTAAAGTGATATTTAAGAACCTTTCATAATTCCCCAGGTCCAAGTCTACTTCGCCCCCATCATCCAAAACGTAAACTTCACCTAAAAATGCCTTAATTTTAAAAATCTGTTAACTGTACTTACTTACAGTGGCCAATTTCTATTTTAGAGGTGACATTGAAGATTACCATAAAACATGTCAAGCAAGGGAAACCTTTTTAGGAAAAGGACGGCTGGTCGTATATAATTAAATAAAGAATTCATTTAACATTTGCAGTAAAATGTTCAAAAATCTGTCCACATTGTATTTAGGTTGTCACTTGACTGGTTTTTGGTATTCCATAAAATTAACAAATAACATTAACTACACGACTGGGAAAACTATAGAACTAATTATAAACTTACCGTGTTCGTAAGGACTGAATGTTCCAGCATCCAAATTAATGTAAGGATCAATTTTGATCATGGTAACCTCTATGCCGCAACATTTTAATATCGCCCCGAACGAACTTGAAATCACACCTTTACCAACGCCACTAATTACACCACCTGTTACCAAAATGTACTTCATTTTATTGAGAAAAATAATGTAGATCGGAAGTTGTCTTTCGTAAAATATTATAATTTACGAAAAACCAATACAAATTCTACAACCCCACGTGTTGAAATGGCGGCAGATTTTTGGTGAATTTGGTTTTATAGCAGAAATGGCAGAGATATAGAGATAAAGAAGCATGAACGCCATGAACGTGCGCAGAAATTTTAATCATGGTGGCCGCCAGTGAATAGGTACGTGGCCGCCATGTTCGCGCTAAGGTCTACAAGGGGAGGGAGGTCAAAAAATAATAATGATTGGTGATTATTAGTCTTCTTATTCAAAGGTGATTATAAATAAATTTCTTGACTGTTATCTTTAGTTAATCCTTAAAATATCGCGTAATATTAATTAGACTACTATAGCTGACCCACCTATTCTCTGAGTTTACCTATTAGAAGTTATCAGCTGTATTATATCATATATATCTCTGTTACGAAACAAAATTTGAACGATTTATATATAAATTACCTATTATATTTAAAAATATATTGCTTTAATAATAAAGATTATAACTGCAAATATTAATGAACATTTTTAGTTGAAAAATCGATTATCTTTATAAACCAAATATTTTTCCCACCAGTGGCGTAGCGAAAGGGATTGTGTTCGCCACTTTTTTCGAGAAAATCGACATTTTAAACCAAGCTAAAACGTACTTCGGTATATTAACTTTAATTTTAAACTACCTTTAGTCAGTTGCAGCTGATTCTGCGTCATTCGAAGTTTTTGTTGGCAACTTTTATTGCAATATAAAAAAACTATAAATATATAATTTACAAAAAATAAACAAATACAGATGATCCAGATACAGCAGTGATGGTCATTGCCTGTCTTTAATCTAAAAGGAGATTTCTAATGTTAGTTTTAGTTAAGTCTTAATGTATGTGTATTAGTTTTGTATTAAATAAGTTACGCTACTGTATTGAGGATTTGTCCCGCATTGAAGCATGACCTGCAACTGAAATTGCCCACCATAAAAAGCTCATTTACTATCTTATTTAGTCATAAACGACCCAACAATAATTTCGGCAATTAAAAATTGTATTATTTTGTCGGTTCGGAATTTCTTTCTTAACCTAATTTTGCTTTTATTTGGGCATAAAAGTGTCTATTCGAACAATAGTAAGATTCAGACTTTATTGACCTTTTTCTCAAAGCATTCTCGCCTACTATTGAACAGTAATTTTAAGAACATTAAATCGTAAGATACGCCTCAGGCTATTGTCCATCAATTGAATTCAAACAATTCAAAATTATGCAAAATACTAACAGAATGAATATTTTAATAATTATTTTATTATTTAATTATTTTAATAATTATTTTTTAATTATATAAATTTTATTTATTATTTTATTATTATTTAATAATTTTATTATTATGAATATTTAATAATTAGTTTCCATAACAAAAGATTTGATTAAATTTTATTCGAGAAAACCCTATCGACATTTCCGAATCAACTTGAGGTGCTTTTTTCCATTTAATCAGTCACAAATACAAAAATATTTCGTTTATTTCAAATGTTTATCAATCAAGAAAAAATAAAAATATATGTGTGTGTGAAATGGGTCATTAAGTTAATATTCCTACACAACCTTTCACCTGACATCAATATCCTGTGTTTATCATCCTCAACTCACAAAATAAAACAAATTCATTTAGAGCATTAATTTATTCACTACAGTGTACGACAGGATAGAGTAACATATATATTTTGATGTAGGTATGTATATAAGTTAAAATAAGTTAAAACAATATTAGGTTTATATTACGCTCAATAATGATTTTTAAAATCTGAAAAGTATGTATAAAGGTTTTTAACAAGAGAAAACTTGCTAAAAAGTGAAATAAACTTGAAAATAACACATTAAATATCACTGGAACCGTAGAAGTATTTTTATTGTGTCTCCTGTTGGCAAAGATTAGCCAGTTTAGTCAACGTATCTGAAATAATAATTAAATAAGTAATAAATATTTACAAAATATATAATAGACTACAATCAAAAAGAAATTAATGCTTGAGAAAACTGTATAAAAATTTATTTTTCTTAATTTATGTATAATAGACAAATTTATTTTCTTTTTGATTATACGATATGATACATATATTACGCAAAAAACACATAAGCGACAAATGTAAAGCTATTACCTTCAAGCCATTTTCATCAATGCTTAAACAAAATCTGGGTTTTCGCTTATTTTTTTAGAAAACTGAGCAAACCAATAAATGTGTTAGTATAAATCACACGAAAAATGATGCTGTATAAGAAAATTGAGTATTATTGTTAATATTGCATAAAAAGTCATATTACAATCCGTAACCTTTATATTGTTAGTATTTGTTATGTATTATACCTAGGTACAAAAAATAAATGGTACAACGTGAACTAATTATAAGAATAAATAATAAATTAAAAGAATAAAAAGTGAACAAACTTTCATTATAAAATTATATTAAAATGAAACTGTAGAAATGTTATAATCCACAAACCAGCTTAGAAACTATCACAGACATGACTAAATACAAGTAATTCTAATAAAGAAAAAAAAAATATAATTTTGAAAAGAAAATTTATAAAGGCACAAATAGACACAATAAAATGCTAAAAAAAGTATATCTCAAAAAAGAAAGGAAAAATTATAAAATTAAAATTATTTAACTAGGCCATTATTATTAAATTATTGAAACTGAATTTTGAAAAACCCAGACATTTTGTTTAAAACAAAATTCGAATAACAAATTTCAGAATAAATCTATTAAAAAAAAAATAATATTTAATGCATTAAAAAAATTAAATTGTTTTAAAGAAAAAATGTCCCCCTGTAAAAAATTCTGAGTACGCCAATGTATACAAGGTGAGTCCACGATAAGTTCGAGAAAAAAATTCTAAAATTCAAAAGGCGTTTCTATGGTAATATAATTTCGATTTCATTCTTTGAAAGGTGGCTATTATTAATTTTGATTAACGTCAGAGTTAACGCCATATTTTTTGCTGTTGCAAAAGTATCGCATTTTCCGCGCGATAACTATTATCACTCGTTCCGTAGCATTAAACTAGATAAATTTTGTGCTTCATTAAGATTTTATAACAGCAAAAAATATGACGTTAATTAAAATTTTTACAATAACAATATAACAATCTGTCAAAGAATGAAAATGAAATTATTTTACCACAGAAACGCCTTTTGATTTTTTGGACTTTGGAAAGTATAAACGGGATTAACCATTTTCAAACAAGCAAAATTTTTTATGAAGAATATTTTTTCTCAAAATGTTAAAAATAAAAAAGTTTTTCCTCTTGTAAAGGCAATCCGGGGACATACTGTATAAAAATGTAAGGTCTTGAGTCATAATACCATTAGCAAGCTCCATATTAGCTACCAGACTACACAAACTACCACAAGTAATGCATGCTAGTTTAGTTAATATGTAAATATAGTCCATATAAGTAAATGAAGCATATTTATACAGGGTGAGTCTTAAATAAGTGCAAATATTTTCAGAGCTGGTAGATCTCGATAAAAGAAACATATTTTGTCCATTTTTCAGATAAGTCCAAACTAACCGAGTTATTTAAGTTTGAAATTTTTTAAAAAAATTTATTTTTTTTAGGAAAATTTTGAGAGCCACCGGCTTTTTTCTGTATTTGCATCCCTTTTAGTGCCGTAACCATAGAGTAAAGCCGTAACTATGGTAATATCTGAGATTAAGGAATTATACCATGGCAAAATTTGCGGGAACAGGCAGTTCTAAAAAGATTTCGAACAATATACAGGGAAATTTAAAAGAAAATGCACAATTTTCAACATCTTTTTTTAGCGAAAAAACCTCATATACTCTGTTTTTTTTCTCAGGTAAGATTTCGACAGACGATGACAGAAGAAAAGCAGATGACGTCCCATACCAATCTATTTATTTTACTACAAAAAGTTTCTAATAATTTTTAAGTTAACTATAGATGGATTTAAATATAAATCCGTCATGCGTCGTCTCTTGTTGTTTTTAACCAGTTTTATTGGTTTATTTCAAAAATGACAGATCGTATTTCAATTTTATTGGTTTGACGGGACGATGAATGACAAACGGATGCCAATACGTATGAACTCGCCTTTAGATTTTTGACGCTTGTCAAAGTCTTGCTAAATTGTAGGTTATAATTTTGTGTCAACTTTTGTTAAGATTAAAGTTAAGTAATCAACCTTTAAGGTATAAAATTTGGTAAGTGTTATTATTAATAAAATAGTTTGTTTTATTTATTCCTGTAGAATATTACAAATTTGTATTTGTACATAAGTTATATTGATAAATATAATCGTAAATGCGGGTTTCAAAGTTTCATAAAGCTTGAAAGTAAGAAATAGTTCTTTTTTATATTTTTTTGGTATGTGGTGTCTTGTTCTTGTTTGTTTTGTATTATAACACATCGAAGGATATTCCGCAGCTCACCCTGGCGTCCACGTCCTTCAACCAATCGTCGATTCTTGGCTCTGAAACAAGCAAACGAGAAATATTAGCGATGGCAAAACCAAAAGCATTTCTTTTGGTTTTCAAGCGTGATTTATTTTAATAATGGATTTAAATTAAAAAAAATCCACACACAATCGAAAAATAACTGTAAAAGATGATTAAGACTAGGTTTAATCATCTGCTGATTTTGCTAACATGGTTAGCGAAACGCGCGTCCAGTGCATAAGTAAAGTGTTTTGGTGTATTGTGGTGAAGTATAGGTCATATCAAATAAACTTTCAGTCAAGTGATTAAGCTTGACCGGCACAGCATTGCCCACTTTTAAATATTTTCTTTTAATCAAAATATTTTAGGAAACAAACATAAATTATTTATAAATAGCGGGTGCGTCTCAAAAGTGACTCACCCCTATATTTTTTATTTATTCAGATAAAAGAACGAGATTTGGTATGCTAGTATATGACATAAATTGGGATTGATTGACGTATTTAATTGTTTTCTGTCACTTCCTGTTTCACCGGAAATGACAACTTTTGATTTTTAATTTTTAAATGGCAACCTCTGGCTGGATAGAAAATGAATGCCATATAATATGTCAACTTTTGACATTCTCGCTTAAAAAAAGTTGTATTTTAAATTTGAATCTAAGTGCCAGACTGTGTTAAAAACACTAATTTTTAATCAAGAAGTCTTGGAAAAATATATTTGGTTATCTAATATTTTTTTTTGTTCTGGCCAGTTAAAAGATGCCCAAATCGTATTTTTAATAATACCTCAATTTTTCAAATGGAACGAGGGTGGCTCATTAGCATATTTGAAAAACGCATTTTTTTGCGGATAATTTGATACCACACACTTGATATTTCGAGTCAAATTGTTGTTATGAACCGCACGTCACAATTTCAAATAAACCATATGCAAAAATGTCAGAAGTTGACATGTGAATATGTCATTCTATTCAGAGTGTCATTTTCTATCGAATAAACTAAAAAAATACCGAGGGTGCCATTTAAAAATCAAAAGTTATAGCCATTTCCGGTGAAACAGGAAGTGACCGAAAACAATTGAATACGTCAATCAATCCTAATTTATGTCATATACTAACATACCAAATCTCGTTTCTTTATCTCAAAAAATGAAAAAAGTTATAGGGGTGAGCCACTTTTAAGACGCACCCGGTATATATGAACAGTTATTATTTACACCAACAAAAAACGGAAGTCGACGTCACAAAATATCCCCCTTTAGAACTTTTTCTTTAATGGCCATAAGCGGGAGTAAAAGACCAACCGCCCGAACAAACACTAGAGGCGCCACCGGTCATCATAAATGGTGTAAAAATTGCAAAAATTTAATCATCTAATTTTGACACAAGGGGTCGCGCTCAAGTTTTTTTAATTTTAATTCAATATTCATTATTTTCAAACTATATTATTAGACTTTGTTATATTTTGTGAATGTATAAATGTTTTCTTAGTATAAAGTTGCATTATATTAATTTAAATTATATTACATACATATTTAAAATTCAAATATTATGACATATATGTCAGTTGCCGTCTAAAATGTCATGTTGATAACAAAAAGTTAGTCATAGATAAATGCAACAAGTTTAGATTGGAAAGTCCGTATAAATTTTAGATCGCGAAATTATTTTGGGTCGCGACCGTTATAGGCGATCTGGCGCTGCTATAGCGGTCGCTAAGAACAACGGCAAACAAAAACAGAAATAATTTTCTCTTGTCAAAGTCAGAATCTTCAAAAATCATAATAATCTTTCAAAATCTAAACCGCTCTCATTAAAGAAATCCCGAAAAGTGTTTATAGCGTCCATTTTCAAAGTAATTATTGCTATCTTGTGAGTTTAATTCAAGTTTTATTTACTCCAACCGGTGATAATTGTGAAAAAGTGGCATTAAAAACTTAAAAAGCTGTGCTGTGAACTGCAAAAACTATCGTGGATCGTGACATAACGTCGGTTTTCAATGTTTCATAGCTATTTCATACATGCGTCCTTATAGAAAATAAAGTTTCTTGTATGCAACACACTGTATTTTATTTATAAAATTAAACGAAAATAATAATAAATTTGAATAAACAATATTTGGCGATATAATTCCGGAAAAAGCCGAACCGCTCCGAAATTTTCAAAAGTTTTGGGTTGCGACCGTTGCAAGAATAGCGCCAAATAGTGTTTACATTGTCGTTACGGGCACTTTCCAATCTAAACTTGTTTCATTTATCTATGAAGTTAGTTATTGTCAGAAATAGTTAAAATCATGTTAAAATATTAAAATTTACAAGTTATAATTAGATATTTTATATGATTTCAAAAACAAAAACATAATGATACAGCGTAATGTTGATATGCAGGTCCAAAACAAAAAGTGCCGTTACATTTTTCAGTTTTCGTTGTCAGCCGCGGAAGTTTCAGTGATTTTAGTGTTGTCGGATATTTTTATTTGTGAAATAGAAATATTGCGTTTGCATTGCAAAACTAAAAGTGGAAGTTTTATTGCAATGTAAGTAAGCGTTTGTCCATTTTATATTTTACTTTTTTCATACCTATGACAAATATACATATGTATATTGAAATTTTATAATACGTTTTATTTAAAAACTGTTAGAAAACAAGCATTGTAATACTGTAATTGACATAATTGTTATGTAATATATTCCATTTAAATGTAATAATATATTACTTTACAATTAAAAAAATGTAAATTTAAAAACTATATTAAAAATATATACTGGCATTAATTGAAATTTGTAGTGTGCGAACAAACACGAGAGGCGCTTTATTATTTACTTTCATTTCTTAACATGACAGACGAAGTTCTAAAGGGGGATGTTTTGTGGTCGACGTTACGTTATGTTTTTATTCCCGAGGATCTATAATCAATGTCAAAAAATATGCTGATGTCAAGGCTGTTTTATATCTTTTTTGAAACAGCTATATGTTGGTCAAGCTAACTCCTCAAGCTAAACTAGAGATATAAAGGGGATACCCATCTCTGTATCTCTCTAAATAAAACAAAAAAAAAATAAAATAAAAATCAATTGATAACAGACCTCAAAAAACAACAAGTAAGCAAACAGTACTTACGTTCAAAGACAAGAGGTAAGACGGCTCTGTATAAGTGAGACTGTCTGGCTGTCTGTGCACTCCTTGTCACCGCTATAATTGGGCACCTAAAAAACAGACTTCCGTAATACAAGAAGAAAATGTAGTAGTAATTTGGCTTTACCTGGGTCTGTATTTGGAAATGAGATGAGCTGATCTACCTGAGGTGGTTATAACGACGATAGCCGCAGCCAAACTCTTGGTCGAGGCTTCTACAGTAGCGATGGAGACAGTATGTGCCACATCAACAGGAGGTGACATCTATAAGACAGAGGAAAAGTACAAAATACATTAGTATACCGGTTGCGTCTCAAAAGTGGCTCACCCCTATAACTCTTATTTTTTCAGATAAAAAAACGAAGTTTGGTATGTTAGTATATGACATAAATTAGAATTGATTGACGTATTCATTTTTTTGGTCACTTCCTGTTTCACCGAAAATTTCTACTTTATCAAATAAAGTAGAAAAATACATATACTGAGGGTGCCATTTAAAAATCAAAAGTTGTAGTTATTTCCGGTGAAACAGGAAGTGATCAAAAACAATTGAATACGTCAATCAATCCTAATTTATGTCATATACTAACATACCAAATCTCTTTTTTTTATCTGAAAAAATAAAAAAGTTATAGGGGGTGAGCCACTTTCGAGACGCATCCGAAAAATCAATAAAAGTTGACGTCAAATCAATAAAAATTACCTGAGTAGTTAGGTCGATAAAGAGCCTCTTTTGCCAAATTGCAGCCTCGGCCTCTTTACAGATGTTGGCCATGGTCAAAACGCATTCCAGTGGGTAATCCCCTTTAGCTGTTTCACCTGACAACATGACGCAATCGGCACCGTCTAAGATAGCGTTGGCAACATCGGACGATTCGGCACGGGTAGGCCTTGGTTTTTTAACCTGTAAATTATCGATTATTTATTGACGAGATGCACACACAGTAATAAAAAAAATGTGTGTGTGTAAATACACACACAGTATTGTAAGTCCTTTTTTTTTCTCCCTTTATTTTTTTATTCCAGTTCTCCCCCATTTTTTCTCCCTTTATAAAAATTCGGAAAATTCAGAAATATTTCCCTCTCTTGGCAACACCGCATTCAGCTTGCTCTCTTATAATAACGATCGACAAGCATAAAATGATATAGACGAGTAACAATTACCATAGATTCCAACATTTGAGTGGCGCAAATGACTGGTTTTCCTTTCCTGTTGCATCTGGCGATCATACACTTCTGCGCCAAAAATACCTTTTCAGTAGGAATTTCGATACCCAAGTCACCACGAGCTACCATAATACCATCTGAAGCGTCGATAATCTCATCGAGATTTTGCATACCTCAAATTACAGAAAAATGAAAAAAAAATTGGACATAGACAGTAGTTATTTTGCTTACCTTGTTGATTTTCAATCTTGGAAATGACTAGGATTTTCTTGCCTTTATCGCCCAAAATGTTTCGAATTTCCGTTAGGGCAGCACCATTCCGGATAAAAGAGGCAAAAATAATGTCTACATCTTGATCGACGCCAAATTGCAAATCCGACTTATCCTTTTCGGAAACAGCAGGTAAATCAACGGGGACTCCGGGCAAATTGACACCTTAAAATAAAATATAAAACTATAGTGTCAAGAGAATAAAAATCTCATGACTTGAAGAATATTTGCCAATCGTGGCAACGTCGCTTCTTGTCAAAAACTTTTAACGAACTTATACCGTATGATCGAAAAAAAAACCGCGTCCAGTTGGCTGAGAAATGACGATCGATGACATTTCCCATAAATTTATATACAAAATGACAGCGGTCTTCATTTCATAGCCATCGCTGACGCCGTTTTTTTCGATCATACGGTACAATGGGTCCGTTTCATTTTAGAGCTGTCAAAATTAACAAATTTTCTATAAAATAATATGGAAGTTCTGCCTTTTTAGACAAAAATAAAGAGCTTGATGTGTAAAAAATGCGATTTTTTGTAAAATATGAGAAAAAAATTTTCTAACCTCAAAAATAGTTTTGCGCTTTTTCATAACTTTTCGTGCAATTTTTTATAGCTCAAGATAAAAAGATAAATTTTAAGAAATATTAATAATGAACCAAAACAATCAAATTCGTATTAAAAAAGAGAGACAGACAGGAAATACATTTTACTTGTGAATTTAAATGACAGGCACAACTGTCACTGTAAAGGACCAATGGACGTTATATATGGATAGAAATATGTAGAATGTGGATAATGTAAAAGATGACAACACTGCAATGTTTAGATACACCGTAGAAAAATCTCAAGTGAATAATCAAGTGGCACTAAAAAGTTTTTTAAAATTTCCCCAAAAATGTCGAGAAGAATTAAAAAATTTCAACAATTTTTTTCGCAAAAAAACCTCATAGGCGTTTCTGGAGTCGAACTATACTACCAGTTAAAATATCTGCACTTATTTCTGAGACACCCTGTATATAGATAGAAATATGTAGAATGTGGGTAACGGAGGTGGCAACACTGCAGGGTTTAAATACAGCGTAGAGAAATCTCAGGTGAATAATCAAGTGACACTAAAAAGTTTTTCAAAATTTCCCGAAAAATGTCACGAATAATTTCAACATTTTTTTTCGCTAAAAAACCTCATAGGCGTACTTCCGGGGTATACTACCAGTTAATACTATACCGTGCTGGCAACTGTTACTTGTTACTTCTTAATCGGTCGGCATTTACATGTGTGGAAGTAAATAGCATAGGGATCTTATTAAGTCGGAGTGAGAGAAATGCGACAGCCCGACGCGACGCGCGACGGAGTGCTGTTGCGACGTTGCCGATATCAAAATCACGTTTGCGATCGCTTATTTTTAAAAGACTTTTTTTTCAAGAGATAACTAGATAAAATCATTAGACATGTTTCTGAGCATCTGAAATGGAATTATAAGAATATCGTTAAGGTGTCATTTTTTTTATAACAAGAAAACGTCAGTAATCAAGATAATTTAAAAACTCAACTTTTTAACACATAACAGGCCATAACTCAAGAACCACTTTAGATATTGAACCTTTTTTTATTTTCAAGATCGGATATTTTACAATATGTTTACATAAGAAAAATTCGATAAGGTTGTTTTTTCCATTCAAAAATTGTAAACAATCCATCCATTTACTTTTAGAGCATAGCAATTTTCAGCAATCGTGTAATTTTTTTATTGATAAAGATTTTCACATACTGTCTACAAAGAAAATACAGCAGGAATATTAACAAAGTTCTTGAAAAAACTACAATCTATTATTTCTAGTAGATTTCGAGATATCGATTTTTGAATTCAGAGTTCTAATAGCGCGACCACTATCGAACACCCACTCAATTCCGCTTTCTAGCTTGCACTTAAAAAAATTCAAGCTATAGGGAAAATTACAACGACTCGTTAATAAATAAACAAATCAAGTATCACGAAACGTAATTAAATCGTGAAGCTGAACGCATGACGTACACTTTTCCCTAGAACTTAACTAATTATAAACGCATTGTACTCTTCTTACATACGGATATCTCGACCCAAGACTAACCTTTGTCAGCCCTTAGTATATAAAACAGTTTTTCGTTTTGTATAACATGATCTTACCTTTACGACTGCCGAGCAAACCACCGTTTTCGATGGTACACGTCAAGAATGACCCTTGAATTTGTTCGACCACCAAAGAGATTAGACCATCATCTACGTAAATTCTGTTGCCGACTTTGACAACTTTTTGGATGTTGTCGTAATCAACGTAGACTGTGTCCTTGTTTCCTTTTTCGGCATAGGCTTTGTCTGTGGTAAGTTTAATAGTTTCGCCTTTCTTCAATTCAATCTCGGCAGAACCACCCTAAAACAGACATAAACAAATTTATAGAAATTACTCTATTTGATAAATATATATAAACTAATTTCGCAGATACATTATCAGGTAAATCAGAACCTTTGTCAAACAGAACTGTCAAAAATGGGGATTCTGTCAATTACGTCTTGAATGCATTAATATAAAGATTCAAAGATATGGCTAGAGTTCATTTTATAATAAATACCGGTTCTAAATTTCTTATAACCAACTAATAGTTATTCCCAAGTAACGTCTGACTGAACTTACCCCTTCTAACAGGCCAGTTCTTATTTCTGGTCCTTTGGTATCCAGAGCAATAGCCAATGGATAAGTCTGGCCGATTTTCTTGCTGTAATTGGCGGCGGCTTCGCGAATGTTCTTGATAGTTTCGGCGTGATATTCGTGAGAACCGTGAGAGAAGTTCAAACGAGCTATGTTCATACCGACCTCTATCATTTTCTCCAAAGTGGCCGGGTCTCTAGAAGCGGGCCCTTAGAAAAAATATTTATTTAAAATAAAGATGCACTATAATAGCATCATCATAAAAAAATAAAATAAATTAATTAATAGAAATATTAATCCTGATTTAATATAGTTAGAACCAGAGCTGCAAGCTCACAGAAAACTTAAGCCTTTTTTTGATTTAAATCATTTTAATGAGTTAAGTCATTTGATTTTAAGTCATTTTTCGAAAGCTGACTTAAAACTCAAGTCATATTTTTATAATAAATTTTTAACAGCAGCATTTCTTTTTAAAATGTTTGGCGGCAGCCAAGCAGTAGTATAAAAAACAATGCTCAATACCACTGGTAAATAAAATGTTAGTTTTTCGGAACCGGTTTTGATCCGTCTCTTGTCTTTCAAGTGAATCCCCGGCTCCGTTATGTAGCCCGAAAGAGGAACGAAAGAAATTTATCTAGAATATATTGAAGAGTACTTAAAATCCTCCAGCTCTTAGCTTATGCCATCGATATACATAGTGATCAAAACACATCACCGCTTTTTAAGAGACACGTATTCGATGACATCTATCTGTACTCTGTTTTTTTTTCTCAGGTAAGATTTCGACAGACAATGACAGAAGAAAAGCAGATGACGTCCCATACCAACCTATTTATTTTACTAAAAAATGTTTCTAATAGTTTTTAAGTTAACTATGGATGGGTTTAAATATAAATCCGTCATTCGTCATCTCTTGTTGTTTTTAACCAGTTATATTGGTTTATTTCAAAAATGACAGATCGTATTTCAATTTCATATTTTATTGGTTTGACGGAAAGATGAACGACAAACGGACGCCGATGCGTATGAACTCGCCTTTAGATTTTTGAGGCTTGTCAAAGTCTTGCCAAATTATAGGTTATAATTTTGTGTCAACTTATGTCAAATACCCTGCGCTTTGGAAGATGATGTATTTTGATTCGTGTTATTACGTGTGTTTTGTGTCTTTTGAAGTCAAGTAGAGGAAAAATCGAAGGAAAATTAACTGTAGACCCAGAGAACAGTTTATAGTTAATACTCGGTGCCCCGGCAGAAAGTCTTATAGACCAATAAAGTTACCATCAATAAATATTTATTTGGTACAAGGATCGTACTAAAATATAGTAAAAACTGGAGTAGCTGTAAAATAACGACATCACACGATAGGTACAGTACGTCTGTCCGTTCTGTAGCTACGGGGTATCCGTGAGAGGGGAAACGATATTCTCTCGATGTTTTTCGTAAAAAATTAGACGACGCGTCCCATCAATAAAAATTCGACAAATTTGCAAGTAGCCAATACTTAATTAGCGGTACGTACTCGTCAAGTCGACGTATAAAATATATTTCTGTATATTTAAATGTTTTTTGTCCGCATTCCTTTCATAGACACAGATCCAGCAGATGTACTGTAAATAATGGATTTTAGTACTAAAGAAAAATAATGTCAAAAGGTACTGTTTAAAAAAATTAAGATTAAAGTTAATTAATCAACTTTTAAGGTATAAAATTCGGTAAGTGTTATTATTAAAAAATAGTTTGTTCCATTTATGTTGTTTTATTTATTCCTTTGGAATATTACAAATTTGTATTTGGACATAAGTGATATTGATAAATATAATAATAAAAGCGGGAAGTTTCTTGAAGCTTGAAAGTAAGAAATAGTTATTTTTTATATTTTTTGGTATATGGTGTTTTGTTCTTGTTTGTTTTGTATTAACACATACCGTTTTTTTAAAGAAAATAACTCGATGATTTTTTCAGTTTTATACAGTTTTTTTTTCACAATATTTTGAAGTAATCACTTGTCACTCAAATTTTAAATATATTAAATGCGTTCCAATTGTACCAACTTATTTCTTTAAAAATAAAATAAACTACTTTGAAATTAAAATGACAGACACATCTATCACTGTCAAGGATCTTGTTGTTGGACAGACTATACATAAATATAAAGTACTACAAAATCGGTTAAATTTTATTAAAAAAAAAACACATTCTTGTGTTTGTAGTTGTTCTGTAAATTAACCGTTTTATTTTATGTGGTTTTAGACTCATCTGTATCTACAATAAATTAATAATATGATACTTAGTAAGAAAATTGCTAATTTTTAATACAAGAAAATTAATATTAACATTTAAAAAAAGGTACTTAAATTTAATTCTGGTTGTCTTGACTTGAAGGTAATTATATTGAATTTAAGTCATTTTACTGACTTAACTTACAGATCATCATGATTTAAGTCAAAAATAGACATTCATTAGAAATGACTTAAGACTTGTTGCAGCTCTGGTTAGAACTAGTGATGAGCATCACGATTGTTTTTACTAAATCGAATCATGCGATTCATTTTTAATACTCGTTCAATCTTTGTCCACTTCTAGTTAGAAGTGAGCAGTCATTTCTTACCTATGGTACAAATAATTCCGCTGAGTCTGACATAGGATGCGCGAGAATCTATATCCAGAGCGCACATATGATCCAAATGGGTCGAAGCTTCTGCAGCTTGAAGCTGGAATGGTAGGACCTGAGTCGTCATCTAAAAACATCATAAATATTAACTGCAAAACAATCTGATTTAGAGAAAATATGGTTGGAACATTCAAACCACGCGCAAGACGAAAAAATCGTAAAAATTTCCAAAAGAATTCTATTAATTTATTTCGAACGTATGTATATGGGTGACGAGGTCACAATAAATGTTTCACTTGTTTATTAGTTTGTGCTGCTTCATATTGTTGTGTTCCATATCAGTAATTATATAAGTAATGTAATTTAATAACGTACTCTTATAAACAAGGAGACCTCATGTTTTTTAATACAAACGATCTGGATATACTGAATTAATTATTGACGGTCTTATCATTCTACCAAAATGGCTTGATATTAGTAAGGCAGATAAATCACAGGAATCTCTTTGCTTTTTCTGAGTGTTCGCTACTGCGTCTATTCTTATAGAAATATGCCAGCAGTCAGAGAACCAGTCTTGATCTTTTTAAAACAAGCTTCATGGAGCTCAGGACCCTACTTGTTACATCATGAGATAAGCAAATATCTAAGTAGGTACGCAGATTTCCAGACAAATGATGGTCAGGCAGGCTGCTTATAAATAAGCTGTGGTACCTCATCAAATAAACTGAGCTATTAATTAGTCAGATATAATGTTTTAACAATAAAATATTATAATAAAAAATAATGAAGTACATGAAATAGAAATATAATGGTATACTTATAACTGTATACTACTCGTATATTAATACGTATACAGGGCGACCCTGTGTTTCGAAAAATGTTAACATCGAGTTTGTCATTTCCTATTTGAAATTTTTACACCAATCTTTTTTTATAATGCGTAGCGTTTATTTTAAAAATATTTTGATAGATATACAGGACGATTAAAATATATTTTTATACCAAAGTAGTTTTTATCACTAAAATGATGTATTTATACCGGGTGCGTCTCAAAAGTGGCTCACCCCCTATAACTTTTTTATTTTTTCAGATAAAATAAAAAACGAGAAATTGGAATGTTACTATATGACATAAATTAGGATTGATTGACGTATTCAATTGTTTTTGGTCACTTCCGGTTTCACCAGAAATGACTACAACTTTTGGTTTTTAATTAGCACCCTAGGTATATTTCTATTTTATTCGATAGAAAATGACACTCTGAACATATCATATGTCAACTTATGATATTTTCGGATATGGTTTATTTGAAATTGTAACATGCGGTTCATAACGACAATATAACTCGAAATGCCAAATGTGTGATACCAAATTAATCGTAAAAAAATGCTAATGAGCCTCGCTTGTTCCATTAGAAAAAATTGAGATATCATTAAAAATACGATTTGGGCATCTTTTAACCGACCAGGACAAGACACAAAAAACATAAGACGATCAACTATTTTTCCAAGGCTCCTTGATTAAGAATCAGTGTTTTTAACACAGCCATAGCACTCTAGATTATGTCGTTCTATTCAGAGTGTCATTTTCTATCGAATAAAGTAGAAATATACCAAGAGTGCCATTTAAAAATCAAAAGTTGTAGTAATTTCCGATGAAACAGTAAGTGACAAAAAACAATTGAATACGTCAATCAATAGGTACTAATTTATGACATATACTATACCAAATCTGTTTTTTTATCTGAAAAAATAAAAAAGTTGTAAGGGTAAGCCACTTTCGAGACGCGCCCGGTATGGACATAAAAAATAATTGGCCAGATTTTAAAAACGTTAATAAAATTTATGTTGATGGTTGGCGTATTGTAATTTATTTTGAAGCAATTTAACCCTTTGCTGATAAAGAACTACACTGGAGTATTCCAGTTCATTCAAGTTTTCATCAGTCCACTAAATAGCCCTATTTTGTAGATAATTTCATAGTGTAACTAGAAAAAATTAAATTAGGCGTAACAATAAAATGAGAGGCGTCCAACTAACGTGTTCAATTTTCGGGATCGGAATCCCGTTTTGGAATCCCGGTATAAGAATCTATATTCCCGGGATCCCGGAATTGACTCTCAGAATGAGAAATCTAATCTAAATAAATACTTAATAAAAAAATGCAGCTACTACAAGAGTATAAAGTCTAATCATTTTAGATTGGGCTTTTAATTTTTTCGAGATTTTCGGGATCCCGGGATTTAAAATCGGGATTTCCGCGATAAACAGATACCGGGATCCCACTTTGGAAACCCTACTTCTCACATCACTGTTATCATCCTCAATTTTGTTTTTAATTTGTGTATTGAGAGCTTGAGAGTGGACACATTATCTGTCCAACGTTTTTTTTAATTTATTTATAACCGCGCAATTTTACTCAAGCCAACTTTTAGTCCATGTGCTGACAGAGAATTTTAAGTTGGCCGACTATTTAGTTGCAAGTTCTGCAACTAATATATAGGCGGACTATATTTACTGTAGGAATATTCTACTGTATTTGCTTTATAGTAAATCAGTTATTAATACAACAAATCACTTGGTTTGTTTATTTTATTAATAGGTAGTGTAACTTAAAAAAAATGCTAGTTTATTATATCGACACGAGAATATCATTAGATTGGATCACATGAATGTTTTGATCACACTTGTTTATTATTTTGGTGTGCAATAATCGCATTAGATTGTATAAGTTTTTTATAAAATCCTATTTGATTTTGATTGTGTAATTTTGTTTTGTATTTATTATTATATTTTGGAAACTATTAAATTACATTTATAGTAAATGAAATTATTTAATTTTCTAAATTTAAAAATAAAATACAAACTAAAAAATATAAGTCATATATCGCATCTTATTGAAAATAAGTATAAATACATAAAAATTAAATCTAATTAAATTAATAGAATAGTAACATAAGTTCTTTGATTATGAAAAAAAATAAAAAATTTCTACAATATATTTTGTATATAAATTACCTACTGCTTTTTTGTAAGAAAATGTGTAAGCATTTTTAGTATCTTACAATAATTGCTTAATCTATTGATCATAATCATCAAACAATGAGAGGTGCAGTAAAAACTAAAACTAGTGCAGAATAAAAATTAAAAAAAAAAACAAAGTTAATTAAGATGAGTTGTGTATTCATGACAAAAAAAAACAAATACGATTGCGTACATGCTTCCTGCAATAAAGAAAAATGTTTATTGAATGAAATAAAAACTGCCTAAACGGGTAAAATGTAATTGAAGACGAAACAAACAATATACTATACTGTTTATGTGAACCGAGGTTGAGATTTGCATAAAAAATAAGTAAATACAGAACAATGACGCATGAAATTAATAATTTCAAAAAGCATTACAAGGAAATAAAACTAAAGAAGATATATCACAGAATAGTTTAGTTGAATAAAATTACAAATAAATTGCAGAAAATAAATGTGTAAAAGTAAATGTATTTTTCACAAGGTGGGATGGACTAAGTACTTCAAAATAAAAATATTTCACCTCATAATATTGACACTGCTATTGCTTACATCATACTGCAATAAAGAGAAAACTGCCTGCATTAGAATAAAAATGCATTGACCAATGAATCGTTTTTTGTTCTCTTAAAAAAAACACATACCGGAAAATCATCATACTATATCATAAAAGGATTAAACATTATTAATAAAATAATTTTTTAATGTATGTATGTGTCTAGGAATGAAATTCAATTCAAACTACAGTAGTAAGGAAAAGACTAGCATATTAAAAAAAATGCAACAGGATTCTAAAAAACAAGCTACAATTCTAAAGGGAGTCTAAGCAAAAAAAATATCCAAGAAACCGGGCAAAAGGCATCCTAATTTATGTGTTCCTCAAACCTCTGCGTTCACGTTGGAGATTTTATCGTTAGTCGTTGTCCAAACCATCTTTTTATCACAGACACCACTCGCTTCGCACCACGCGAATTTCCCAAAAAGATCCTCGAAAACTTTTTTCTCAAAACTTAAGTAACTATTCAATGTACTTGAGATCACCTTGCGCGTACGACTCCCACCTAAAAATTTCAAAACCCCTACCATTTGATATTTGTTGCAACGCTTCGCAGTTTAAATGTGTTAATTTAAACGTTTTTTAAATGTTTTTTTCGCAAAAAAAAGTTATTTCCTGTTAACAAAGGTCGATCCGATCCTTTTCTTTATTTGTTATAGATTATTACAACCCTGAAACCTAATCAATCCACAAAAAAGGTTTTTTGTACTAATAGTTGTTATAGTGTTTTATCTGGGCTGATAGAAAATTAATTATTTTGGAAACCTATCAAGTGTTTTTTGTCCAATTTTCGCAAGAAAAACAAATATACCTTCGTTCGCTATTAATGCATCACATATAACTCAGGCTAAATATATCATCTATTTTTATCACAACAACTGAGCCAGAATAGTTTTTTGTAAGGCGTCATAAAGTTTCAAACCCAAAATATTGTTTGTAATTAACAAGGAAATAACATGAATTAAATTAACTTATATGATTAATCAGAATGAGTGCACTAACATGGCAATAATACTTACAAATTAATCTTTAACTATTAAAGTCTTATAGGAATAAGTGCTTCGTGTAGTGTAATATAAATGACATAAAAATTAAATCAAAATTTTGATTATCTTGACAACCACTTCTATTTGTTATGTGCCAATTCAGTATATTAAATATTAATAATTATATTGAAATTACCTTAATCAATAAACTAAAATCTCTATAAAATGTTATAATTCCTGTTCACACACATATACAGTCGGTCATCAAAATTGCACATAATTAAACTGTCTCAGCATAGTCTAATAAACTGTAATAAACCTCTATCACTATAAAAAACACAAAAAGCCTTTATTTTTAAAATATTAATGCAATCGCAAACTAGAATTTCTGCAGTTATGAACGGAATTTTTTCTTAAAACTTTGTGACCTTGTGATAACTAGTTAACAGCATCCGTAACAAATGTTTATTTTGTATATCGTATCTTGAGTAATTTAACGTACACCCAAATAAAGATTATGATATATTTTCCTAGTAAATAGACATAAAAGTATGACTATTAAATTAATGAAATTTTTTAAAACCAATACTTAAAAGCTACTTTAAATAATCCCTTCATTGATTTGTTATGTATTTTTTATAGTTTTAATAAAAACTCAATGTAAAAGCAAAAGTAATCTATTAAATATTTATTCCTGTTCTTTTTTAATAAAAATAAATGACCCTTTACATTTACATTCTCTCTGATATTTTAAATAAATTAAAACTACCATAAAGTCTGATAATTTATTTTGATATTGTACATATTGTCTCACCTTAGTTAACACTATTTAACTATCACAAATTCCACAAAATACGATTTTAACTAAAAAATCTTTATAAAATATTAAAGACCCCGAAAAAATCAGCCGGTCGATGACAAATCTGCCCAAAACAAGAATAAGGTCAAATGAAGGTTAACCCCTGATCAATTTAACCATGGATTTGAAAAAAATAGGTAAAAAATATGTCTGTCCTAGTTTAATGCATTAAAAAATCCATGTGTGAAACAGAGAGAGAGAACATGATATTACTGTTCTTTTGGTAAAAGTTCAGTAATTTATTTAAATTAAGGTGTGCTCAAACACGTGCTTTTAAGGTGTAAAAATTAATTTAGTAACTTTTAGTAACATTACTTAAGTAATTAGGATATATCTTAGTTAATTTTAGCGAGTGGAGATGCTTTTATGCAACATATTTTAAAAAATAAATTTTAAATTTATAAGGACATTCAAATTTTTTAGAACCAGGGATGGGGTGTAAAAAATCTCATTGCACGTTGCACGTGACAAATATCTAGTTTTTTTTAGGCAGTCGGTATTTTTTGTTTTCATAAATCGAAAACCAACACCAAAAATGTTCAGTAAAACGAAAATGCAACGAAAATAACAGACAAAAGATTGATCAAAAAGATTGACGTCCATTCCTGCTAACGCCACATAAAAATTTATATGATGTAGGAGGTATTTACCATAACCACAGATTATAGAGATAAATAATAAAATTTAGTTGCTAACTTCAACACTCACAATGGCGGGCTATATGAAAAATATTCAAATTTGGTCCAAAGCAATCCAAAGCGCACAAAACATTGCTATACATAAAACAAGTAAGTACTCTAAAATTTCTTGATTTCATTGTGATAAACATATGAGCGTTAAGAAGTAGGTAATTTCAGTTATAAACAATAAACAAGGCTATAACTTTAAATATCAGAAAATAATGTTAATTCTTTTGTAGGGGGTTCATTTCTTGAAGAAAAAAAGTATGTTTTTTTTTAATATAAGCATTAGAAAAATTGCCAATATCTTCACAAATACAGGATTTGTATTAAACATAATTTTGAAGCATGGAGGATCATTATAAACCTTTTTTTTTGTTAAAAAATGGTTTGGTAATTACATCGCTAAGTTAAGGTGTTTATTACTATAACTTTATTTGATTTGTTCATTTAAAAAAATAATACAAAATTATAAAAACACTGTACAGAGATATTTATACCAAAAATACACATATTGTACCTACTAACACTAAAATGCCATAAAAATCACATTTTTTTAAAGAATTCATTTATAATTTTGCAAATTAAAAAAATATATATAAACGTGGTAAAGACGTGAATTATTTAAATATGTATTATCGTTGGTATTATGTAATACCATATCCAACAACAATATGTTCCTATCAATTCACATATCGCACACGCACATGCAGGTATTTACGAAATACGAAAATAAAAGATAGGTATAAAATGAATAATGGTTAAAATTACCTGATTTCTACGCTCAACAGCTTTCATTGTAAGCGATTTATCCTGTTTTAAATAAACAATAAAGAAATACTAAAATTAACGGCAAAAACTAAGTACACTTAAAATATCACACCACGTTTTCAATGAAAAACGCGACTGAATCTATCCTCATTTAACGAAGACTTAAAGACTAAACGAAATTTGTACTCCTCAAGATAAATGTTTAAATCATTAGAGGTCAAATCGATGTTTTGTGATAAGAAAAGTAACATTTTAATACATAGTCGGTCACAGATACTGTTTAATTAAAATTTAGATTGTGAAAAAATATAATAAAAATTTTATTAAAATTTTATTGACTTCTACAAAAACAATTTAAATGCCTTAAAAGACTGATAATAAAATATGCATCCATTATCAAAAACAGAACTTTTGTAAATATAAAAAAGTTACGCCCGAGCAGGGACTTGAACCCTGGACCCTTGGATTAAAAGTCCAATGCTCTACCGACTGAGCTACCCGGGCAGATGAAATAGAGTTTTGAAATGTGCGTTTTCAACAGAATAGAATTTTCAGATTTAAATTTATATTTTTTAATATTATCAAGATTATTTTTATACGAGATTTATTAACAATTTAAACCCTAAATTTTGCTCTAAAGCAATATTTTGGTTCGTATATTATTACGAGTATTTGGTCACGTTCCAAACATGAATAAAGAGTTCAACGTTGCCAAATAGATAACATAATTTGAAATAGTAAATTTTGTTTCCAAATTGTAATAGTTTTTCTGAAATATATTGTAGATAGTATCCTAGTATCATTTTGAATATTTGAAAGAATTATTCTACACTAATGCTATGATTAAGATTTGAAAGAAAAAATAATTATCTACGAAAGAAAAGTAAATCAATTTGAACGTGGTAATATTGTTTGCTTATTTCTTCCACCATTTGGCAACAGCACACTTTTTAATTTGTTTACCTTTTCCATTTTAGGTTAGATTTTTAATGTCTCTGAAATTTCACATCCATTGACAGAATTTCTCTCGAATTTAAAAGTCTGGGTCTAATGTTTATTAACCAACACGTTTCAAAATATGTAAAGGTAAATTTGTAATGATTTGTAGCAAAGTACATTTATAAAATTATCGTTTGTGTATTACATAAAGCTCTCCAATTACCGCATCGATAGAAAACGTTAACGCAGTATAATCTTTTGGTTGTCAAAATGAAATTCTTCGAAAATTCTACGATTTTTAATTACACATGGGAACAAGTAGCTCAGGGCTTTTGGAAACGATACCCTAATCCTGATAGGTATGTAGTTATATAGAGAAATACATAATAAAATACATAAAATTTATAAAAGCAGATACCTATATTTGTTTATAATAGTAACAAATTTTTGAGAATCAGCTGTTAATTGTATTAATCGGGTCTAAGTTAATAAAATACCAATTGCAGTATATTCATTAACATCTATTTTTAGAAATACAGTTAAAAACATCTATTTTTAATTTGATAAAATTATGCAACTCATTTGTTTTGTAGTAAACATGTTTTGAGTGAAGATACTATATCAAGGGAAATTAAATCTGGAAAGCTGTTATCAAAAAGACTTCTGAGCAAAACCAACAACATTCCGAACTGGGCCAAGAGGTTTATACATACCTCATACGTATATATACTCGAAGAAAGCATTGTTGACGTAAAAAATAAAGTTCTGGTGACGTATACAAGAAATTTGGGTTTTACAAAAGTTATGGTAAGTGTTGTTATGTCCAGAAAATATATACTTACCCCAGTCAGGCTTTGTATTATACTAATCATTACACATGAACTAAATTTAATCTGTTAAGACAGTATACATTTTTGTGCCCATTTTGAACTTTTCAATGAAAAAAAATAAAGGTCAATATCAAAATGCAATTATTAGAACTAATAATCACTAATACCACCAAAATATCCTACAGTATGTATTCCACATAAAATTTTCTATTAAGGTTTTAACTAAACTTACCATAAAATAACCATTTATTGCATCAGAACTAACAATAATTATTAGTGGAGTTTTGAAGTTACAGGATGACCCACTCCTGCAAAATAGATTTATTTTTTATTTTAAAAGGTTTTTTAAGATTAGTTATAAAAAAGAGAAGGTATTATACCTAGGTATATTGTATATTAGTTATAATAAGTTATAAGTTAAAAATCCTCAATAATTAGTAGTTTTTTAAGTTTGAACATTTCTATGGCTTAGAAAAAAAATTGAAAATCTTTTCTCTGAACACTGGATCACCCTGTATTTTATAAAATATTTTAGAGTGTTACTGAAAAGGTGGTTTATAAACAATCTGAAGAAAATCCGCACAAGACTGAAGTTTTGAGATATGCCTGGATTGATTCACAAGTTAGGGGATTTAGCAGAGCCATCTGTGCTTTTGGATATGAAAGGTACGATAGAAATCAACTATACAACTCTGCCACAGCATTACTTAACTATACAGAAGCGACACTGAAAATTTTTTCGACAGTAACTCTAAAAAAATGACAAACTCACTTAAAATTTGAATAATTTTACTTGAGTTCATTTGTAATTTTTATTAGGCTTACTGTCACTTCTGCCGTTGGTTATGGTTGACAGATAAACAATGCTTTAAACGTCAGTTGTCAACCAATCGCTAGACAACTGACGTTTAAAGCTTTGTTTATCTGTCAACCATAACCAACCAAATCACCTTATATTTCTGACAGGTTTAAGAAAAACAGCCAGAAAATGGTGGGCGGTTTCAATTATGTACTCCAGAACATGTTCCCGCATCAGAACTCGATTCCGAACGTTCACATGACCGTGACCACAGCTCACAAATTAAAAGACGCGGCAAAGAATGCCTCAGAACTAGCCAAAAGCAAGGCGGCCCCTATTTATGCTTCTTTACATCCGAACCAGTCATAAAAAGATCGTTGTTTAGTTTATAGAAGCTGTTTTATTTTACACTGTTGCAAAACTGTTTGTCTAAAAACTAACATATTGACTGAGTCACATTCCTATGGTGAGTAATGGATTTTTATTATTAATTTTATATGAAAAATACACAATGCCATTGAAGTATTTCCATAACATCATATGTAAATTTTATATAGTTTCATCAAAAATCAAACTACGTTAATGTATGTGTAATTAGAGATTTAAATGTTTATAAAATATATATACTGTTATTAAAAAAAAATAGAAAAAATATTCCTCCTAAATAGTAGTTATATTCTAGTCTTAAATTGGATTTTGATTATTAATCAAATAGTTATAATAAATTCTTTTATATACTTTATAACTGTATGAGTAGGTGTATCCATAAGTATTTTGTTAATAATGCCTCATGATATTGCATAATTAAACACTATATCTTATTATTGTTTATTTATTCGTAACTACGTTAACAAGAAATAAATCTAATTTTCAATAAAATATAATGATAAATATCAAAAACATATATACTGTGTATAAGATCATTCTTAAAATGTTGTTCTAATGCGATGCATTCGTAGACTAGCAATAATTGTAGATAAATGAAACAAGTTTAGATTGGAAAGTTCCCATGGATAACGTAAATACTATTTGGCGCTGTTCTTGCAGCGGATGAGATCCAAAGCTTTTGATAATTTCGGAGCGGTTCGTTTTCCGTAATTTATCGAAAACTATTTTTTGTTGAAATTATTCTTACTTTCTTTTATTGTCATAAATATAATACAGTGTGTTACATTTTATCGATACCAATAATTAAACTTTTAGTTACGTAATCGAGGGCGCGATTTATAAATTTATTGTTGACAGCCTTGGACATATTCGGGGCCGGGCGGACTAACTGGAATTTAAATTTCCCGCTGGAGATTCAGGCGGTAGCCCTGCTGTAAAAAATGTCAAGTTGCCACATTTATTTATTTATTGCCTGACATTGTCATTAATTTTGACACTTTAATTTTGTATTACGAGTTTTTGGTTTAAATGAATTGTGTTGTGATACTTTAAGCTTAAATTTTTTGACTAGCAGACCTTGCAGTCGAACCATGTTCTTTTTAGAACCTCTTTTAGTGCAAAGTGTACAAGATAGCTTAATAGCCGTAAAAAACTCATTGCAACTTTATTAGAATATTTTGAACGGAAAAGCGGTAGTAATGGCCCTTTATGTCCTTAAGTTCTGTTAAGAAGGTGAGTTTTGTTGATGTAAATAATAACTGTTTATATATTTATAATTAATTTATTTTTGTTTCGTAAAATATTTTGATTAAAAGAAAATATATAAAAGTGGGCAACGCTGTGCCGGTCAAGCTTAATCACCTGACTAAATGTTTAATTGGTATGAACTGTAGCTTAATAGCCGTAAAAAGCTCATAGCAACCACTATAGCAGCGCCCTATAACGTACGCGATCCAAAACAATAATTGTAAATTTTGGCGGGAAGCCGAGCATTCCAATCTAAATTTATTTCTTTTGTCTATGGCAATAATTTAATGAATTAGTTTGACTTTCACTTTGTGATAGGCGTTGCTAAGTACTCCGCGTAAGTTCCATATATTTTCAAAATTTTCAGGTTGCGTATTGTAACTCGAATCTGTAGCTTTTGCCCAAATTTCCACCTGTGGAATAAAAAAATATCATAAAAGGGTCAATTTTTTACAACGTTGTCGATTCTTTCTACATCAACTTTACATACTTCATTTAATTCGTTGTTTACTGGAATTTTAATTGACCACAATGTCCATGCCCAGTGTCGTGGCGGTGGTGCCGAATCTTGAGCGTCAAAATTGGCAACTTGCCATGTTTTACCGCCGTCGATGGTCACGTCCACTCTGACGATTTTCTGTCCTCCACCTGACCACGCATAACCTACGGAGATATAAGTTTTTATAGGCGTTTTATAAACATAGGTGAAACCCTTCCAGAGAGAGAATGACATCTAATTTCAACATATGACATACAAAAATTGACAGGAAAAAAATAAATCTTAATTAAAATGACAGACAACCCTTACTGTCGGTGTTTGTTTTAAATTTTTAAAATTTCTACCTATCGCAGTATGTTTAATGTTACGTTACAAATTCAAGACTGTTTGATATACTATTCAGTCAATAGAAATGCATCTATAATTCGTAAGATTTAAGGACCTACCTTTGACGTTTATAAAACCATCTTCAACATGGATTTTATCGCCTTCTAAGGGTCTGCATATGGCTGAGATGACTGGCAGTTCTTGAATTGCTGGTGACTTTGTAAAATCGACAGTATCCCAATCGACGCAAGGCGAGAAACCTTTGTAGTCGTTTTGTTGCCAATGCGAAGAACTTTCCGACTCTGATACGTATATTTTACCTGCATGATCAATTTAATTCATTTCAATTATAGTTTTATAATCACTATCAAGCATAGTTTTGTACATATCTTTCAGGAATAGTTTGTATATTTTCCCACTTTAAAAATGTTTAAATTTATTATTTAGATATTACACAAAAAATATTGTTACGGAAGTCGCGTAATTTGGAGAATATTTGTCGCCACTGGCAACACTGTCTTTGACTAAACAGCGTCGAGCGCCATCTCTTTATGATGGACCGAAACGGGGAGTTTAGATGGAGCTTTTGAGGATTAAATGGAATGGTCTAGCCTTGTTTATATGGTTTATACCGTACGATCGAAAAAAAACGGTGTCAAAGACGGCTGGAGAATGACAATCGGCGATAATTTTAGCGAGGTCAAACTCTAGACCTTATTTACTAAAAACTAACACTTATCATAGAGGGATTAAAAAAGGATAGAACCGTTTTTAGACACACAAATCTATTTAAAAAAAAAAATTTCTCCAGTTTTAAACTAACTTTTTAACACCATTTAAAATTCATTTTTACGCAGTATAAAAATAAATTACATCCTTCCTAAAGTCAACCGGCTGTAAGCGCCATTAAAAATAAAGAAGGGTATAGGCAAAAAATGATGTCTATTGCTTGACCTCGCCAAAGTTATCATCGATTGTTATTTCCCAGCCGTCTTCGACGCCGTTTTTTTTTCAATCGTGTAGTATATTCTTACATATACAAGGGTTCTAGTTAAAACGCAAAATTCGACTATACAGAATAATAGAATAGACACAGTTATTTCGCAAAATTCTGGAAGCCAAAATTCCCTGAAGAGTTAATTGAAAATAAAAAACGAGATATTGCTCAGAAGTATCAAGGCTTCATAGTTAATCGTTACTGTATGATTTCACTGTATATTTTAAGTTGTTTAATACATTAGGTAAGTGTGTTTAATCGTAAGTACCCAGGGAATATGTAATAATATTCTATAATTGAACTGACCTAGCCATTTAACATTTCTTGCTCCCACTATCCCGGGTACTATAACTCGTACTGGATAACCGTGATCACGCGGAATGGGAACCCCATTCATTTCATAAGCTAATATTACATCTCCCCTTTTATCCACTGCTTTCCACAAAGGAATTGACGCACCATACTGTTTGGATGTCGCATCAAAATCTATACCTTCAAACTAACAAAAAATAAAACATCTGTAACAAAAAATATTTAAATTTCATATTTATAGGATCTATTTTACTTTAAATGAAAGTTGCGTACTTGTGAAACACTCTGTATGTGAAAGTAAATTTAAGTTTGTACCTGAACATGTTTTAATCTTTCTTCGTCATCTGTTACCCCTGCCAGTTTCAAAACATCTCTTAATCTCACTCCAGTCCACTGTGCGGTTCCGATTGCTCCTGGGCCCCAACTTAGACCTTTAACTGGCTTTACCTGTTTTTATTGACGTTATTATGAATTAGCAAAGGAATTTAAGACCGATGAATTCATTCTATAAACCACTTTTGAGGAAATAGTTTGAATACAACCAAAAAAATTATATCTATCTTTGTTTGATTCAGGGATAGAGCCAACACCATCGTTAACGGTAGAGGGTAGGCCTAACAGCTCTGACGTAAAAAGTTGATACGTCATCGAATGAAGGCTTCAGGTTTAATAGCGACGCGTTCCTATTATGAACTATTTTTTGTTACTTTACATATCTTTTTAATATGTTATGAATTTTTTAAATGTAGGTGATTGATACTATTATGTCTTCAAATACAATTTATTAGTATATTATACCAAATAATTGTTGTGTGCTGAGTTGTAAAGAAAATTATAACCTCGAAAATCATGTCTATGCGACTAAAGGGAATTCACTGAGGTTATTTTATTGTAACAAAAAATAGCAGGTTATTTATATGCAAACCATATACTGATCTGGTCATCGAAACTGCGTGGTCTGGATTTTAATGTGTAAGACAGTGATGTACACAGCCTAATGGAAAATCAAATGTCAGGTTGATACATTTCTTCTATGCGGTATTGCCGGATTTAGCATCAAAATTTCAAATCGCACAAGTAGGTGTTTACGAAAAATCTTGCATCTAGAGATGGAACTTTATTTTTCACAATTAATTACACATTTTACTACAACTATGATAGATTCTTAAACAACTGTCTAACAGAAATGAGCATTATTGAGTAGCTTAGATATATCATCTTCGTTTATTATTTTATTTCTCGTTCGAACCGGCAACACTGTATGCCGCTTTTTATTTTGTCTCTCTGTCTGTCAACTGGTCGTATATATTTATCTCTGTCATATGCATTGAAGTACACAGCACGGACATAAAGTGACCAGTATAAGAGTTCCGCCTTCATTAGATGACGTCAGCCATAGGGTGTCAGGCCTTCTCTTTTTCTAGGCTATAACGGCTATTTCCGCTCTTAAATATAAAATCATCATATTGATATCACTGATATCAATATAAAGGTGAAAATAATCAATAAATTAGGTGATAGACTATTATCTGGTCCAATACAATTAAATATTAACTCTGCATTTATTTTTCGAAAAAAATATTCTGCAGTTATTGTCGTCGAGAATAGGTGTATACTTTTGTTATCAATTAGTTATATAAAAAATATAGACGTATAGTCTATCCAATATGCAACAATAGTATCCACGACAGAGACACTTGTTTCTGTCATTTTCATAGATAATTGAGGTAATGTTGTTTTAACTCACGGGTAAATTATATTTTCTGTCATTTTTGAACGTCGTCTTTGGACAGACTATACCTACATGTATTGAATTACTACATTCTTTAATTAGTACTATTTTTTCTTACTTTTGTCATTTCACTTCTTCTGTTACCAGCACACATAATAGTAGCTGTGATAGTGTGCTTAGGAAATTTCTTTAACTCGTCCAAGGTAAAAGTCAGTATTTTAGATTTATCCTCAACTTCTATTTCCAATTCATATGTATCCACATCTATTTCTGGAACTGGTAAATGATTTCTCACATAGAACAACTCACTTTAAAAAAAATAAGCCTTTTACTATTTGCATAAATTTAATAATCGTGGTGTGTTATTTACTTTGGTGTAAGGAAGTTCTCACACAGTAACTGTGGGGATAATTCAGCATTAAAAGGTTTTACACTGGCAGGTTTTAAAGCTGTATGACGTCTGGGTTCCTTGGCGTAAGGATCATTCATATTTTCAATTGATAACTCCTTTTGATCATCCCTATTTAAATTTCCTAGTGATATTAATAGTTTTTAATGTATTTCGAACAGTTAATTACAACATTACCGATCCGGAGAGTCTCTAAAATTTCATATACATGTGGATTTTCATGTATTCCATATATCAACCAAAAAGGTTCTACACTGCTTCCAGCAGCCATAAGAATTTGTTCACCACCTGGATGGCCTTCAATGAAATCGGTGATGTCGTATACTCCTTCCTTGTAAGTTACCCATATTTTAGTATCTCTAGGAAGATATTGTTTGTAAAGTTCTATATTAGAGAGGTATTACACATTTACTTTGTAGAATGGTTATTAACTTCTGCTAAGGTGTAAGTAGGTAAATCATTTCGAAATATCCCGGGCCCAATAACATTGCCATTTTCACTCAAGTCCAGTAAAGAACTACAAATAAGCTTGTGCCTGTCTTTAACTAAAATCATAAAAAAAATACTAAAATCAATTCTTACTGGGAATTATATTAGAATTACATAGATCAGATAGTTCATCAATTTGGATCAATAACTCTAAAGTAATATAGCTCTACAACTACATACTTACTATAAAAATAGTATACGAATACTCCAGATAAAGCACTACCAAACATTATGGATGTTTTCCAATAATGATTTTGTCGGTTCCCATCGTTTCGTTCTCTATCTTGTTGGAAACAAGACCGAGAAATAACTCTACTATAATTAAATTTATTCAGATTGGGTAGTTTGCGAAAAACACTAAAAATATTTTACTAACAAAAATTCAAATATTCCCAACTTTCTTACCTTTTTAATAATGAATTCATCCTGTAGGCAAAGCTAACCTCTTCATTTCTTCATCAAAATATTGTTTAAATTTCTTCATTTAAGATGTGCAATAAATAATGATAAAATATACCAAGGTCAGTTTCTTTTTTTAGCAAAATACTAAAATTGGTCTTTTTTAAATTTGGCGCGTATAAACCAGCTAATTTCATTCTCTTCTTTTCTGTTTTAAGGTTTCTAGCTGCCATATTCATCCAAACTTGATATTGACCATGGTTAATTAGATTGAAGTTGCTAACGCTCTGGCCGTATAGTCCTGACAACTTAGGCCATAAAACAAAAAAAGAGAAAAGTTGATTACGCCTATTTTATTTATTAATCTATAGCCATCTTTTGATAGAACTTTGACAGATTGACATTATCAAATGTCAACATTTCATTTGGTCCAAAGTTTTTTAAAGTTATGGAAGTACAATGGGAACTCTATCGTTTTTTGTCGATTGTTCGATCTTGATATCTCGTGAAATGTGGGAAATATTCTTGAAAAAACTATGGGCGGCTGCATAGGAATATCAAGGAGTCACAGTGGGGCTGTGGAGAATAGTAGCGAATCCGTAACAAGACCAGTGTCAGGTTAGTAAAAACAAGTCTTGAACTAATTAGTCAAATTTAATTAATTATGTTGCTTTTTAATACTTATTCTAAAAATATTTACAATTAATACATTAGAGAAATTTATTTTCATTTTATCAGCGTACTGATTTATAGGAATACTGATGTGCTTCATATTATAAAATATTGTTTTCAAGTTTAGTTTGAAACTGAATTGTTATACGTATTTAACGAATTGTCCAAAATATATGTAGGTAATTATATACCAACTAAAAAGTCTATTTTACCGACAAACAAGGGGTTAAAGTTTTATTGCTTTAATAATACTTGTTAATATCTAATTGACATGACAAGTATTAACTAATCACATTATATTTATTACTTCAATATTACGCCTATTGTCTAAAACATTACTTTAGGAAATCCACATAATAAACCATACAGATTGGCCCATGAAACAATTAGATGGAAATCAGATGTACCCCTTACCGAAGGTCAACTTAGATCGAAAAGAGATGAATTTTGGGATACGGCGCCTGCATTCGAGGGCAGAAAAGAAATTTGGGATGCCTTAAGGTACATTTTAGTGTTACTGTATTAAAATGCATAGTAAGAAATCTATTTTTTTCAATATAGAGCTGCCGCCATGGCTGCAGAACAACACGATTTTGAGCTGGCGCAAGCTATTGTCGATGGTGCTGGAGTTTTTGTACCTAACGGATATATCACTGACTGTTACGATCAATTAGGCGAAAGGTATGTCACTGTAAACCCTATAAATGTGTAATTAACCTTAAAAGTATTTTAATAAATAGGTACCAAGTCCCTATATACTGTCTTTCTTATCCGATAAATATTGTTAAAGAGGACGGCAGAGATTCTCCAGCAGAATGTAGTGAACCTGTGGAAAGTGGCACGGAAACTGTGTTAAAATTAAGGTTAAGCCATACATGCAGTGATGTAAAATTGGCTGTTTATTCTAGTGATACAATCAGTATGTGCAAGAAAAAATTGCAGGTGAGTTATTTTTCATTAAATGCTTCACTTTTCTGGGTTATCAGCTTTATGATTAAATATTTATTGTCTTCAACACCTGACAATGGATTGAAAATAAGCATAAATAAATCAATTATGGGTTATTTCTTTGTATAAAAATATGTCAGAGTAATTTTGATTTGAAAAGTTTTTGTTGTTATTGAATTATTTATTTTTTAATAATTATTTTCAAATTTAAAAACATCTTGTGGAGGAGATAACTGCATCTAGGAGATGCAAACCTTGACAAAAACCTTTTATTTTTCGAAAAAAGAAATAATGTTCAGTTAACATTATTACAATTAAATTCTTATCTAATTCTATTTTTATATTATCATTGTTCTGTGACAGAAACCTTTGGCCGGACCTCCTTTGTTTTGATTGTATTTGAGGTAAATTATTGAAATGCGTCGGTAATTTCGTTGGCGATCGTTAAATATTTAAAACACACACTAACATGGCATACAAACTACCTGCTTTTATGTGACACACTAATCAATAATACATAATGATGTCCAGTGACCTTTTAGATTGACGACGATAAAGAATTGATTGATTGGCAGAACTTGTTATTTATATGGTTTATTGCTTTTTTTTCTAGGAATACCTATGATGGTTAAAAGTGTGTTTATATGATACTATCAGATAGGGAAACCACTGTGTTAATATACAGGGTTTATTAAAAAATAATACAGGATAAATACGAGGGTACTCTGAAATGTACGGGGAAAAAATCTGAAAAGTTGTTTAATATGTTTTTTATTTTAAATTTCTAATTTGTTTTAGAGCCAAGAAGGTATTGAATCGTCTAGACAAAGATGGTTCTATGGTGGAAAGCTTCTTGGTGACAAGTTACACATTGAAGAAGCCAAGATACCGTTAGGCTATGTAGTTCAAGTCATTGTCAATATGGAGAATTACTCTCCTATACCAAACAAAAAAGCCTTATGATGAGTTAGAGAATTTACATTAGGGTAAGTTTTACAATTATTTTTATTCAACCTATTAAAATTATTCACTGAATTTATTAAGAAATTTAAAATGATTTTTTTTGTTGTTTCAGTTTAAGTATTACAGGTAAACAAAGTTAAAATGATTAAAAATAAAAGGTACTGACCAAAATGTAGGTTGTGAACACAATGTGAAAGAACTAAAACCCAAAAAATAACCCTAGGACCATATCAAAATAAATGGTATTTAATAATGTTGAATGATATTTAATAATGTTGGGAATATTTATTTTGCCATAAACGCTACCATGACACTTTATTGGTGCTTTTGTATTATACAGGATGTCTCTTTGAAAATAACTTATGTTGATATAATTTGTTTTATATAACAGTATGTCCCCGGATTATCTTATAAGAGGAAAAACTTTTTTATTATTGGACATTTAAAAAAAAGCATTCTGCATAAAAAAAATTGCTTGTTCTAAAACGGTTAATTCCGTTTATCACTTTTTCTGTAGCATTGAACTAAATAAATTTTGTGCTTCTTTAACATTTTAAAACAGCAAAAAATATGACGTTAATTAAAATTCTCTCAATAACAATCTATCAAAGAATGAAAACGCAATTATATTACCATAGCGCGTTTTGATTTTTTTTTGCTCAAAATGTCAATAATAAAAAAGTTTTTCCTCTTGTTAAGACAATCCGGGGACATACTGTATAATAATTAAAATTTAGAAAAATTCTCAAAATATCTTAATCTCCCATTGACACTAATATTGTCAGAAATTTATAGTTTTCATAACACCAACTTTAGTATATTACAAATTTATTTAGAGACACCCTATAGATACCGGTTACATTATTTAACGATATAGGAAGTCCTATATGAAATTTTACGTCACAGATATCAATAAAATAAATATAAGATAGTAAAAAGGTAACATAATCACTAATATAAAAAGTATTGCTTTGTTTTATGTTTTTATAAACTGTATAATCGAAAAAAATAGCGTCACAGTGGCCAATGACAATCGTTTATTAAGAATTGATATAAGGTAAACAAAGATTAATATTTGATTAAAAAAAATAAATTGCGTGTGAACGATTAACATATCTGGAAACGCCTTTTTTTTAATTAAATCTGAATTTTTGACATGTTTTTATAACAAATTTTGATGACATATAGGGTCGGCTTATTTATTGTCGTGTCAAAGACCACTATGACGCCGTTTTTTTCCCCATCGTTGCGTTAATGGTAATAAAACATTTATGGGACTTTTTATAGTGGTTCTTGGTATATTTATGTTATTTAATAGATCACTAGAATCGCACAATGTATTTGAAAAAATATCGCAAATTTCCTTTAATTTTGTGTAAATATTTATAATCAAAGCATTATTTATTTTCTTTAATATTACTCATCAGAAAAAGAAATCTATGATGGGTTTTGTGTTCTAAATAAAAAGTACAATTAATTTTTAATACTTGTCTTGAAATAGTTCAAATGTACAATTAAAAAAAAAATAAAATGCAATCAAATATCAGCACAAATTAAGCCGGGAACCCATTAGCCAACACCCGACGTGATGCCACACGATGCCACACTATCCCGTGTTGCGACGTACCCATTAGATAACACGTGTTAACACGCCTGAAATTTTTATTAGAGTTAAAAAAGTATCGATACCCATACCGATATTAGATTATAATCATAATACCAGTACACCAATATATTCAGAATCGAATATCGATATTATTAAATCAATCTTATAGGGATCAATCTTTTGTTGCCGATTGTTTCTGGATCTATCTTGTTATATCCGATGTTGAGTCGATTCAAAATATCGATTTATTTTATTTTTGGGGCATCCCTACATCAACTACAAAATTAGATAGCTGCGGGGCTAGAGAGGCAAGCGGGGAACAACACGCCGTAACACACGTCGGTGAGATCTGGGACCGACAAATCGACCATCACACGCGTCATAGCGTGTTATAGCGTCGGATGGCGTCGCGTGTTGCGTAGTGTGTACGCAATACATGTAATTAAATGGAAAACATACGCACAGATCTTCATGACGTGGGGTAGCATGGCATCACGTGGCGTAGCTTGTTGGCTAATGGGATCCGGGCTTTATTGCTTATGGATTTTGTAATCAAACCAGTAACGTTTAGCTTTAAAAAACGTACGATTTGAAATATTTCAAGAACTGTTAAAGCATTTCTTAGCGCATTGGCGTCGATTAGACGATATTAGATTCACTGTAAGATTGTGTATTTTTATATATTTGCGTGCGGCACACAAATATTGTTGTATATAGATACGCCTTGAAATTTTTATATCTAATTATTATTATTTATCGATATTTGGTTGGAGTTAACTGATGATAGCTTTAGGTTTATACATATATAAATAAATAATTCTATTATTGTATATAAAATAAGATTGACTGTCGTATTTTAGAAGAAATGTTAATATAGTACAGTACGTGAAACTTATGCGCAGGTGTCAGGTTATATAAATACTCTATTTAAATAATAAAAGTTTTTAAAGAGTTTACGAGAAAGGTACAAATTTAAATTTTTACTTAACCAGTTGCTATTTAAAAATTTAAACTTGTATAATTAATAATTTAGAAATTACTATATTAGTATAGAGTTAAAGGGAGGCACACTATTTGAAATTACAAAAATTTGGCTATTTTTGGTTAAAATATTTTGTTAAAATCGATTTAAAACTTTGCATATAAAGATTAAGGAAGTATCCATGTATTTGTGTATGGTAGTAGGTGGGGATCCTTGACAGTTCTGTTTGACGATTCACTTGGTACATTTGAATTTGATTTGAAATTTTGTGGATTTGTCAGTCTTTACTGAGCTTATTTTTGGTGATTTATTATTTATTCTACAACTGATAATTGTTTAGAGGTAGTAAATCTGGAAGGAAATTTTGTGGCAGAACTTAAATTATAACAGTGACACTATTGCGATTTATCGAAAAAAACTGTAGAATAGTTGGTTGTGTAGCGTGCGGAAGATCTCGATCAAAAATCGAGGGGAATAATGGAATAACTTGTCACTAGTAAGTGACTATATAATATACATACGTGTAGTATACCCAAGAACAGTTAACCTAATAGGACTGCTCATTCAACCAAAAGTGTCTGCAAGTGCATGCGAAAACTCCTCGCTTTGTGACGCCATTGTAGTCCTTGTCATGGTTATTAGTCCCTATCCGGCAAATCAAAACGTTCATTATTTAGTTTATTTATTTAAACGCCTTATATGTATGCAGTATAGAAAATTAACCGTATAGATCGTATTAAATACTCGGATAATGCATTTTTAAAAACAGCAGTTCCCAGCATCACCTTTTGCAAGCATTCTTTTTAGAATACCTCCATATTTTGCTTTAAAATAATTAATAAACAATATCGTGGGCACTTAGTAAGCACTTTGTCACAATCCACAACACAAAATGAACGTATTTAGACACTCTATAGCTCTAAAAACTTTAAGACACCTTTTCACATTTAAAATTGACAAAATAATTAACTCAAGATTTCTCAGCTGTTACTCATAAGTTTACCATAGGCAACTAATAATACACACTATCATGACAAGGCAAGGACAAGGCTTTGACAAGGACTACAATGACGTCACAACTGTCAGCTGAAGCGCGGGAAGAGGCGAACGTACGTCTTATGAGGATGAGCAATCCTATTAGTTTACCGTTCTTGGCCAAAAGTGTCTGCCAAGTGCATGCGAAAACTCCTCGCTTTGTGACATCATTGTAGTTCTTGTCATTGTTATTAGTCCTTATCCGGCAACCAATAATACACACACGTGCATTATTGGTTGCCGGATGCAAACGTTCATTATTTAGTTTATTTATTTAAACACCTTATATGTATGCAGTATAGAAAATTAATTGTATAAATCGTATTAAATACTCGGATAATGCATTTTTGACAACAGCAGTTCCCAGCATCACCTTTTGCAGGCGTTCTTTTCAGAGCACTTCCATATTTTGCTTTAAAATAATTAATAAACAATATCGTAGGCACTTAGTAAGCACTTTGTCACCATCCACAACACAAAATGAACGTATTTATACACTCTATAGCTCTAAAAACTTTAGAAACACCTTTTTCCCATTTAAAATTGACAAAATAATTAACTCAAAATTTCTCAGCTGTTATTTTTATAAGTTTACCATAGGCAACTAATAATACACACTATCATGACAAGGACTACAATCACGTCACAACTGTCAGTTGCAGCGCGGGAAGAGGCGAACGTACGTCTTATGAGGATGAGCAATCCTATTAGTTTACCGTTCTTGTAGTATACCGACCATTTATGAAATTCACTTAAAATTAACTTATTTAACTATATATTTTTTCTTGCATTTTTACTTTTATTTGCTACTTGTCAAAGGTTAGATGTCAAAAAATTTAGATACGTCAATTTGACTTACCTAAATAATTATTAAACTTCTCTATTTTTGTTAGAATTATATATTTAACAATTTTAATAACTACCAACATTTATTGACAACGTCAAATGAAACAACAAATTATTGAGTCTACCCTACATCATATTTTTACACGTTTTGAATAAAATTAGAACGGCACTGATAAACCGGAATTTAAGTCGGCCATTTTAGGTCCCCATCGCGCTCGACCTAAGTTTTTTGATATGCTCCTTCCTTAATCTTTTTTTCAAAAGTTTAAAAGTTATTCGATATTCAACGGTGTGTATACGGGGTGTCCTTTATAAGAATGTACAGTCAGAAGTATCTTAAATCATTTAAGATTCAAATATTTGACTAAAACCCATTTATTTGGTGGTATGCTTTTTTTAAACTGTAGTTTAATATTTAATATTTTATTCCACTCTTCTTACTGTCAAGTACTTAGTTCTTGTAAATAACGAAATATAATAATATAAATATAAAAGTTAGTAGACAAGTGTAATAGTACACTGTCATTATTTATGGATATGGATTGGTAAATTCTTATATGGAACACCTTTGTACTGCATCGTCATATAAAAAACCTAAAATTAATAAATAAATAAAGGAGATAATCAGAAAAAGAATATACATATATGACAGTGACAGTTATCTGTTGATTTATTTCGAAAGTAGATTGTATTTCTGTATTTTTTTTTATATGTTGTTGACAGACTTTAGACAATTGATTTTGATGAATTTTTGTTTTTACTAATACTTAACCAATCTGTTTTAATTTGAAACAGAACTACTGATTTGTGAAGAACTATACCTATCTTAATTATATCTTATTTTGAATTAAATTAAATTCACAGACAACTGATAAAAATTCAAAACCAAATAAAACTTCAATACACAGTTTTTTTATAATTAAAAAATAAGTATTTAGATTTTAGAAACATTCGTCTCCTTTATTTATTTGATATTTCTCCAAAATTAAATTCGCTTGTTCATATATAGAAAAAAAAATGAACCAACAATACGAATTTACTGTCTCAATTACTTTATATAAGGATTACATAACACTTTGGCACAAAAATAATGTCAAATATATCAAAAATAAATTTTTACTTGTTTTGTAAGATAACACAACGAATTTTTGAAAGAAATACCAAAACATTTCCATCAGTATTACGTTTTTATTGAGTATACATAAATTATTAAATAAATTAAAATATTAACTATCCAACAACATAAATTGTAATTATTATAACATACAGAATAGAAGACCCAATTATCTTTTAAGATTTTAGATTCTATTCTATATGTTAGCTTAGTTTGTGACTGATTATTAGATAAGTTTTGATATTATAAGTTAAATTGCGGGGTTTTCCAACGCCTAAATATACCGTATGATAAAAAACGGCGTCGCAGTAGTGGCCTGTCAATTGACGATGGATGAAAATATCTTTTGCGTCTAAGAGGACCTGAGAAATTATCATGGATTTCTGTTTCAAAGGTCACTGTGGCGCCTTTTTTTCACGGTATTCGGTTTAGTAGAGCCTAAAAACTCTTTTGTGCATTTCATATGTACAGGGTGGTCGAAATTGGTCTGTTTTAACAGAGAAACCCTATTTCCTGACTAGATAGAGTAAAACCGACATAGATGTCATGGGATCGAAAATTGCCCATAACTTTTTTATTTTGCGGAATAATAAAATTCTGTAAAAACGTTCTCAAGGCAAATTTTTAAGCACAATCCAGTGGCGTAGTCAGTTTTTTTCTATGCTTGCTTTTTTTTGTCAGAAAAAATAAAAAATACATTTTTTTAAATGGAAATCATAGTTGGCTATGAATTTTAAAAAATACTGGCGTTTAACCCTTCCCAACGGTATAAAGTTATCGGTATCTATTTCTAAGAATGAGAGAAATATTTGTTTTTTTATCTTTATATCAAAGCGGGCCTTCATTTTGTGTTGACCTATTTGCCTAATTATTTTTTATCACAATTTGATATTCTACATTATTATTTATCTGCATAGCTAAAAACTTGTGAAAAGGTAAATTAACATTCTATATAAGTATTAGTCATTACAATTGAAATCGATAAAATAAACAAAGTAAAAAACTATAAAAACGTATTTTTTGAGTGACGAATATAGTTTTCTAAAAAATCATCAAATGTTCAAACTTGAGCACCTCCTTGTTGAATACACAATAAACATATTTTGCGCACAGAGTTACAACAATTTACTAGACGAACTGGTGTAATAAGCCCAAAAGCTTGCCTAGTAGCCTTCTGCAATTCTTCTTTCGTCCTAATGGCTCTTCCCTTATATATAAGGTCTTTTAATTATCCCCATAAAAAAAGTCGAAAGGAGTTAAATCACAGGCCAAGATATGGGGCTCCTTGTTCCAATCCAGTTCTTTCTAAATTTCTCATTTAATAGATCAGTTATAACCCTGGCTTTTTAATTGTAAATGGTAATACTAATATAGAATATAGTTGATTTACCTTTTCAGAAGTCTTTAATTATGCAGATAAATAATAATATAGAATATTAAATTGTGATAAAAAATAATTAGGTAACTAGGTCAACACAAAATCAATGCCCGCTTCGATACAAACATAAAAAACCTAATTTTTTTCTCATTCTTAGAAATAAATACACATAACTTTATATCGTTGGAAACGGTTAAACACCAGTATTTTTTTAAATTCATAGCCAACTATGATTTCCATTTAAAAAATTATATTTTTTATTATTTCTGACAAAAAGAGAAAGTATAGTAAAAACAGGCTACGCCACTGGATTGTGCTTAAAAAGTGCCTTAAGAACGTTTTTACAGAATTTTATTATTCCGCAAAATAAAAAAGTTATGGGCAAATTTCAAAATAGTAAAAAATTCAAAAAGACCCCGAAATGGCCCCGAAATCGAGCCCTTGATATCTATGTCGGTTTTGCTCTATCTAGTCAGGAAATAGGTTTTCTCTGTTAAAACAGACCAATTTCGACCACCCTGTACACTAATCGATACCTACGTAAATTACTGATTTAAAAAAAGTAAACGTTTGAAAGATATACAAACTGTGTTAAATTAGGAATATTAATGTAATTTCACTATTTATACCGTTATCCTATAATAATTAAAGACTGCTATTACTGATAATTATCTATTTTAACATCACACTCGAGTTAGAACAGACTGTTATAATTTATTTTCGAACATTAAAGAGTTTTAATAAATCGGTACTACGAATGCACAAGTGTGATGGTGTGATTTATTCATATTAAAAACATTATAGGTATAGGACAAATCATAAATAAACCAGCACTTCAACTTTATATATTTATTTATAGAATTATCTATTATTTTTCCTTCTATACAGATCTTTAAAAATTTAAGAAAATTATAATTATTTCTTGTAAAAATTCTTTGAAAAAAGTGATACAGGTGAATATTAACCCAAAATATATTTTTAATAGTTGCAAATACCGGTAATCATTTCCACGTATATTTTGGTGAGAGATTGAGGGAATTGCTGGTTTGTTTACGGTATGTCAAAACTATAGTAATATTTATGATAAAAAAGGCAATATAGGTTTAATGATAATAATATAGCGTACCTTAAAATTGTTTTAACGTTTATAAAAAAATGAATGCAAAAAATAAAGCATTTATTAGAAAATACCATTTTTATTTTTTTATGTAGGACCTTTTTATTTTCCACAAATGTCGCATGTTTCATGGTCAAAATAAATCCCCGTATGAAAGTTTGAATATTAGAGGAAATTTTTTGTAACATAATTTTTAACACGACAAATTTAATAGGGAGAAAACAGGAAGTGCTGTAAAATTAAATAGCTTATCTTTATAAATGTAATGTTTATTTAACTTAACCAGACTTATAAAATAATACTAACAAGTAATAACAACACGAATTCAACAAAATAATAACATCGGGTTGATTTACAAAAATAAAAAAATAAAGGTTCTTTAGATAGCTTTTGGTAATCGCTTTAGTTCATGGGTTAGCCATATGGCTGTAGATAGGACCAATAATGAGCCACTTTGGTGACTGGCTGCTACTGGAGTGGGTACATAGGTGAGTAAAGTTGTTATACCCAAAACAACCTGAAAGTATTATAAGTTTTTTTTAAGAAACCAAATAAGTTAACATCAGAAAAAAATGTAATTTTTTTATAGAAAACAGTAAAGGAAAAAAATATATCAGGAATTGTTCTTGTTGGATTTATTTCGTTTTTGAAAAATCTTTTGCGAGATCTTTTGTAAATGGCAAAAGAAATATTTTTTTGAGGGCCCCTGTATATTTATTAATATTAGTAGATATAAAATCGAATGGTGCCACGACTGTCGCCAGTGACACATCAAAGAACAAATTGAGAAATGAGATTTTTTGAATTTAGTACAGCTCTCATTGGTACTTTGAAATGTCAACGACAGAACATAGTCAAAGAGTAGAGAATATTCTCTACTCTTTGGCATAGTTCTGAGAACGCGGCTTTAAGGTTTAAAGTATGACAGATGTCACAAGACATGCCTTTTTAGGGTTCCGTACCCAAAAACGGGAACCCTATTACTAAGACTTCGCTGTCCGTCCGTCCGTCCGTCTGTCACAAAGGTCTATCTTATGCTCCGTTATAGCTAGACAGTTGAAATTTTTACAGATAATGTATCTATGTTGCCGCTATAAGAACAAATACTAAAAACAGAATTAAATAAATGTTTATAAATAAAAAAGTACTTTCACTAAACATTATCTTTTAAGTAAGACTTTTACATAGAATCTTTCAAGTCCTCGGTGGCCGCGTGGTTTAAAGCGTTAGGACTTTACGCTGCTATGACGTTGGAGCCGTAGTAAGGCAGGTTCGAATCCTAGTCAAGGCGACTTTTTTTAACCGTCTTTATTTTAATTTTTACATATTTATTTTTACTTTTTATGTATTTATTATTGATTAATACAATTTTTAGTAATGTGTTTCTTCATTTTTTTTTAAATTACTTATACGCGCATTCAAAATTTCAGCTAAATCGGAAAAAAAGTTTATAATAATATAGTGTCTAATGTTGTATAGATAACGAATGGTACGAAACCCTTCGTGCGCGAGTCCGACTCGCACTTGACCAATTTTTTTTTGTTTTATTTTGAACTGCATAATATAATATGTTATAATTTATGCTGGTATAAACTTTTTTACTTTATTCCATTCAATTGCAAACCATTTTGACACACTGTATAAACAAACTCTATATCAATACAAACCTGTAAATATCCTGCAAGAAGTAAGGCGTTTGCTGCAATGTACGCTCTCCTAGGTAAAATACGTTTTCTGCTTAAATACCACAGTGCTGTAATTAAACCTAAAGTTGTAGTTCCTAAAATCCTATGATTGAATTGGACCGTTGTTGGATTTTCCGTAAAATTAACCAGTTTGGGTGTGTATGCCAGGATATCGTCGGGAATCCACTTATCCGCCATTTTGGGAAAAGAATTGTATACCAAACCTGCATCTAATCCTGCCACAAAAGCACCTACAATAATAAAAAGTACTTTTAAGTAAAACGTGCCATTTACTTTGTTGGATTTAACATATTAAATAATTATAATACACTTTGCTATGTATATATCGTAGTCTCATATACTGTCCTCCATTCACGCAGTTGTGCAGCTCCTGAACTTTTCAAGAAGATGACACTCTCACTCCAGTCATAAAATTCAGAACTGTTCCGCGCCATATGGAGGCACCAGGCTATCGCGCACAGCTCCTTTCAGAACCGTTCTCGAGTAGCCCAGGGCGTAAAGCTCTGGAACTTGAAATTCGCGAATGGAGGACAGCAATAGTGTATTTCGTCCTTTTATTAAGATCCTAGTCACTTCATGAAGCGTCGCGTCGGTTAGGTTAGTTAGTTTAGTTAGGTTTTAGAGACATATACAAGCCACGTAGCAGATGATTTATTTACCTGAAACTGCTGTAAGGAACACCATTCCTTTCGTTGTATGCGCGAACATCCTAAATTTTCGCGTAGCTTTCAGTACTGCGTCGGTACTAACTTTGAGAGTTTCGGCCGGTAGCAACTCGTTAAATGCGGACCATAACAACAGCGTATACAGAACAAAGGCGAGACTCAAATGACTAGCTAGACGGTACTGAGAAACGCGCGGTACGTCATTTTCACCGTGAAATCGTTCTTCGAGACCAGACTTAACCATATACCATCCCATCAAACCCTGAAATAAAAAAAAATCAGTCTCAATTTAACAAAAAACCTTTTTAGAACTGCAGGTTTGTCTGAAATGTCCACGTTTAATGAATAAAGACATTTATTAATTTACAAATAATATACTTTACCGTATGTAAACTTTTTTAAATTTATAAGCTTAAGAGTCCATTTCACTTGTCCGAAAAATTAGCGAAATAAGCGTTCGGCATTTAACGTTTTATGTAAAACTGGCTAGATATTTTTACACAAATGAAGAAGAAAATTAAAGATAGAGGATTATACTATACTACTACTACTCTGTATTGAAGCACATTTTTAGACAACTGCTTTATCTTTAAAATTTTGTTGGTCAAACATCAACAAAATATCCTCCTGTTTGGACTAAATTTTCTCGAAAATAAAGACATACCTAATTTAAAATTCCGTTACAATACAGAAAGAGATTGAAGTTTTATGATTACAATCATATATAATTTATATGATATATATTTCCTTCGGCCACAGTGCCCCTAACCCGACCCCTGAGAGCGACCCGAACAGTACAGCGTAATAGATTCTTAAATAACTGCTCTATTTTGGACTTATTTGAAAAATGGAAATATACCCGGTATATTCTCATACCTGCAAACCGATTAAGGCTCCAAAAGCCAACACTCTCTTCTTTAAGGCTGGCGTAAATCTGCCTCTAGCCCAGAAGTATACAGCGGGTATCAAAAATACGACCCCTATCAATCTACCCCATTGCCTATGTCCGTACTCCATATGCCAAATGAATTTGAATTCAGAAAGCGTCATCTCTCGGTTCTTTCTACATGGAAAAAAATGATGATGCTAAAACCTAAAAGATACTTAAAAATACTGAACTTACAATTTAAATTCGGGATATTGCTGATACTTGGCAAACTCCTCCTCCCATTCTTGTTGCGTCCTGGGCATTTTTTCACCTAATAATTTCCATGTTACCATTGAAAGCCCGGATTCAGTTAAACGTGTTACTCCCCCTGTAAGCCATTAATTAACTTTATTACTAAAAAAGGGACATCTAAAGGCAAAAGAAACACTTAAATTCAATAATTATTTTATTAAATTTTAATATTTAATATAAATAAATATGATTTGTATATTTATTACACTCCACGAGTCCTCTTAATTATTTCTTCAACAACAATATACACACTTTTTAAAATACCATAATAAATACATATACCTAGAATAACAGCTACAAAAACCATTCCGCTACATGTTAACAGCCAATATCCAACAGTTTTTGAACTTTTCTGCGGTGAATTTGATGTGAGTCTTAAAAGTACTGTGCCATTACTTCTTGATAAAAGCTAAAAATTAATATGAATCAATATATAAAGATATATTTTTTAACTGATCATAATTTACCTTCAGGTTATTCTGCCAAAAAGTTTGTGGTTTTCTACAAGATATATTAGTCAGACGTCTTATAGGTGAAATTTTATAAAGGCTTTTTGAAGATGTGTTTAAAAATTGGGATGAAATTCTTGGAGTTAATGTGCAAAGTCTTGAAACCGACAACATTCTTTTTCATCTATTTCTGCAAAATATTTTTACTACTTTTGAACATCCCCCTGTATTATCACAACCAATATGATTATATTCTAGGTCAAAGATATTTAATTTGATTCTAGGTGATATTGGCACAACATCCTTTTTTCATGTATTTCTGCAAAATATTTTTTATACTTTCGGACATCCCCCTGTATTCTAAGCGTAAACAAAGACAAGTTCCTTATCTTATTTCTAACTTACAATATTGTTAGTTACAATTAAATCGATCTAGAATTATTATAAATCTATTACCACATTGAATTCTGAGTTTATTGTAAGTACTTTAAACGTTTCTTCATTAATTTGTAATGATAAGATATTGTATATGTAAATAATGGATACCAAAATTGAAACATTACATCAAATATTTGACAAAATGTCTTATGGTGAAAATCTTGAGGACACTACCGAAGCTAGTGTAAGTAATTTTGCAGTTGTAGTAAAATTTTATATAAAAAATGAGTTAATTTATAGGAATGGGTTCAATCCACAGAAATACAAGACAAAACTAATGATGTTGATGATGTTCTAAAAGGTATAAAACAAAGTACAGAAAAAGTTCAAAAGCAACATTTGATAAGGTAAAACTTTAAAAAATCCTTTTTATAAATATATACGTTTAAAAAGAAAATATCCGTTGATTAGATTAGCTCAAGAAATCCAAGGAAAGTCCAATGTAATAGCACAAATTGAAATTATACAACGGGGAGTGCTATCAAAAGACACGAAAAAATCGACGGATATTATAGCACAGTATTTGTTTTACTATGCAAATTTTATTAAACGAAGCAACGAGAAAGAAAAAAAAGGAGAATCCAAAGGTAATTTTGTACACTCCGTTTATAACCTTAAAATTATGGTGGATTTTTAAAAAAAATATATTATAAATAAAATTAAGGTACTTACACGTTTCTAATGTATTATAAAATAATATAAATTATCGTTCTCAATCACTACATGTACAATTTCCAATAATATGGATATTTTGCGGTTTTTGCCGATTAAAATAATACCTCCGAAGTTATCACTGGCTCCAGCTGCCAAATGTCACGCGTATTAATCTGTGGTGCCTATAAAACCGTTCATTTTCCATAATTTTAAATACCGGGGTCATTCAATAAGTTAGATAATATAATTTTTTAATATTTTATAAATGCTTTCCCAAGTACTTTCATTTATTTTTTAGGATTAAACGTAGCAGTTTTTGAAGACGATAGCCCTTTATGGCTTTTAGCGCTTGCCATAATACCAAGTATAGTATCAGGTTATACAATTTTAATTCAAACTGGAATTAAATTTGCGAGGGTTGTAAAATATATATTGGAATTAGCTAAAAAAGTGGGGTAATACTTAAATTATTATTTGTAAATCACTTGAAAGTACCTAATTACTGTGTTTTTTTAAGGATACCTGAAGAATTTTTTGTACTTGTCCCAAGTTGTAATTGTTCGGTATCATCAAATGATACCGAATTACAATTATATTTGAATAATGAACGAGTAGGTATAATTATTCTATTTTTAGACTTACTAAATCCAAAATATAAGGGAGTCAATAAACTGAACAAGAAAATTTTGGTTTGTAAGTTTCCTCATTAAATTTATACGTTTATGATTAAAATTAATTAATTTATTGTAGTTTCGTCATATAAAACGTCGGTAATAGTTTTTGACGACGCTGATACGGATTCTGCTGTTGAAAATATTATAGAAGCTGCATGGGGCTACCAAGGAATGGTAGGGATAATTATATAGTAACCAAATATAAGTTTTTTATATTATACAACTATACTTGATATGTATAGTTTATTTTGAAATAGCTTATTTTACTTGTTTCAGAATCCTTGGTCTGTAGATACTGTAATAATTCAAGAGAATGTGTTTAATAAAGTGGAAGTAAAATTAAGACGTAAATTGGAGATTCTTAAAATTGGGTATGGTAACGATAGAAATGCTGATATATCTTACCCCACAAATTCAAAAATATTCAAAAATTTGACTAAGCAAGTCAACAAGGCAAAATCATTGGGCATAACAGTTTATCAGAAAGAAATAAGTACTAATAGTGATTTTACTCCTACACTTATCATAGGTAAAATAAGTCCTTAAATTGATTGATTAAAATAAATGATTTTTTCTTTAGGGTCAAAAGTTTCTACAAACAATGTGATTGAGACCTTAGAAAATAGTTTTGCCATAGCATTAGTGCCTTTTAGATTTATTGATGAGGCTGTCAATTTGGCTAATAATTCTAGACAAGGATTGGGCGTGTCTGTTTGGTGTGAGAATATTGGACTAGTGAATGAAGTAGCTAGAAAATTAAACGTAAGAATACTTCTTGCGTATTTAAAATCAAAACTACAAAAATTATTTATTTTAAGGTGAATAATGTCTGGATAAACTCTCATGGTTTACTCTCTCCTGAGGTGCCTTTAATACCTTTCAAAGACAGTGGTCTTGGATTTTTTGGATCTAAATTCGGTATTTAATATAATTTTTGGGGTTCAATGTAGATATTAATTTTTATTCAAAAGGAATTGCAGAATACGCGAAAATTTCACCGCCTATTCAACGCGGGCCATTTGAACTACCAGACGCGTATAAGAACGTCGAGGTTGTGAAAAATGCAATTAATTTGGGTAAACGTGCAAGCAGTATCTGGAATAAAAAGACATTTTTAGATAAATCTCTGGTTTTCCTACAAATAGAAAAGCTTATTGATGAAAATAAGTCGAAAATTATGTAAGTTAAATATATATTAGCCATTATAGGTAACAAGATTTTACGTAAGCTCTTGTTTTAGTTCAAAAGTGCCTGATGCATGGCTTGTTAACTTATTGCAAACGATAGAAGAAGGTGTATCAGTTATTCCAGGAATTGGAGGAACTCTTAGTATAAATGGTTTTAATGTAACATCCTCCAAAGAACCTAAAGGTGTTCTTGTCATTGAAACCAGAACCGATATAGATACCCATTGTTGGAAGTTAATAATTGCCGCTCTTTTAGAAGGTATTTTTTTAAATAAATATAAATAGTTATTTTTATAATACAATTAAAATTGTAGGTAACAGTGTAATATTACTAAACGAATCGGCCGCAACAGAAAGTCTTTATCAGGATATCAGTAAGCAGTTTCCAGCATGCGTTTTGTCCGTTTTTCCTTATAGTCTAGACGCGGTAAAAACTTGTTCTCTACACAAAGAGTTGGACGGGTATTTTTCAAACGAGAGCAATATCATTTTCAGTTTGTTGCCGCTCTCAGAGTCAAAAATATTCGGTTTTACTAGCGACGACTGGGAGCATAATTTTAGAAAAGTTATATTGGTTAAAAACGTGTGGAGCAATATAGGGCTGTCTTTTCAGTGTAATTTATAAGTTGGAGATAACTTAGATTCAAATTACATATTATAATCTTTTTACACGTCCGTTGATCAAAATGTACGATAATTTTAAAAAATAGTGTTTGTAATCCATAATCTTCTTTTTTTTTCTTAACCCATTAGTCATTGACTTAGGACATATGTACACAGTATGGTACACAGCCACAGAGCACATCCATAAAGCACATTTACATATACAGAGCCAATAAAATAAGAAGAAGAATCGATATCTTCTTTTTCATGGAATGGCCTTTAGTCAGTACACTATTCAGCCAGCACCTGAAAGTTTAGCCAGATTCTGGAAAAAACTCGCCAGTCTTTAAAAACGAGGTCATCCCAACCCAAACGAATCTGATCATATTTATATGATCCCAGAATAAAATGTTTTTGTTGTGATGACGTTTTGATTTTTAGGAAAGCGAAAATGACGTGTCTCTCTCATCTTAGCTAACCTTATTAATTTTTAAAAGCGAATCAAACGATGCAAATTTGATTATTATAACTTAAATAGTTCAAAATGAATTCGTTTTTATTACTGCTGTCTATCTTTAGTTTTGTATTAATCGTTCGTTGCCAAAGAGCTCCGCCGGGTGTAAATCCTCAACATTATCAACATCAACAGGTAATTATAGCCATAACAAACATATGCTTGGATATCCTGAAAGAAGTACCCAATTTCTGCAAACTTAAGTTGCAATTTACCTATACTAATCGTTAAACAAGTACGAAAATTATGTTTTTATGGATTCTCGTGTGTTTTAATTTTAGTATCAAGCTCCTCAACAATATCAACAAGTACCACAACAACAATACCAAGTGCCTCAGCAGCAGTTTCAGCAGGCACCACAGAGAGCACCAACTCAGCAGGTACCACAACAACAGAATGTACCTCAACAACAGCACATACCACAACAACAGCACATACCACAACAACAGCACATACCACAACAACAGCAAGTACCTCAACAACAGCAGGTACCGTACAGTTGAGGGTTGGAACCTTTGGTGTTACACAGCAAAATAAAACACTAAATCACCTCAATACACCAAAACACTTTTACTTTTATACTGGACGCGCGTTTCGCTAACCTTGTTAGCATCATCAGCAGATGATTATAAACTCAAAAGTAGTTTATAATCATCTGGCGCGCGTCCAGTGTAAAAGTAAAAGTGTTTTGGTGTATTGTGGTGATTTAGTGTTTTATTTTGCTGTTTTTGTTTTAGCAGGTACCTCAAAAGCAAGCTCCTCAGCAACCTGTTCAACATCAACAAGTTCCACAAGTAAGTGCCACATTCTGTTTGTAGTATATGCATGAACTTTGAATCATAATTCTATTTGTCATTATTTTATTACATTATTTTCTCAAAAATCTCAAATAGTAAACCTGATATAAAGCTGTTTTGAACACTGTATAATATATTTATAATTTTCCAATGCCTTTTGTTAGCTTTTAGCACACCTAATTGTTTTGTTAATTTTGATGCAAATTATCGTTTTCTTTATTTTAAGGCTGCCCATGATCATGCTCACCATGGACAACAACATTTACTAAATGCTCAAAATATTGCCCAAGAAAAGGAGTATGTTTTAGAATAAGTGTTTAATATCCATCTGTATATGACATTTTATTTTGTTTTCAGTCATATTGCTGAACATTTAAATGTACCACTTGATACAAGCAAAATGTCCGAACAAGAAATTCAGTTTCATTATTTTAAGATGCATGATTCAGATAACAATAATAAATTGGATGGTTGTGAATTAATTAAATCATTAATTCACTGGCATGGTAAGTTAAATATGTAAATTAATGTAACTGATATTTTTATAATATTATAACTCTATAACTTGCTTTGACTTATACTTAAAGTCTCTCTAGAAAGAGAAGGGGAAGATTTTGACAGATGACCTTGACAGAAACAACGCAACTGTCGCTGTCATGTATTCTCTTAGTGGGCTTCTTACTTACTTTCATACATTTTATGCAAGGATTTTTTTTGTTGTTTTGCTTAATGTTAATTGTTGTTCCTGTTGTGTAGTTGGGTTTTACTGTTTGCTATTTTAGAAGAGGGCAGCAAAGAGAAACAGGGACAAATTGAAGAGAAAATCTTCAAGGATGAGGAATTGGTGAATTTAATTGATCCAATTTTAAATGTTGATGATGGAAACAGGGACGGATATATTGACTATCCTGAATTTATAAAGGCACAACAAAAAGCCGCCGGCCAACCACAGCAAAATGCGCACTGACAGCGCCATTAAAGACATTTAGTACCTACTTCCACTCATTACAAATGATTAGAAATATTTTAGTTTTTTTTCTTAGCCTAAAAGATACATTTTTGCGTTCTTGTAAAAGTTTGGTAATTTTTAGTTAGTATAAGAATTTTTTATATATTATTCATATTGCTGTGATAAAGGTCCCTAAAGCGATTCATTATTTTGAAGTCTCTTATTCAGTAAAGTGCCGAATCAATATATTAAATTAGACCTTATTTAATATAAACTAGAATATGTTTTTATTGATCTGTCAAAGTTACGTCCAAGAAAAGACTTATATGTATTTTAATTTTTCTCAATAATTTCTTTTATCATTAAATTTCGTTATTACAAATTTTTAGGTTGTGAAATTTTTGTATGTACAAATTTGTTTTGAAATAAATTTTTTATAAAGATGTTATGTTTGTGTTATGGGAAAAATTGTTAATGTTATGGAAATATTTCGTTTCACGGAATCAGTGCCTTGCTTTTAATGTTTGTTTTGGAAGTTTTGAATTTCGTTTATCCTTCTAGTGAACACGAATGGATAAATTGTAAAGCACGGTGGCATATAATTTTTTATACTTATTGAAATAACCTTCATATTAATTAAACCATTTTTTTATTACCTGAAATCAGTAAAATTTGGGACAAAAAACTGCTTTTCGCTTACGAGGGCACTCTGAAAAGTATCTTGGCTGAATCTTTGGTTAAATTCTCTAAGAGCATTCATTGCCAGAGCTTGCGATTTAAAATTTTCTGTTGCTAATTTTATAGCTGCGATGTCTGTTGTGCTTTTAATTCAGAAAACTGGTATTTAAAAGTTAATACATTTAACTTTCAGTTAACGAAAAAGATGACGGATCTCGAGAAAAAATAGGCGAAATGTACACTGATAATCAACTAGAAAAATTAGTGGACGACCTTTTAAGTCAAGCAGACAAAGACTCGGATGGCTACATTAATTGGCTTGAATATAAATCAATATAAACCCATAAAAAAAAAGATGTAAAATTGTTTATTGATATTTTATAATACATATTAATTTACATTTTACTCAACTTAAAAATCTAACTTTTCTTTTTAGGCAAGAAACGATCTAAGACATTGTATGCTTGTTTCTTTTTCTTCCCCTCATTTGGTTTATTGGGCAACAGGTCTTTAGTTGATTTGGAAAATTCTCTTATGGCTTGCTCCTGTAATATCTTTTTGTTTCTAGCCATTTTAACCGATCCACCTTTTCCTTTAGCTTTATTTCTAGGATTATATTCAATTTTTGGTGCCTTCAAGAACTAAAAAAAAAAGAATAAGTATATTATATGGTTTAAAATTTGAGACTTGATATGCTCCTTCCAGATTTATTATTTATTATTTATAAGTAAAGAATTCTTTTCACCTATAAATAATTTACTTGATTACTTACCAGGAGATTTTTCTTTGCCTCAATTTTGTCTCTCATTGTGGGAACATCTACCTCAGCAATTACTGCAGGGTCTAACGTAATTAACTCAGGTTGTATCTACAAAATCGCAATATTAACAAATTTGTTTAGATGTATTCAGAACATGAATAATCTTACCTTATCAAGCAAAGCTTTAACTTCAGCCTCTCTCCTTTGAGCTTTACTTTGGAAAGGATTCACTTCCAAACTGTCGATATTTGGTTCACCGGATCCAGGAATCAGTAGACTGGTAAAGCCTCTATTTGTCGCAACACCCAGTACATCTTCAAAAGGACAGAAATTAAAGTTACCTAGAAATAATTGTAATTAATATTTTATTTTTTAAAATATAAAGCTTGTTTGTACCAATTGGGTTATTGAATCTATGTCTCAAGTACGGTCTTTTGGCAGTTGAGGTACAACACTCCCTAAAAGTTGATATATAATTATTAAAGTGAATATTTACTGTATACTAGTGTATACCTGTATACTTCAACAATATTGCCGTGACCTACAGCTAACATTTTCTTTTGGGAAAAAGCCAGATTTGAAGGAGCACTGACTAACTTATACTCTTGCAATGGTCCCTCCAATTTTCTAATATCCCAGATTTTAAGCTCCCTGTTACTTGCTGCTGTCGACATATACCTAAGGGCAAATAACAATACATATACATGTTGGATAAATAAGTGCAATACTAAAAAACATTTTTTATGTAAATTTAAATATTTTAGAGAACTTTTTCGAACTGCAGGCTCTGAAATGTTCTTAATAATAGTAATAATAAATTATAAGTTACTTACATTCCTGTGGGATCAACACTAACTGCAGTAATCGGAGCCTTATGACATAACATTTTTGCTAATGGATCTCTAGCATTCGGACTCCACATAGAAACTATACCTTTAGCATGTCCCAGACATAAGCAGGCATTCCATGGATTTTGAGTCATAATGCTTAGTCTTCCTAAATTTGTATTATACTGCGAAGCCAATTGGCCAATTGAAACATCCAACCAGCTTAGGTAACCCTCATCACTCTATAATAAAAAAAAAAATAAAAAAACCTTAAATGTATTGCAAAGTACTTACACAAGTCGCTAACAAAAAGTGATACGGCAAAAATTCCATCCTGGTGACTTTATTTAATCTCTTAACACAATGTAACTCTATACCTTGGTGATCATAGAAGTAAACCCAGTCCTTTTGGGCTACAGCAAACATGGTCTCGAGATGTAAAAAGCTAACATCATGAACACTTTCCATTACATTTATTTCACAATGTAATTTTTTTGTGACCCAGTCAAATGCTGCAACATGTCCTTTTTTACCACCTATTACGAGATGTCGACCATTTCTGGTATATCTTGATCTACAAAAATATAAATTTTACTACATTAATACAATAAAGACTTTAAATTTTATACCTGTAAGGCCCAAATTCTAGTTTTAATTCAAATTGCTTTGCAGCTGATGTAATATCCACACTATCGGCTATTGCTCCTTGCGTAAACTGTGTAGTTGTTTCACCATCATCTGCTTCAAGAAAGCCAGTTTCTTCAGTTAATAAAACCTAAAAGCAACCTTAAGTGTCATAAATTAATTACATATAAAGAAAAATACATATTACTTCAGTTTTGGCAGCAAATTCGGTGGCAAACTTTACATTCCTTTCCCGCTGTTCAATTTTTGTTCTATGAATTTTGGTGTGTACTTTTTTCAAATTAACTTCTTCTCCTTTTGAATATTTTTTCAAAACCTCTTCAGGTATTTCATATCTTCTTTTCTTTTCTTTCTTTGACTTTGTATTGGTTTTTACTTTATCGATTGGATACTTGCTTGAAGTTTTGTTTCTCTGTTTATTTTTAAATTTTTCATTAAAACGATCTTCCCTGCGTCGCCCCCAAGGCTTAGATTTTACATTAGAGACATCAAACTCAATTATATCTTTACTTTTACTTTCCTTTGCCACAGCCATATCGTTACTTACTGTCAACTAAAATAAATTACTCTGAAATTAATATCAATACATATATTAGTTAAATAACTACTTCTTACCTTTCCCATTTTTTTTTAAAGTATTGTTTAAACTTGGTTTAAATCAGCTTTAAACACATTTTAAAAATATATAACAAACTGGCATTGGTATAGGGTTACTTTATCACTCTTCCTCTTTCAGAATTTTTGGTCTGCACTGGTAAAAGTGAAGTCAGGCATCTAGATCATATATAATATGTTAATTTAGCTGGCCTGGACATTGAAAAACGCGAGCCTATATTATTTAAGAAGAAGAAACTGGATCATATACTATATCATATGGACCGAATAGCCCTGGCAGCTCAGACCGTAAAACTCAGTAATATGTGATTTATATGCCGTGGTAATATCATATATAATGTGAGGGCACAAACCAAACACGGCTATGAGGTTTTTACCCGAAATTTTTTTTTGAAAATTCGAAATTTTTTGACAAAAATTTTAATTTTTTTTTAGTTTTTAGTTAAATAACATAATTTCTTGATAATATGCCAACATAGGTATTAGATTAAATTTACAAAAAAGAAAATCCAGTAAAGATCCAGTGGTTCTCAAAATTTTAGCAACAAATTTTTTCTTTTTGGAAATTTTCAAAGTAAAATAACTCCGTTATTTTGGACTTATTTGAAAAACGATAAAGAGAAAATATATTTCTTTTACCGAGACCTAAAACCACCCCTACCTATAACCACCCCTTAAAATACTTGCACCTATTTCTGGGACACCCTGTATACATGATTAAAATTTATAAAATATAAACTGATATAAATAAAAGAAAACAGGCTAAGCCTATGAACAAAATGTCTTTCTAAGGTGTCTTCTTTCTTTAAGAAATACGTATTTTAGCAAATATATTTTAGTTACTTCTCAAAATATTTCTTTTGTTTTCTGTCATTTGATTTTTTACGCCTGTGTTGCCAAGATATTAACGAAGTCCTAAAACTAATCTAAATCTCTAATTATTGTAAGCAAAGCCATCAAAAGAGGATGGAACGAACCAACAACTTGGATTTTAATATGTTTCTTATATTACTTTTGTTAATAAAATATAATATATAAATAAATAATAATTCATAATAAATGAGTTTTATTAAACCTAAATATACATATTAGAAGGATATTAGAAATACTGTCGAATCCTGAACAGCAAAAAGAAGTCATTTATTTCTTACAGAAATAAAATATATCCCAATATTAAAAACTTAACAAGTTGTTCTGGAACCTTCAGTATTTTATATTTTGTATTATATATTTATTATTAGATTTGTATATTAGATTTATCATGAGTTTGTAAGGGTACAGTTTATTTTAGACTTAAAAACGGATTTCGCTATCCTGGCAACCTTGAAAACACTATAGTTCAAAATTTTTTCACTTTTTCTACATTGGCGCCATTAGCATTCTTCTTCTTTTTCATATTTCAGGTCTTAAAAGAACTGTGACCACAGAATAAAAGTAATGTTATTCTTCTTTTTTATATTTAAGGCCTGAAACATTTGCAACCACAGATCTGACATATTTTTTCTTCTTTCCTCTTAAACGGCTTGAACTTAGACAGGTCATCCGTTTCAAGAAACAAAAATGATAGTAAACTAAAAAAATAAAATGTAATTTGTAATCTCTGCGAATTGAGCTATGGTAGGCCAAGATCTTCCTTATACGGTGACAATATAACCGCAAATTATACTTTTAGGCGGGAAAATCGACATTGAAAAAAAAAAACATTGAATTTCACAGTTGAATTTGTATTTTAACAATATTTTTATAACTGAAGAAGATTAAAATGGATATAAATGCTAGGCGTCGAAGAAATCATACAGCTGTAGTGCATACCGATACAGGCATTTATAGTCATGATTTAAGTTTATACAGCGAATATCCAACGAATCTGCTAGGGCTCAGCGAATTTGAAGAATTAGCCTTGGAAAGGCTTCAGTTGTTAAGAATAATTGAACAGGCCTCTCTAAAAGGGCATAAGCTGTTTAGCAACGATTGGAAAAATTGCATTAAAGAGGATTTAATTAAGAATACCCTTAAAAAATACGCACGTCTAATGAATGGAGCTAATGGACAAACCGAGCTAGACATTCAAGCAAGACGGGCAGATCATATTTCTCATTATATTTTAAGATTAGCGTATTGTCGAAGCGAAGATTTGAGGAGATGGTTTTTGGCTCGCGAAATGGATTGGTTTAGAATCAAATTTACATCACAAACATCTGCGGGTAAATAGGTAGACCTCCTATAATACATTTTGTTTATCATTAATTTATTTTTAGGCGTATTGAAGTTTTTGGACATAAGTAATCTTAGATATACCCCAATCTCTAATGAAGAAAAAGATGAAATAAAAGGTCATTTACTAGATTCAACACCTGGATTATCACATGCTGTTATTAGTACAGATTTTTATAAAGTGCCTATTCATGACGTACTTTTGTTGGTAAAAGGTAGAAGATCATATTTAAAGGCAGGGTATATATCAATCTAGCATAGTTTAAAAATGTAATAATTTTTAAGGAATTAATTTTTTTAGTTTTGCTTATATTCCAATGTCCGATCTGGTAGTATGTATCCAATCTAAGTTTAGGGCGAGTTTAAGTGAAAGTCTTAATTATATGAGTCATAGAATAGCAAACCTTGATGATGAGAGATTAAGTGATCTATTGTGTAATTTGCATAATACTTATACAGGAAAAGATTATGTTACTGGTCAAAACAAAGTACTACAATATTACTTATATGAAATTAATGTGTAATAGTTTAACTGTAAATTTTTAGGATGCTGTAAACATTGCTTGTTTAGATGAATATTCAAAGAAACATTTTCCCTTGTGTATGAGACACATGCATGAGGTCTTAACGTCTACTCACCATTTAAAACATAATGGAAGGTTGCAATATGGTTTATTTTTGAAGGGGATAGGTTTGTTGTATTTATATATTAATTTTGTCTCTGCAGTAAGAGTTATGATGATTTTGAAAAACAATTGATAGAAAATACAATCAAAACTTTGAATTAATTGTTGGACACATAACTATATTATGTAGGTAATTTATTTTAGGAGTGCTCTATGAGTCGGCTAATGAATTTTGGCGTAGAGAATTTACTAAAGCCATGGACAGTGATAAGTTTGAAAAAAAGTACTCCTACAATTTTAAACATCAATATGGACTGGTTGGAAACAGAGTGGATTATTCTCCTTACAGTTGCATAAAAATCATTATGAGCAATGTAGGACCTGGTGAAACACACGGGTGCCCATTCAAACATTGGGATAATGCCTATTTAAAATCTAAATTAAATGAATATGGTGTTGACCAAGAAGGTAAAACTTTTATATAGCGAATCACCACATTTTCATTATTACTTCGGCATGTATTTTTTAGGTGTTAAGGAAATAATGACTTTAGTTAGTAACAAACACTACCAAATAGCTTGTACAAAGTATTTTGAGTTGACACATGGTCAACAACAGGCAGCTAATAGCATTATTCATCCAAACCAATATTTTGAAGAGAGTATGAATTTAACCAAGGATAGAGCTGAGAAAGCCAAAAAATAAATACATAGTATAGTTTTTTTTTAATTATTATTAGATTTAAAATTATTTCAATTTATTATATTATTTCATTATCTCAATAAAAAAATTGTATACCAACCTTGGTGATTTTGCATGTATTTCATAACATAAATAAATAAATACAGAAATTATGGTTTCCAAAGTCGTACTAATCCATCTTCACTATAAGAACAGAGTAGATTTTGATGTGGATGATGAGCTACACCAATAACATCTTTCTCGTGGATCTGTAAATTAAATTTTAATATTGTCCTGTTGCATTATTCAGTTTAAAAATCAATTCATCTTACATTTAAAGTTCTTTCTAATTTGCCCGTTACAGTGGAGAAACAGTAAAGCACCATATCTTCACCAACACAATATATCCAGTCGCCTCTGGGTGAAACCGTAGAACATACAAAGTCGCCGCCCTGTCTTTTACCGCTAGCAAAAGATCTCACAATCTACAAAATTCGTTTTTCTAAATTAACTAATAATAATAATTATACAATAAAATTGGTATCAATGGTTTTCATACCTGTCCTTGTAGATTGACAATAACAACAGTATTACTTCTATTGCATACAACAAAATGTTCAGGATTTTTAGTAAAATTATGTATGTTATTGACTGTACAATCACTTGAACCTAACGATTTAAATGTGTTTATGCATTCTGTCGTCTTTATACTCCAAACTTTCACTGTCCCATCTGATGATGCACTATTAAGAATACATTTTTTAAAGGAGTCTAGTTTTTAAGCCTTTTAAAACTTACCTTAAAATATTATGCCCATCAAGGGTAAAAATAACTTCATTTACAAAGGAAGTGTGTCCTCGAAATTCTTTTAACGTCTTTCCTGATTTCAGGCCATGAATTCTAGAAAAATTAATATGTTTTGGTATAACCCATAAAAAATTAAACAATTGTATATACCTTATGCTATGATCAAACGAGGCACTTAAAACCTGACTGTTATCCCTTGAAAACTGCAAACAAGTTATCCCTTTGGAATGTGCCTTTTCTATTTTTCTTAAACACTGTCCTGTACTGATTCTCCAAACTTTTATTCTACCTGTTTGTGAGCCACTGACTAACATCTCACTGTCTCTTGAAAATGCCATACATAACACGGCATGTTCCATCATCATAAAATTTTCCTGAAACATATTAAATTTTATAACACAATTATTAAATGAATGCTGAACTTGGTTTACCTGTGCTTGGTATTTTAAATCTTTTCTTATTTTTCCTGTTGTAAAATTCCATACTTCAATAATACCGTCAACACTTCCTGTAATCAAATATTGACCATCTGGGGAGAATCTAGCACATTCAACATGAGATTTCTGACCAAACTTAATTTGTTTAGCCATTTGTGTTGGGAAGGTTTCGTCCTCTTGCTCTCTAACTGCAGCTTTACCTCTAAAATAAGCCAGAAATAATTAAACTTTCTAGCATAATTTTTTTAATTATAATACCTGAATAAATCTATTGTTGTGCCAGGTGGGAGTAACCCTTGATGTTGTTGCCATTTTAAAGCTTGACCCAGTAAAGCTAAAAGCCTAGATGATGGAACAACTGAGACTTCTCCAGAAAGTGCATGTGCTATTGCAGCTCTTCGCTTCTCTTTACTACTACCATCAGGATAAGCCTCTCTGGGATCAAAATATGATCTTGCCAAAAGATTTTCTAGAAAAGATAAATATTATAATATCTAATATTATGCATTAATAATTTATTACCTAAATGAATATATCTTTCTGGTTCATTCTGTTTCAGCATAATCATTGGATCTGTCTGACGTAATAGTGATCTTGCCGCTCCTAATTCTCTCAGTTCGATAAGCTCAAGAACAATCTAAAAGCATCAAGTCTATATATATTTATATTATGGTAATTTAACATTCAAATACTTGTTCATAGAGGTCAATTAGCTTCTTATCTGGAAGTTTGAGGGACTGTATAGCCTTTAGAACAGTATCCCAATGACCATTATTTATATCAGCACAAAATCCATCAACACTATCTACAGTATTTAGAGTCACACCTGTTTCTTCCTTAAAAGTCGATGTTAGAAATAAATAAAGAATATTTTAAGTAAAATCTTACTTGTAGTGTGTGCAATGTTCGAAAAAGATTCGACTCTTTCAGGTATTGTTGAATCAATCGAATCACGCTAAAAAGAAGGCTCTTATTACGTTGTTCGGTATGTTCTTAATACTTACTCTGCAGATTCTATTTCTATGGACATGTTTATTATTTATTTGGTTTAAACCTGAACGGATTGTACTTTTCGGCTAAAAAGCTAGAAACTGGAAACATAAACAAATTGAAAGTTGATTTGTTGGCATCAGCTACCACTTTTTCTTCTTTTTTTTATGGCAACTAGCAGCTGTCAAAAGTCTTCTTATTAATTGTCATTTTGCTGCCAAAAGTAGCGAAGACTGGCTCAGTGCCTTCTATTAAAAGATCAGCCTACGGGCGAGATTTATGACGTCACGCTAGTTAGATATAACAGATTAATAAATATGTTGTAGAATACATGGAAAACATAATTACTCCTCAGATTTTTGGTTTGTATTTTAAAAATGATATAGTTTACATTAAATATACATAATATACAGTTAATAACTACAACATATATACCTATTTATAGTAATAAATACTTTGGCAAATAAACTATGAACCATACAAATGCAGCAAATGTTTTACAATATACAAATAATGTATAGGTACATAAGATAATGGGTAAAATGTAAATATATTTTAAATTTTGGGGTTTGAAAATCGATCTAATTTAACAAAAACATTGAATATCTACTAATAGTGATGTATTATTATTTGCATTCACAAAATTTATATGTATATTTTGCAAGTATCAATGTTCGAAAAATTATATTTACAAATAATACAATATTATCTAAAAAGGCGTCAGCGATGGCTATGAAATGAAGATCGCTGGCATTTTATATGTAAAATTATTCTAAAATTTTTGATTTTCTTGGGATTTTTAGGTTCGAGGAAAACGCTGATTAAGTTTTCATTTGGTTTTCATTATTTTATTCGGTTTAAAAAAAACGTTTCGGCTAACTATAGCCTTCACAGTGTTGTGTCATATGAGAAAAATAGTGTCGAATATAATCCAAAATTACATATACAATATAATTCACACCTCATAATGTTTACTGCAATTAATAAACTAATATAAACTTATCAAAAGATGACCACATATTTTTAAAATTATTATTCTTAACACTAAAATTATCTACATTGACTATGGAGTACGCAGTAAACATTATGTGCGTGGTGTGCATATTTTATATGCAATTTTTGGATTATATTCGACACTATTTTTTCATATGACACAACACTGATGGAAGGCTATAATGTTAGCTCGAACCGTTTTTTAAACCAAATAAAAATAATGAAAAACCAAATGAAAAATCAATCAGCGTTTTTCCCGAACCTAAATTCCAAGAAAATCAAAAAATTTAGAATATTTAGAATCAAGGTTCAAGAATATCAAATTTTCCAAGATTGTAAAATTCTAGTTAATTATTTTATATTGTACAGTTATTTATGTCATCGATGTTCATTTCAAGCCAACTAGACGCCGATTTTTTTCGATGATACGGTATAATTCTTACGTAAAATGTAAATAACATTAGACCAATTAAAAAAAGAAATATGAATTTCTTAGTATTTTTAGTAACACCTTTATTCTTAAAACTTAATTTTGTATTATGCAAATATACCAATTTTATTGTTATTTTATTCATATTGTATTCAGCCATCACTTAAATATTTGATATTAATTTGGTATTATAAATAATCAATACTATTCATTAAAAATTACTGAACAAATATATGTTACAACTTAACATACATTATATATTATCAAACAAAAACACATTCTTCTTTTTAAACTGTATCAGTCTTGTCTTTACAAAAATCTTTTTAAAATTTGAACTCAAAATAATAATCTTTTTTCATGATCTCTAATACACATATTCTTTATTTTTCCTAGATCATAATACCTACTTACGTGTTTGAATCTATCGAAGCTGAACCAACAACACTTGGAATGGAGATTCACAATATGAATAAAAATAAACATAATTGTCCAGTTTTCATTAATACCATCATGGGAGAATATTATTTTTAAATTTATTAAAGATATTTTCAATAAAATTCTCTTGATTTATAACTCGTACCCACTTTTCTTGCTCTTCCGGACACTTTAGGCTGCCTAGTATAACTATCCTTAGTAACTATCCTTTCCACCAGGAACACAACAAAGATGAGGCATAGCACCAATAACACACTCCACTTAAGCTTTATTGATGAATTGTTAGAGTCTTAAAAAACACACACAAAAATCACGATAAGTAAAAAATGTATGGGCACTTTTAGGTTAAATCACTTGCACAACGTGTAATTTTTAAAATTTCTATTTTTTGGTGCGAAACCGAGAGTGACCATATATCTGGTAGTAGTTTATGTCACTTCAACACCAAAATAATTAGTTTTTTGCACTACAATAATAAATAATACCAAAAATCAAAGAGTTAAAACCAAAAATCAACCGATAAAATATGAAACGGAATCTAACCCAATATCTAAGTATGTACAGCTGATGAAGTAAACAAAAGTCCGCCCCCAGGCTGATCTTTTAAAGAACGGCAATGACTGGCTGACTTTTGAAAATAATGGACCATAGATCAATCGATTGGATCAAGTGTGTATGTGCCTAATAATGAAATAGAAGAAGTCATCATTGCTGCCATCCTTCCAAACGTAAACTTTGTTAGGGAGGGATGGGTATTTAAAATCTCTAAAAAACGGTTTTTTCCCATATACGTCTTTTTTTTCCATGAGTAAAAGATAACACCGATAACTTTCTTCAAAACCGTCGGGAAATGTTCAATAATTTTAAATAATTTAGTGCTGTTCAGTATACACTCTGTAATAAAACCTTAAAAGAACCTTTTTCTAAATAAAATATATATTTACATATTTGAATTTAAAAGCATTATCTAAAAATTATAATTTATATACTCTATAATATACTGCCATAAAATCATAAAATTTATGATCATGACAAACATTCCTTAAAATATCTAATAAATATATATATATATCACATTTTATATAAATTAATTCAATGTAACGAATTTTCATTTATTTGGTTAATCAGAGTTAAAGATGCTTGTTTCAATTTTTTTAATACAATTTTTTGTATATCTATAAAACTATACTTCTCATTCTCGTTAAAATGCTCCATTATATCTGTAAATGCATCATTCATAGTTTCTTTTACTATTTGATTATAATCAATATGATTTAAAGATTCATTCTGCACTGATTTGTTCTTTAATTCAGTTTCAATTTTTCTACAATGCTCATCTTGTTCTAAAAGTTTCGTATTAGCTTCTTCAAGCTTCTTCTCTAACTCTTCAATTTGCACGGATACATTTTCTTTATAAATTCTATTTTCTTCATAGTATTTTTCAGACTCATTTAATCTTAACTGTTGGCTCTCTATTACATCAGTCTTTCCTTTTAATTCCAATTTTAATAAGTCAATATCCTTTTCCCTTTCAGCAAGACATTGTTTCAAATAACCTATTTCTGTATTTAAAGACTGGGACTCATTGTTCTTTATTTGCTCTAAAGCAAGTTCTTCGCATTTTTCTTTATACTCTTTTCGTAGCTGTGTACATTCTCTAGTAGCCTTCTCCAAGTCAGATGATAAATTTTCTATTTTCAATTTTAAACATTTAACTGTAGATTTCAATTCTTTACTATCATCTGTATTTTGCCCTACAACATTCTGATTGCTTAGAAGACTGTTTAATTTCATATTAATTTCGGATATGTTTGTTTTCAATTCTGTATTTTGAGCTATCAAAAAATTATTTACACTGTAATCTGGAACAGGCTGTGATACCATCAAACCTGGATGATGGAGCATCATCTGGTTATGATTTGGTAACATTTGAGCATTATTTGTTATGAACGGACTTAGAGCTGTATTATCTGGGTGTACTGAGTTAGAAAAAGTCTTACTTTGTATCTGGCTCTGCACCTTTTTCAGTTTTCGAGGTACAGCTGTAGGTTTTACAATTTTAGAATCACTATAACTTGACTCTGTTTCTGAATCTGAAGGTTCTGTGTTGATCTTCCTTTCAAAAGTGGATTTTGGTAAAATCGGTTGACCCATCTTAGTAATCCTAGATAGAATATCTGTTTTTGTTTTAGAATCTTCAGAATTCTCATTTAAAGCTAGTGGAACATCATTCTGGATCTGAACTAATTCTGGTTCTTTTACCAATTTATTTTCAGTACATTTATCAATCACCTGGCAGTTTTGTTTAGATGCTTCTTTTATAAAATTTTCACAATCCTCTTCATTTGCAAAGCTTAGGCTCCAAAAGAAATTAGAACTATCATAGAACCCAATAAAATTTTTGGGGTACTTGTATAAGTTAAAGCTATCATTTAATATTTGTCTTATAAGTATGTTGGTTTTCTCCTTGTATAATATCATTTCATACAACTTTTGAGTTGAGTTTCCAATAACAGCCACAATATGCTTTCCAACTAGCTTATTGGTACCTAGCTCTCTAAAACAAAAAATTAGAACAATTCTACAAGGGCTACTTATGTTAAAATTGTGTTCTTACGATTTCCACAAGTTGATTACTTTAGCCAATACGATCGACGATTGGTTTTCTTGTTTTGCTTTTTCGGAATCGACCAAATCATTAGACTTTGGTTGTTTTGGAGCTTTGTAGGATAGGCTGGCATTGTCGTCTGGCGACGAAACATTGTTAAATATAGAAAATAAGTTTTTGCTAAAAGTTACCAGGATTAGAAGACGTGATATTCTAACTCATTAAATCTACCTGGAACTAGGGTTGAAATCGTCGTCATCAGTTTCAAACATTGTCTACAAAAAAATTAAACGTATTTTTAAGTTTATTATTGTTTTCCTAACCCAATTTTTCTATGAAATGTCAATACAGGAAGTGTATGTGAGTGTATTTTTAGTTGCCTACGTAAGATACGTCCGTGCTCCAGAATGCGGGAAGATAGGGAGGATAATAATTTTATAAATAAAGATACAGATATATAAAATATATTTTTATTGCACTTAATTTCCAAAAAACAACAATATTTATTATAAATTATAATCTTGTCTGTACCGAAAGCTAGATACGTCTAACCTATTACACACGGCATTACCACCTAAACCACTGTAACTGAAGGGATTTGAAGAGAATAAACCACAATTCTGACTGTTAACGTTATTACTGTATATATTTTCGTGATTATATTGAGGATAGGCACATTTCCAAGGCATTATATATTGAAAATCTGATCCGTTGTGCGACGAATGCGTTTGATAATGGAAACTGGTCTTTTCCATATTGTGCGCGTCCGCTATTAAAGGCACCCCTACAGGCGAGGGCGAGCTGGACGACAACTTGGAAGGAGAGTTGGTTTGTAGACATAAACTTCGCTCGTTGCGACGAAATTTGGCTCGTCTATTTTGAAACCAGACCTGGAGGAAAAAAACGACAGAAGTTTTAAATTAATATTATGGTATTTAATTAATAATTACATTAGCGTGGTCTATTTTATATTGTTATTTATTTATACTACATAGTTGGCCAAGTTGTTGTTAACTTACTTGTACTCTGGCTTCGCTTAAGCTAACTTTGGAAGCTAAATCCTCTCTTACAAAAGCATCTGGATAGTGAGTTTTTTCGAAAACTTTTTCTAACGCTGCAAGTTGAGCTGTTGTAAAAGTTGTTCTGTTCCTTCGAGGTTTTTTGTTCAATTTGTCGTTGGTGTTGAAATCTATGAAGATAAAAAAAATATATTAAAAACTATAATAAAATATGGCGTTTGTTTTATTAGTAACAGATTACTGAACTGGATTTGTTAAAAAGGTAGAGATATTATAAGTTTTGATGATTACATTTTGTATATACCGTATGATATATATTTGATATGAATTAAACTTTTATTTATGTAATCGAGGGCGCGATTTTTAAATTCATTGTTGTCAACCATGGACATATTCGGTACCGGGCTGACTAACTGGTATTTAAATTTTCCCCTGGTGATTTAGGTAGTAGCTCTGCTGTAAAAAATGTCAAGTTGCCACATTTATTTATTTATTTCCTGACATTGTCATTCGCTTTGACACTTTAGCTTTGTATAACGAGTTTTTGGTTTAAATAAACAGTGTTGTGATACTTTAAACTTAAAAATGTTTACTAGCAGACCTTGCAGTCGAACATTGTTCTTTTTAGAACCTCTTTTAGTGCGAAGTGTACAAGATAGCTGAATAGCCGTAAAAAGTCCATCTCAACTTTATTAAAATATTTTGAACGGGAATAAAGCGGTAGTAAAAGGTGAGTTTTGTCAATGTAAATAATAACTGTTTATATATTTACTAGTTGAAGCCTAGCGCATCCGCCACGACATCAGGAAAAAAATCATTTTTATTTTTATTTTTTGATTAAAATCTCAAAAAATAAAGAAGTTGTCTAAAAATGTGCTACAATACGGATATAGTATAATTCTTTATCTTTAATTTCCTTCTGCATTTGTGTAAAATACCTAGCCAGTTTTACATAAAACGTTAAATGCCGAAAGCTTACTTTGCTACCTTTTCGGACTAGTGACTCTTAAGTTCTGATCGTGTAATTGCCGTCTAATGAAACCTAAACTCTAAATCTAATCATATATAGGCTAGTGCTCTAAAACGAAACAAAAAAAATTTATCCAAGATTAAAACGAAAAAGGCAAACATTTTCTTGGATGCGTTTGAAGGTGAACGTGGCCATTAATCAGGAGTTTATTCAAGCCGCGGATAAAAGACGCACTCGGCGTCGTAAATCGTGTCGTTTACGATAATTGCGCTCTTTCGCGCCACTTCAAAAAGCGCGCCGCGACGCATCGCCACTTGGGGCTGTTTGTCAAAACGCTCAGCGTCGGATTCCGACGTTGCCAGGTCTAAATCAGATCCTTTTGGTCAAAACTTTAGTCAATTTTTTTTGTCGCTCGTTTGCTATCTTCACTGATTGAGAAGACCAAGAAGTGAAAAAAATGGACTATACAAGGTGTCCCAGAAATAAGTGCAAGTATTTTAACTGGAAGTATAGCTCAACCCCAGAAACACGCCTATGAGGTTCTTTCGCCAAATTTTTTTGGATTATTTTTAGTTTTTAGTTAAAAAACATAATTTCTTGATAATATGGTAACATAGGTAGTAGATTACATTTACAAGAAACAAAATCCAGAAAAGATTCAGTGGTTCTCAAAATTTAAGTTTTCAAAGTAAAATAAGTCCATTATTTTGGACTTATTTGAAAAACGGTAAAGAGACGTTTCTTTTATCGAGATGTTCCACCCCTTAAAATACTTGCACTTATTTCTGGGACACCCTGTATATTCGATAGAAGCTTGGTATTGGTATTGCGCGCGTGCTCTAAATGCATTGGAAGAACATAAAAATGCTTTGAATAAAAAGATTAAGATAGAGCTCATCAACTCATCATCAAGAATTTTCCCAGATTCGTTGGATAAACTTTACAATGGCTAAACGCAAAACTTGACTAAAGATAGTCGTAAATAGACTTAAAAAGACATCCTAATCCATGATGAGACTACGACATTAGCAAACAAGCAAGAATAAAATTGCATCAAACATTACATCAACTAAATAAATGGGCGCAAATGGCTCATCCTATAACTTTTTTATTTTTTCAGATAAAAAAATGAGATTTTTGATTGATGTATTCAATTGTTTTCGATCATTTCCTGTTTCACAAGAAATTACTCCAACTTTTGATTTTTAGATGGCACCCTCGGTATTTTTTTACTTTACTCGATAGAAAATTACGTTACGTGAAGATTTTACATTATCGCTTAAAAGAAAATCCCATTTTAGATTTCAATCCATGGCTGTGTTAAAAACACTAATTTTTGGTAGTCATATAAAAAGTGTTAAATAAAAATCAAAAGTTGTAGTCATTTCCGGTCAAACAGGAAGTGACCGATGTCAAATATTAGCGTACGTAAAAAGTTATAGGGATGAGTCACTTTTGAGAAACATCCGGTATAATAAAATATTGAAACCACCCACAATATTTGAATATAGTATACGATATTGGCGCAATAATTCTAGAATATTGAGTACTCATATATTTTTTAGCGTTTCTGTTCTTCAAAGTTTCATCGCGGTAATGTTGTGTGATGTCTATAAAGCGCGGTCCACACGCAACGACTTATCGTACGAGTTGCTTGCGTCGACAAAAGGTTGCAGACCAAACGTACAGTAAGTTGTGTTCAACTTGTTCAGTCTTTTGCATTCTCAAATTTCATCATGGCTCACGACGCTGAGCGTATATGACGTTCATTTTCGCTTAGCTCGCACTTTGTTTAACTACCGATTTGGGTATTCTCATCTGACGCGCTTAGCGTCTTTACAGATTCTCCTAAGCGATTCGAAAACGGCTACCTTAAAGGATCGTTTTGCTTGTAGAACTGTCAGAAAAAATTGTGATTTTGTGCGTTCTCTTGCTCTTTAGTGATAACTACTTCTTCTTCTATAAATTCTTCAATAAGTAATTGATAATTTACGATTTGGCAGCTATAAATATTGTTCAAAACATCGAAAATGCTGAGAAGCGTCTTCAACATTTCCTTCGTATAATAAGAATAATGACATATCCATAGAAAAATAGGTTTACATAACTGCTAACAATAGGTTATGAAATTCACGTAACCTTCACGTAACATTGTAACATTTGTAACTTCTCATACCTGAGAAATTGCGATGCTGCCAATTTGTGCTCAACGCGTATCCAGAAAACGATTCGCACGGCATCGAGAAAACCAAAATCGAGTACTTGCGCAACGCTTTTATGTCAAAGTTCCAGAATGCGAGCCCTGTGCAAATCGTCGAAATGTATGCCCAGGAGCCAGGAGCTCAAACTTTTAATTCCAAAGTCTCCGAGTGTGTGCAGTTCAAAAATTTGTTCACACTTGACGCAAGAAAATCGTACGATAAGTTGTTGTGTGTGGACCGCTCTTAAGGGCAGTTGTTCAGTAAATCACCGATGGCGGAAAGAACGTTTCAAAACAACCGCAGCCGCAAGACGGATCGGAAAGGATTAAGTAATTTGTAGGCTGTCGCTTTTTTCTCAACACGTGACGCCGCTTTGAGGTTTTTTCTGTCGTTTACCAGGCTGCGGTCTTCGAGTATACGTCAGGCGATGCTTATTTTAAACGTAAAACACGAAATTCTTTCGACAGGACAAGTTTATGTCTTGTTTTGACGATCTGTTTCCACCGTTCGAGTACCGAGGAGATCAGTGCGGTGTTTAGTAAAGAACAAAAAAGTCTCTAATTCTAATTTGTCAATATTCATGAGTTCCTTTAATAAAAAATTTGATCATATTAAATTGTATATTTGAAAAAAGTCGTTCTTACTCTATTGATCTTCATAATCGAAAAAAACGGCGTCCAGTTGGCTTGGAAATGACTATCGATGACATTTCCCATATAAATTTCCATACAAAATGACAGCGATCTTTGTTTCATAGCCATCATTGACGCCGTTTTTTTTTTCTACTAGAAACGTTCTATAGTTTATATCAAATAAACTTTTAGTCACGTGATTAAGCTTGGCCGGTACAGTGTTGCCCACTTTTCCATATTTTTTTTAATCAAAATATTTCAGGAAACAAAAATAAATTTAGTATAAATATTTCAACAGTTATTATTTACATCAACAAAACTCACCTTCTTAACAGCACTTAAGGGATATAAAGGGCCATTACTACCGCTTTCCCGTTCAAAATATTCTAATAAAGTTGCGATGAGATTTTACGGCTATTAAGCTATCGTGTACACTTCACTAAAAGAGGTTCTAAAAAGGACAATGTTCGACTGCAAGGTAAACATTTTTCAGCTTAAACTATCACACCACAATTTATTTAAACCAAAAACTCGTAATACAAAATTAAAGTGTCAAAACGAATGACAATGTCAGGAAATAAATAAATAAATCTGGCAGCTTGACCTTTCTTCCAGCAGAGCTACCACCTGAATCCACAGCAGGAATTACTAAAAGATAGGTAATTGGCTCTTCTAAAAACTGTCGTCGCCGGATTTTTTGTTTTTCATTTAATCAAAAAATAAAAATAAAAATGATTTTTTTCCTGATGTCGTGGCGGATGCGCTAGGCTTCAACTAGTAAATATATAAACAGTTATTATTTACATTGACAAAACTCACCTTTTACTACCGCTTTCCCGTTCAAAATATTTTAATAAAGTTGAGATGGACTTTTTACGGCTATTAAGCTATCTTGTACACTTCGCACTAAAAGAGGTTCTAAAAAGAACAATGTTCGACTGCAACGTCTGCTAGTAAACATTTTTAAGTTTAAAGTATCACAACACTGTTTATTTAAACTAAAAACTCGTTATACAAAGCTAAAGTGTCAAAACGAATGACAATGTCAGGAAATAAATAAATAAATGTGGCAACTTGACATTTTATACAGCAGAGCTACCACCTGAATCCACAGCAGGAAATTTAAATTACAGTTAGTCAATCCGGCGCTGAATACGTCCATGGTTGGGAACCTTTGAATAAGAAGACTAAGGAAGGAGCATAATGCTATCCATGTATTCATGCATGGTGGGCGGAAAAAGCACTCTAGGGTGGGGATCCTTGATAGTTCTGTTTGACGATTTATTTGACACATTTGAATTTGATTTGAAATTTTGTGGATTTGTCAGTCTTTACGGAGCTTATTTTATGTTATTTATTATTTATTCTACTACTGATAGTTGTATAAAGGTAGTAAATCTAGATGGAAATTGTGGGCAAACCTTAAATTAAGAGTGACACTATCGCGATTTATCGAAAAAGACTCTCAAATAGTTGGTTGTAGCGTGCGGTAGATCTCGGCAAAAATTAAGTGAAACAATGAAACAACTTTTCGCTAGTAAGTAACTATATAATATACATACGTGTAGTAAACCGATCATTTATGAAATTCACTTAAATTAACTAAATTATATATTTTTCTTGCATTTTAGCTTTTATTTATTACTTGTCAAAGATTAGATGTCAAAGAATTTAGATACGTCAATTTGACTTACCTGCTTCAGTAGCGTATCGGATGTTTGTGTTAATAAATAATTATTATAACTTATCTATTTTTATTAGAATTATATATTTTTATAACAATTTTAATAACTACCAATATTTATTCACAACGTAAAATAAAACAACAAATTATTGAGTCTACCCCACGTCTACCCTACATCATAGTTTTACATTTTTTAAATAAAATTAGAACGACACTGATAAACCGGAATTTAAGTCGGCCATATTTGAGGCCCATCGCGGTGTACCTAAAATTTTTGATATGCTCCTTCCTTAGTCTTCTTATTCAAAGTTGAGAACAATGAATTTAAAAATCGCCCCCTCGATTACTTAATTAAAAGTTTAATTGCTATCGAATATATGTAATCAGCTGGCTTGTGTGCACATTCAATCCGTGCACTTGCATCTCGCCATTGGAATTATTATTAGCGTCGGATTGGGACTTTTGTTTTCACAAACTACAAAAATGACATTAACAATATTTAAAGTCAATAAATAGTACACGAGATTTTAGTTGTTTAACAAAGTTTGATTGGCGATTTGATAACTTAAAAATAGTCTTTATTTGTACTAATTCGAATTTCATGTAACCGCAGCCTTAGAATTCAAATTATTAAAGTATTTGGACTCACCCTCTGATTCTGCATCATCTGAAGTACGTCTCTTGTGGCCTAGCCTTAACAGATTGTTCACTGTGAAATGTCGGGCGTTTCCTTGGGCTTCGAATCCCTTCAATCCGTTGTATCCAGGATCTGCCACGTCACATTCTGACGTAACCGCGTGTGAACTGTCAAAATTGAACATTTTTGCCGGTTTGAAATTTAGTTCTTCGTTTTTTCTGATTCTTGCTTTTATTGCCACTTTGACTTTTTGCACTTATTAATAAGGTGTCTTTATTGTACGTCAAAGCGATATGTACTGTACTTTATTTACGAAAAGCATTGTTTCTGGAATACCATGGTAGGCCGGTTCGCTGCATTCTGTTTTTGTCTACGAAAAAAAAATTAAATATCATCAAGTCCTGTTAAAGCTTATGAAAATATATCTTGAATAAAAACTGTTTTATCATTTAGATGTCATTGGTTTTATCAATCCTCCATTTGTTAATCTTTGTTTGAACTGTCTTTGTTTCGAAAAAAATTATAGCGACGATAAGTGGTAAATATAGAACGTAGCTTTACGTATTTTAACTAGTTATATTTTGATAAGGATTGACAATGTTTATTAATGTAAACATTTTCCGGACATGTTAATTAAGATGACTATGGGTCATAAAATCAATATAATTCGATTTATTTTTGTTTTATAGACCAGCAGATTAATACACTCAGATGCAGGAAAAACGCAACGGAAAATTTTTCCGTCAAGTTTAAAGTTTTTTAGCAAACTGTATATAAATCAATCAAGTTTAATTCATGAACTCAGTTTTTTTATAAACTTTCGTATTTTGTTTATTATACAGGGTTAATTACAGGGTTGTTTTTTACCCTAATTTTAAAACACCCTGTGCAATAATTTCGAGAGTAACTTTTCCTAAAACATTATTTTTCGATCAGAACCATGTCACCTGAGCACTTTGTTTTTTGACTCATGTCAACACACGCCTAGGTTAATTTTTAAGTGCGAAATGAACTTGCCACCAACTATTTGCAATTTTATCCAGTATCCTTACTTTATGATGATATTTTTTAATATCACGAGGTGGCTTTGATGAGTGTTATAATGAGTGTCATAATGTCATATCGACAGTGATTAGAACTCTATATTAAAATTTAAAAAATGTTAAAAAGTAACGATACAGGCTTGGTTTTAATAAATATTAGTAGCATTAACAGGACTAAGGATATTAAAAAAAAATAACTGTAATAACTAAATGTACAAACAAACAAAAAACTTGTAAAAAATACTCTAATACTTTGTATTGCCTCACCCGGCTGCTATAACTGTCAGTAGACATCGGTTCATACTGTTAATGAGGCTGCAAATATATTGTGTTATGTTTTCCCATTCTTCTTCAAGGAGCAAGCGAATATTCATAATTTCGGCCATTTTCAACAAGATCAATGACTTTTGCACAATCTTCAACACTAAGAACCATACTCAATCGTACACAACAATATCACCAAAGCCACCTCGTCATTATGAAGAAAAACATCAAAAAGTAACGATAATTGAAAAAAGTGCAAAATGTTTGTGGCAAGTTCATTTTGTCCTTAAAAATTAACGAAGGCATTTGTTGTGACATGAGTCAAAAAACAACATATTCAGGAGACATGGTTCTAACCGAAAAATAATGCTTTAGGGAAATTTGCACACGAAATTATTGCACAGAGTGTTTTAAAGATAGGGTAAAAAACAACTCTTTGATTAACGCTGTATAATGTAGAATGTTTAGGAGGGGAGTTAATCACCGCGACCTTATTGTGTGTTCCCCTTTCTTGAGTTATAACGAGTTATAACTCATCATACAGTCTCAGGGCTTTAAGAAAAGCCAGTATCTGAGACGGCTCCACAGAGGCCAGCTCTCCATCCTCGACATCAGACGTACCAAGGTTCATGACACGAATGGTCGTCGTCTCGGCGCACTCAGTGATAATAAGTTCTGATGTTTCCCCATTTTCCCCACAAAATCTGCATTCGCCGTTGTTTCTCAGTTTCAGCCTACTGAGGTGTTCGTTGAGGAGACAGTGTCCTGTTAGAAACCCCGTGACAATCCGAAGATTGTTTTTACTTAAATCAAGGAAAACCTTTGATTTTTCTTGGTCATAACTTCTAAGGAACTTTTTCGAGTGACTTAGACCGTTGGAGGACACTCATTCCAAGTTACGGATGGAGTCTTCCAGATTCTTCAGTTCCGCTTTCAGTTGGTTTCCGTTTGGAAAACAGAACGGTTCTGGTCCAGTTAGTGGAGTGTTCGCTCTTTTTCTAGCTAGATCATTTGCTTTTTCATTGCCTTCTATCCCTTGGTGAGCAGGCACCCAGAGTAGGAGGACTTTATTTTCTTTGCCTAATTTGTTGAGCTTCTCTAGGCATTCTTTGACCAACTTCGAATTGATGGTTACTGAGTTGATCGCGTTAAGTGCTGCTTGACTATCGGATAGGATGGCAATTTCCTGTTTTCGATAGTTCCTATCCAAGATAAATTGTACGCATCTTTCGATAGCGCAAATTTCTGCCTGAAGGATACTGGGGTAGGTGCCCATTGGTTCGGAGTATTCAGTTTTCGGCCCAAATACTCCTATCCCTGTCCCTGCTTTGGTTTTGGAAGCATCAGTATACCACGTGATGGTATGGTCTTTTATATGCTGAGTAAGCGTTTCTTTCTTCCAATCCTTTTTATTACTCAATACTACAGTGAGGTGTTTCTCAAAGTTGTAAATTCTTGGTATGTCATCCACTGGGAGTTGGAGAAGTGGAATTTTCTTTTTGAGGGTGTTCCAAGCCCCTGACCTGAAAATTCTCCCAGTACTGTTTCCGTCAATGACCATTCTAATCATTGTCGCATTGGCATAACTACCGACGACAATATGCAGTGGTGTTAGGTCTAGAATGACCTCCATTGCTGCTGTTGGGCATGTTCTCATGGCACCTGTGATGCAGATACATGCCAGTCTCTGTACTTTGCACAGGTTTTGCCTTGCTGTACGTTGCTCTAGTTTTGTATACCAAGCAACTGCTCCATAAGTAATCATGGGTCTTACTATCATGGTATACATCCAGCGCAAAATGTTAGGGGCAACGCTGTATAATAAATCAAACACTAATGTTTATAATAAACTGAGTTTACGAATTAAAGTTGATATATTTATATACAGTTTGCTAAAATATCAAGGAAATAGGGCTAAAAATAAAAAAATATAACATTTTAAACCTGACCAAACATTTTTCCGTTGCGCTTTGCGCTTTTTTGCGTTTGAGTGTAGATACTGGAAGCCAAATAAAGGTTGATTCTCACTATACCTTCCGTTTCCATTCCATATCCATTCCATAGCCGTTCCGTACTTTTTATTGTATTGACGCTATACGTAAGCTTCCGTTCCGTATCAGTTCCATATTTTTTATTGTATAATTTATATCATTAGTCGAAAGTTTTATTTTAAAAAATTGTATCTTTTGAAAAAGGTAATAGATTTAATTAAGAGGTAAAATAATAAATAAATATCAGCTAAATGTAAACAGAGCTGGTACAAATGTAAGAACTTGACAAAGCTGTTTCCGATACGCTTCAGACCGTTAGCAAAAAAAAATGGAAGGAAAGGATATGGAAGGATATACAGGGCACAACAATAAAACGAAGTTTTTTGTCCGAAACGGATATATAAGTATTTGCAATATGACAACAACGGCTGTCAAATTAAAAAATGCGATTATCTGTAACGGATCTTGCTCGTATTGTGGCTTTAATTGAGGATGCCGAAGTCAACGTTATGTGTCAATACCTCGAACAACAATCAAAGATGCCTGGAATCGGTATATGGAAACGGGAAATTTCACCAGGAGAGTGGGTTCCGGAAGAAAACGGAAGACAAATGCAATTGACGACCGCTTTATTGTCTTGAATACTTTACGAAATCGTAGAATTATAGCATTTCAGAATCAACATGTGCTACAAGCCGTGCTGCTAGAACTTAATTCAGTGAAAGAACAATCCGACGAAGACTAAAAGAAAACAGCTTGTGTGCAAGGAGGTCTGCCACAGGACCCCAGCTAATTCCAAGACATCGTCGAGCACGTCTTCAGTTTGTGCGTTTACATGTGAATTGGGATATTGAGCATTGGACTAAAGTCCTTTTCACGGATGAATTGCGGTTTTGCCTGCGAAGCATTTTTCCGAGAAATTCGTTTTAAAGCAGCGTATCGCCAATACAAACAGAGATAATGTCGTGATTAAAAAAACAAAATTTTTGACTTAGCAATAGCTACTACAGCTGCTGCACCCTACAGGGTGCTACAAAGTTCGGGCAAAAAACTTCGTCTTGTTGTTGTGCCCTGTATATGCTCAAAATAAATTCGAAATAAAAATTTCTGTCGTAGCATCCGTTAAGAAGGAATTAATTTACAATTTAAAAAAAAATCATCAACTTTAAAATTGGGACTAGTTTTTAGTGGCCGGTTTTTTTTGCCGGTGAGTGTTTAATATATTTTATGTAAACGGAAGGGAAACGGAAGGTAGCTGATACGGAAGGTATAGTGAGAATCAGCCTTAAGCGGTAAATCGATGGTAATTATATACAGGGTGGCCCATCGAAAAATAAATTCATAAACACGTCAATTTTGTTTGTGAGAGGGACAACTTTTGTCCCAAAAATGATTGCAAAATCTTCAACCCTCTAAGCGGGGGTGTCATCCCTCAATTTTTTTCAAATGGAAAGGGGAGTCAAGTGGTACCGCAATCAAAAAGGCTTTCTATTCTCTATACTTTCCCGTTTCGTTTTTGAAAATCGGTCGAGTCATTGAGAAAATAAGAAGGATTGAAATTTGAAAAGTTTATTTAAACATTTACCAGAGTAAATGATAAGGATAAATTGCTTTGACCAATTTGCTGTTTTTTCTTATTATTTCTAGATGTTTACGCCTTTTTTCACTTGCCACAAGGTCGAACGATCAGGTAGTTGCTAGATAGCTGTTCTGTGACTTGTGCGTTGAAGTTCTTCTCAATATCGTTAAACTTTTTAACAATTATGGTGTACTCACTTGCATAAAAAGTGGAAATAATTGAACTTGATTTTAAAAATAACGAATGGATGGGGTTGAGCAGATATTCAATGAATGCCATCCTGACAAACACCTTTATGGCAAAATTGTTCGCTAGTTAGTAGCAAAATTTCGCGTTCGTTATGAATAAAAAGAGGCAGAGGGAAAATCCTGTAGTAAATGAAGCTATGGAGGTATTCATATTGGGCCAAGTTGCCATGGATAGTACGCTGAGTACAAGAAAATTAGCCAATGAGACCGGCGTAAATCGTACAAGTGTCCAAAGGATATTAAAAAAAGACACAAGTTCCACCCGTACAAAATTCAGTTGGTACAAGAACTCAACGAAGACGATTTTGATCGTCGCTTGCAATTTTGTGAAACTATGAGTGAACGAGTAGCGAATGATAATAATTTCCTATTTAATGTGTGTTTTTCGGATGAGTGTACTTTCTTTTTGAACGATGTAGTTAATCGGCACACCTGTCGGTACTGGGCTGAGTACAACCCCAGGGGTTTTCACGAGGTGCACACACAAAATCCTCAGAAATTGAACGTGTGGGCTGGTATTTTTGGAAATTCTATTGTGGATCAGTTTAACGATATTGAGAAGAACTTCAACGCATAAGTCACAGAACAGCTATCTAGCAACTATGGCACCTGATCGTTCAACCTTGTGGCAAGTGAAAAAATACGTGAACATCTAGAAATAATAAGAAAAAACAGCAAATTGGTCGAAGGAATTTATCCTTATCATTTACTCTGATAGATGTTTAAATAAACTTTTTAAATTTCAATCCTTTATATTTTCTCAATGACATAGAGAATAGAAAGCTCTTTTCATTCTGGCGCCCTTGACTCCCCTTTCCATTTGAAAAAAGTTGGGGAATGACAGCCCCGCTTAGAGGGTTGAAGATTTTGCAGTCATTTTTGGGGCAAAAGTTGTCCCCCTCACAAACAAAATTGACGTGTTTTTGGATTTTTTGAAAAAAAAAATAGCCTGGCCGTTATGCCTTGCGGAACGTTTTCGATGGGCCACCCTGTACATATTTCTTACCTGATAAAATTCTTTTATATTACTCACAACAAACAAATAAAACTTAAGGTCTTTAAACTTTTAAAATTGCGAATCAACACACACACCAATCAATACACTAATTCACATCGATAATACAAACAAATTTTTTTCCACAATGCCACATCGAAAAATCGAAACCGGCACAAACCTCTCGCAATTTTTCCCGGTTTCCAGCGACACAAGTCGACGCGAAAATCGACGCTTTCCGTCTCTCCAAAACTCGCGACGGAATATTTTTTGGAAAATTAAGATAAAGGGGATGGGCCAGAGATCATCCCCCACCACGTGCGACTTAAATGGGTGGGCGTGGCCTAACCTGCCTTAACTTAGGAATAAATCTCTGGACGTTGAAAGGAGCGGCGGTCTGGATTAAAGGACGCCACGCAGACGGCGTGTTGGCGACTTGCAGTTGGGTGGGATTCAAAGCCGGTAGTATTTTGGATGGTTTAGTATACACGGATACGTTGTTAGATATATAAATTTGCTTATGTTATGGGCGAAATTTAAATAGAACCAGAGAAGATTTTTCTTTTTGTAAAAGCAAATTGTGTAGTCTATACCACCGGTGTTGCATCGTCGACCGGGACATAGGAAATCCCATGTAAATTTTAATGGGGTCAATTATTGGCTTCCCTAATTATTTTAGAGAATAATTCTATTTAGGTTTATTGAAGAGCACTAAAACCCACATTCAAAAGAATAATTTTAGATATTTTTGATTAGCCCGTTTACGAGTTATCGCCGATTTCTTTTTAAATATTTCTCCTTTCTTATGGCCCTGTATTTACTTATGAGCACAAGTCAAGGTAAAAGATAACTGTCAAATGAAGTTGTCATTTCAGAAATTTATCTATTTAGTGCTTTATTATTATTATTAAAAACTCATACCTACATCGAAAATATTAGCCATGAATTACACTACCGAAGAAAAACTATTGATGATCAAATGGAATTATCAAGGAAATAGTTATCAAAAGGTGTCGGACATGTTTGTTGCTCTGTATCCGAATAGACCGATACCTGGAAAATCTACAATCGCAAGGAATATCTAGAGATTTGAGACCAATTAAAATTTACATGGGATGCACCCTAATAAATAACTGCAGATGTGAAGGAAGGCAGGAACAACGAGAAGATGCAAGAAATGATCTTGGAAGTTTTATTGTGCGTGGAAGAGAACGATGGAAAGATCAGCACAAGGAAACTTGAGGATGAAATAGGAATAGATCACACTACAGCGTTTCGAATTTTGAAACGACATAAATACTATACCTTCAAGTATGAAAAGCACCAAGAGCTACGAGATGGGGACGAAATACGGCGGCAGGCGTTTTGTTTTGATATGATGGAAAGAGCAAACACGGATAGGGAATTTTTAAAAAACATATGTTTCAATGAAGAATGCACGTTTACCGTAAATAATGAACCAAATGTTCAAAATTATCGATATTGGAATAACGCAATATCTACAGAAAGTAAATGTTTGGGCAGGGATATTCGGACACAATATTATCGGGCCATTATTTCTTACGCGTAATTTAAATGCAGAATATTATTTGGAACTACTCGAAAATCATATTTTACCTGCTTTACATGATGCCGCTAGGGAAAATCAGGAAGTTTGGTACCAAATGGATGGCTGCCCGGCACATAGTACCCTGGCTGTTCGGGAATATTTAGACAATAGTTTTAACGGAAGGCCTAAATTATACAGTAAATTGGCCAACAAGGTCTCCTGATATTTCGCCAAATGTTTTCTTCTCTGAGGCCATTTAAAAAACAGGATATACAAGGATAAAAAATACCCACATCTAGACGAGTTAAAAAATGCTATTTCTGCCGAATGCAATAGAATTTCAGTTTACCAACTAGCGAATGTAAGAAGAGAATTTTATGATCGCCTGGGTTATTGTCTAGCAGTCGATGGAGGAATATTTGAACATCTTCTTAAATCCTAAAGTTCTAACAATTTAATAGTACCTAAATTAATAAGTTATTGAAATATTGTAATAATACTATAATTAACCTTGTAATTGATTACTTTATTTTACTTTAATTCGTATTAATTTGTATTTATAAATACATCTTTAAGATTTCCGATGTAGGAATGAATTTCAATAATAACAAAGCACTAAATAGGTAAATTTCTGAAATGACAACTTCATTTGACAGTTATCTCTTACCTTGACTGGTGCTCATAAGTAAATACAGGGCCATAAGAAAGGAGAAATATTTAAAAAGAAATCGGTGATAACTCGTAAACGAGCTAATCAAAAATATCTAAAGTTATTCTTTTGAATGTGGGTTTTAGTGCTCTTCAATAAACCTAAATAGAATTATTCTCTAAAATAATTAGGGAAGCCAATAATTGACCCCATTAAAATTTACATGGGATTTCCTACGTCCCGTCCGACGATGCCAACACCCGGTATATAATTACATTTACTTTGGCTTCTTGACCTACCCTTTAAGTCAGGTAACTGTCTAAGGCAAGAGAGTTAGTGCATATTGTAATTAATAATTATATTATTGTGGTATTGCTGTTCACTTTCATATTCCATGCTTCATGCATTTCTTTGCGTTTGGTGTATCTTGGCATTGATAAACTGTAGTGTTTTTAAACACAAAATAAACAAATTATTTTGATTTTTAAATGCTTATTTAGTGACAATAAGTATATAAATTTCAACAAGGCAATAACTAACAAGCTGTAGCAATAAATTAAATACATAGTATTTTAGTATCCCCAAGTGGCAATTGTTATCTTGTTAAATTACGATAAAAACAGCACAAAACATATTATCTATAATAATCCAAATATATTTTTGACTACATATTTAGTGTATTTAGTACATTTAATCGATGTGTGTTATGTCGCGGGCTATACGTGTTTCTGTAATCATTAATTTAACTACATATTAACGCCAAAAATACGTTAGTCACTTTATTAAGATAAACTAAAATAATAACTGTCGTAAGAGATGCTTATAATCTACAATATGATCGAGAAAAAAACCGCATCACGAATATTTATGAAATGGATATCGTTATTTACCATATTTTTGATCTGATTATTATTTTAAAAATATCCATTTTGTCTATTACTTTATTAATCGAAAAACCAAGTAGCTCATTTGTCAAGGCAATGAAACAGTTGAAAGAGCTGCACTTCAATAAATGTCATATTCTAAAAAAATGGTCGTTTTCTGAAGTTTTTGAGTAAAAAGCGTGATTAATACTACTATGTACTAAAAAATATATATTAAAATTATATATACATAATTTACTTATATGCTTGCAAAATTAAAGGCGCACTCGAAGATTCAAGCGCATGTTCCTCAGCTCAACGATTAAAATTATTATTGAAATCGAATGTAATAATAAGGTGCGTGATCATACTTTTTAAATCATTGAGATTTCATATTTAAACAGATTCCTATATTATAGCTAAATATATTTCGACTGTTAAGTAATATTCGAACAAGACGGCAATGAGCGTGATTTTAGTTGTTCAGTATTTTCTATTCTACAGCGTGTTGTGTATTTTGGGGGCATTTTTGTGCGTATTTTTGTATTTTCAATACTCTTATGGCTATTGGAAAAGAAGGGGAGTTCCGTACATCAAACCAAAGTTTCCTTTAGGTAAATAATAAAATTTTTCAATCTTTTTTTTGCATTGAGACTTTGATGGAAACCTATCTTTTAAATATTAAATTAAAGAAATGTTGTACTACAAACCAATATAATTCGATCTAATAAATTTTGCTTTTTTTAATAATAAATCAATCTCCCTCCTGACAATTCAATTTCTATGTACAGTATGTCTCCGGATTGTCTTTACAAGAGGAAAAACTTTTTATTATTGGCATTTTGAGAAAAATGCATTCTTCATAAAAATTTTTGCTTGTTCTAAAACGGTTAATCCCGTTTATAGTTTTCCAAATTTCCATTCCGTTTTAAAGAAAATTCGAGAATAAAACGTGAAAATATGGTAGAATTAAAGTCCTAAAAATAAAAACGCGTTTCTATGCGATATAATTTCGAATTCATTCTTTGATAGATGGTTATTATTAATTTTGATTAACGTCATATTTTTGGCTGTTGTAAAGTATCACATTTTCCGATAATTAGGTAGTCATCACCCCCTGCATCACCCTTTACAGAGCATTGAACTAAATAAATTTTGTATTTCTTTAATATTTTAAAACAGCAAAATATGCGACGTTAAATAAAATTCTATCAACAATAATCTATCAAAGAATGAAAACGGAATAATATTACCATAAAAACGCCTTTTGAGTTTTAGGAAAAAAAATCAACCTTTATTTCATGTTTTTTTTTTCTAATTTTCTCTAAAATTGTATGGATATTTGGAAAAGTATAAACAAGATTACCCATTTTAGAACAAGCAAATTTTTTTATGAAGAATGTATTTTTCTCGTAATGTCAATAATAAAAAAGTTTTTCCTCTTCGGGGAAGACAATTCGGGGACATACTGTAGAATAATTTTTAAATTTCATCTTTTTAGATGACCAATTAGGGTCGTAGATGCTTTACTTTGCTGTTATAACACTAAAGGTTCCAACTGTAATTGACAAATATAACTACATACTTATAAACACATAATAGATCCTAGTTGTTAAATAGTAAAATGTGATAAAATTGTTTTGACGCAATTATTTATTGATAACATAAAATAAACGTGTTTATGTGATGTACCGGGTGGCCAACTAAGAATGGACGCCGGCTGTGTATCTCAGGAACTACTTATCATACAACTTGGGGAAAAAATTCTAATAAGTAAACCGACTCGATCCGGTTAGAGAGCAGATAGAAAGTTGCGGTTTGCGCTGATATTTTGGAAATTTTGTGCTCTATTTAACGGTGCAAAGAGAAATATAGCCTCCTATTTAATTTTTTTACGCAAAAACGCAATATTTGTTATGATGTCAAACAGCGCCCTCTAGCTACCACGAAAAAAATTGTGGAAACAAAATTTATACTGGAGATCATTAAGGAAGAAAAGCTCTTTTAAATGAGCCCTAGTTTGTTTAAATCGCGTAACCTAAACCAGAGTTATCCTCATTTTAATAAAAGCAAGTTTAACCTTCCCCCACCACTTTATTTTATGAGATAGAGCAAAATACTCTATATCAAAAAAAAAATATAAATTTATTGATGATTACAATAGTAATATTTAAAATACCTGTTCACCTGCATATTTTTGAGAAAAACCCTGTTTTCTGATTGGCTATTACAGAAACGCCCCCTAGCGGGCATTTTTCGAACTTGAAAATAATTTCCAGCGATTTCTCTTGCTCGATTTACTGACTAGAATTTTTTCCCAAAGTTATACGATAAGTAGTTTCTGAGATACAGCCGGCGTCCATTCTTAGTTGGCCACCCGGTACTTATATTCCTTGAGGGGCATTAGTAGTAAATTATTATACAAATATAAAGCAATGAGTTGGAGTGGACCTGGACATCTCTAGGGTATTTTGTAGTTAATATACAGAGTTTTTGATTTTTTAGGAAACAATAATTCAGTGGGTTTGGGTTCATTCTCTTATGGAATCGAAACCCTCGGTTGGTACTGGGAGCTCAAAAAGAGAGGCCTTAAATTTGGAGGTGTCTGGAATTGGGCAAATCCAACATTGGTCTTGGTAGATCCAGATTACGCAAAGGATATATTAATTAAGGTAAAATAATAAATTACATGCAATAATAGTTATTACACAGGGTGGTCCGAACTGTATTCCGAAAACTTCGGCAGCATATTCTGCAGATAAAATTAAGTAAAAAAGTTCGTATAAATGTATGTCCTAAAATGCTTAGTTTTGGAGATACAGGGTGTAGAAGTTGGTCATTTTTATTTCGATTTTTTCCAAATAATTTCTGAAGTAACGTCATTATTTGAATGAAAATTGGTGTCTGGTAGTTTTTTGACATGATAAATTTGATTTTGATGTTAATATGACTCATATTTGTAGGGGGCGCCACCTACACGTATTTTTACTGTTTTGAAAAGTAATAATTTTTCGTTCGTAACTTTTGGCACAAAAACATTTCAAATTTTTGATTTCAGTCTAATAACTATTTAGTCTACATGTTTAATTTATGTCAATGATGACAGGTATTGATAATTTAGATTCCAAATATCTCGAAAACTATTACCCGTAGCGATTTTTACTAAGACGTAAAGACGTAAGACTTTTACGTAAAAAAAGTCGTAAATGTATATTTTTTTACTCAGTAGTTTTATACAGGTACGGACGAAAAGTTATTACTCTTCAAACCAGTTAAACCTTTGAATAAGAAGACTAGGGAAGGAGCATAATGCTATCCATGTATTCATGCATGGTGGACGGAAAAAGCACTCTAGGGTGGGGATCCTTGACAGTTCTGTTTGACGATTCATTTGATACATTTGAATTTGATTTGAAATTTTGTGGATTTGTCAGTCTTTAAGGAGCTTATTTTATGTTATTTATTATTTATTCTACTACTGATAGTTGTATAAAGGTAGTAAATCTAGATGGAAATTGTGGCAGAACTTAAATTAACAGTGACACTATCGCGATTTATCGAAAAAGACTCTAAAATAGTTGGTTGTGTAGCGTGCGGTAGATATCGGCAAAAATCGAGTGAAATAATGGAACAACATTTCGCTAGTAAGTGACAATATAATATAGGTACATACGTGTAGTAAACCGATCATTTATGAAATTCACTTAAATTAACTAATTATATATTTTTTCTTGCATTTTTGCTTTTATTTACTACTTGTCAAAGATTAGATGTCAAAGAATTTAGATACGTCAATTTGATTTACCTGCTTCAGTAGCGTATCGGATGTTTATGGTTATAAATAATTATTATAACTTATCTATTTTTATTAGAATTTTATATTTTTATAACAGTTTTAATAACTACCAACATTTATTCACAACGTAAAATAAAAACAAAAATATTGAGTCTACCCCACGTCTACATTATAGTTTTACATTTTTTAAATAAAATTAGAACGGCACTGATAAACCGGAATTTAAGTCGGCCATATTTGAGGCCCATCGCGGTGGACCTAAGATTTTTGATATGCTTCTTCCTTAGTCTTCTTATTCAAAGAGTTAAACATATGTAGGTGGCGCCCTCTACAAGTAAGAATCATATTGATATCAAAATCAAATTTCATATCAAGACACTCCCAGACACCAGTTTTCATTCAAATATTCACGTTACTTCATAAATTATTCGAAATAAAAATAAAACTGTATCTCTGTATTATACGAACTATTTGACTTATTTTTATCTGCAGAATGCAGAATATACTGCCGAAGTTTCCGGAATACAGTTGGGACCACCCTGTATCAGCGATTTAGGAAGCATTTATTCCACAAAACACATAGGTAGTTAAAATTATATAAAAAAAAAATAATAAAAAATATTAGCAGCAAGCAGTATTTTTAAAAATAGAATTTTTAAAGATAATGGTTGCTGCTACTATAGCGAAAAAAATGAGTTTAAATATTTTTCTTGCAGGATTTTCAGTATTTTACTGATAGACATTTCTTTCACAATCCGAAACACGATCCAAAAAATGAGAGCTTGTTCGTTGTGGAAAAGGACGAATGGAAATTTATGAGGCAGAATTTATCGCCTACCTTTACCTCATCCAAGATGAAAATGATCTTTCAAAGCGTCATGAAATGTACGGTGCCAATGGTGGAATATTTGGAAAACTGCGCTAAAAATAAGGAGGATATCGATGTTAAAGATGTAAGTTAAATTTTAGATAGTAAAGATAAATCAATCATGGATTATCAAACAATGAGTTCTTAAAAATATTAAGATTAATTAATAAATATTTTTATCTCCTGATCTGAACTCTATCTAAAATAAGTGATTACAGGATTTAATTGCTTTTTTCGATGTTTTTTTCAATTACCTAAAAAAACTATATACAGGAAATTAAACGTATAATTTTCGTAAATTAAAGGTCTACTTTCAACCATAATTTCTTAAACTAACGATTGGTTTCCAAATAATATATTTCAATAATTGATGGGATCTTGTTACTTTTATAAAAAAACGTACATAAATGGTATATTGTTTTATTAGGACTAAAATGAAGGCAAAAAGATATACAGGGTGGTCTGAACTGTAGTCCGGAAACTTCGGCAGCATATTCTGCAGATAAAAATAAGTAAAAAAGTGCGTATAAATCTATGTCCTAAAATGCTTAGTTTTGGAGATATAGGGTGTAGAAGTTTCATTTTTATTGCGATTTTTTCCAAATAATTTAAGAAGTAACGTCAGTATTTGGATGAAAATTGGTGTCTAATAAGAGTCAAATTTCTGAAGCGTTTTTAACTTCGAATTCTCAATTTATATTTACGAGACTCAATATACAGGGTCGTCCGAACTGTATTCCGGAAACTTCGGCAGCATATTCTGCAGATAAAAATAAGTAAAAAAGTTCGTAAATGTATGTTCTAAAATGCTTAGTTTCGGAGATACAGGGTGTAGAAGTTTCATTTTTATTTCGATTTTTCTCAAATAATTTCTGAAGTAACGTCTATATTTGGATGAAAATTGGTGTCTGGAAGTTTTTTGACATGAGGAATTTGATTTTGATGTCAATATGACTCCTACTTGTAGAGGGCGCCATATTTTTTAACTGGTTTGAAGAATAATAACTTTTCGTCCGTACCTGTATAAAACTACTGAGTAAAACATATACATACGATGTTTTTTACGTAAAAAAGGTCTCTTGGAAAAAATAGCTACGAGTAATAGTTCTCGAGATATTTGGAATCATAATTATCAATACCTATCATTATTGACTTAAATTAAATATATATTGACTAAATAGTTAATAGACTGAAATCATAGATTTGTAATGTTTTTGTGCCAAAAGTTCAACAGAAACTGTTTTATCATAATTTTTTCACAGAAAAATTTGTCATTATTTAAAAAAAAAAATTCACAAATTTATTATTTCAGTCAAATAACTATCTACTCAACATGGTTTATTTGTCAATAATGACATGTATTGACTATTTCCATTCTAAATATCTTGAGAACGGTTGCTCGTAGCGATTTTTACCAAGAGTTATTTTTTATGTAAAAAGTCACTGACATGTATACTTTTTCACTCAATAGTGTTATACAGGTATGGACGAAAAGTTATTACTCTTCCAAACAGTTAAAACACATGTAGGTGGCGCCCACTACAAGTAGCAGTCATATCGACATCAAAATCAAATTACTCAGGTCAAAAAATTCCCAGACACCAATTTTCATCCAAATATTGACGTTACTTCAGAAATTATTTGGAAAAAGTCGAAATAAAAATGACCAACTTCTACACCCTGTATCTCCAAAACTAAGCATTTTAGGACATACATTTATACGAACTTTTTTACTTAATTTTATCTGCAGAATATGCTGCCGAAGTTTCCGGAATACAGTTCGGACCACCCTGTGTAATAAATATTATTACATGTGATTTATTATTTTACCTTAATTAATATATCCTTTGCATAATCTGGATCTACCAAGACCAATGTTGGATTTGCCCAATTCCAGACACCTCCAAATTTAAGGCCTCTCTTTTTGAGCTCCCTGTACCAACCGAGGGTTTCGATTCCATAAGAGAATGAACCCAAACCCACTGAATTATTGTTACCTAAAAAAACAAAAACTATGTGTATTAACTATAAAATACCCTAGAGATGTCCAGGTCCACTCCAACTCATTGCTTTATGTTTGTATAATCATTTACTACTAATCCCCCTCAAGGAATATAAGTACCGGGTGGCCAACTAAGAGTGGACGCCGGCTATATCTCAGAAACTATACTTATCGCTTATCGTATAACTTTGGGAAAAAAATTCTAATAAGTAAATCGATCAAGAGAAATCGCTGGAAATTATTTTCAAGTTCGAAAAATGCCCGCTAGGATTTATACGAACTTTTTTACTTCTTTTTATCTGCAAAATATGCTGCTGAAGTTTCCAGAATACAATTCGGACCACCCTGTTTCAATAATAAATGTATTTTTACAGGCGTATCTTACATTTGCCTATTTTTTTTAGTTTTGTCAGAGGTTTGTGTTTTGAGTAAAATCTCAAATGAATTGGTTAACCTAAAATTCATCAACTGATCTGTTTAAATGTAGTGATACTTCTGATCGAAACTTAGTGTAAGGAAAAATAAATAGAAAGACAATAAAAGTCCGAAATTATTTTAGTTTCTATAACTTATAAACATACAGAATGTTGATAACGTAGGAGGTGGCAACATTGCATTCTCTCGAAGCACTATAAACAAATTTCCGGAAACTGAACAAGCGGCACTCAAAAGTTTTTCAATATTTTCCGAAAAATGCCAAGAAAAATATAAAATTTTCAACATTTTTTTTTCGCAAAAAACACCGTGGGCCTGTTTCTGGGGTCGAACGATACTACCAGTTAAATACTTGCACTTATTTAGGTTTGGTTGAACATCCTGTATAAGAATTTTTTTTTCTAGACTATGGCTGCCTATACCATTAACGTGATAGGATCGTCGATTTACGGTCTGGAATTGGCCTGTTTCCAGGACAAAAACCACAAGTTTCGCGAAATAGGCCGCGAAATCTTCAGGATCGATCTGGTGAAGGGCGCCAAAATCGCCTTCAGCCGTTTGTGGGAAGGGGCGGCGATCGAAGCCGGGTTAGGACCTCTTTCCCAAAAAATAACGCAGTATTTTACCGACGTGGTAACGGAGACCATGGAGCATAGAACAAAAAATAACGAGAAGCGACAGGATTTTATGCAGCTCGTTATCGACCTGTACCAAGCGACAAAAGACCAAGACAGGCCGTTTACTTTCGATCATTTGGTGGCCAATATTATCGTTTTCTTTATTGCTGGTAAGTTATGATAGGTCAGAGTAAAGGTTGAACGAGTTTTGGCGAGAGAAGAGAACAAATTTGAACGAACGAGTCGTAAGAATTGAATCGGATCACAATGCGACTCGTTCGTTTCTACGGCTCGTTCGTTCAAAGAATCGTGAGAATTGATTCATTGTTTACTATACGTTCGTTTAAAAATATAGATTAGAATTATACATGGTGTTTCAAAATATATGTACCATCTCTCTTGGGGAGATTCCTCACGTAAAAATAAGATTTATTTTTCATATCTGAGTTGGTCCGATTCTGCTTTGTTTCGTAGCTACAGGGTGTGAAAGTCTTAATATTTATTTTTTTCGATTTATTATACTTTTCTTCCAAGTACTTTTTTTATGAAAAATGTACTTTTTGTATTTTGTTATGACTTTTGTAATAATATGAATTATTTACAGGTTTTGATACATCCGCAACCACTCTTCACTACGCTTTATATGAACTGTCTGTGAATCCGGACATTCAAGAAAAGGCCAGAGATGAAATCAAGCAAGTGTTAGAGAAGCATAACAACGTCATAACGTATGAGACGTTTCAAGATATGACATACGTCAGACAGATTATCGAGGGTAAGTGTGAAATCTTAAACGAACTGACTACTGTCATTTGCTCGACAGTTCTGAAGGTTGTAGCATTGAGGGTTATCAGTTTCCTTGTAGTTATTAAAAGTTATTAGATATAACTCATCATACAGTCTCAGGGCTTTGATAAAAGCCAGTATCTGAGACAGTTTTACAGAGGTTAGTTCTGCGTCTTCGATAACAGTCGTACCAAAGTTTATGACACGAATGGTTGTCGTTTCAGTGCTCTCCAGTAATGAGGTGTTCTGGTGTTTCATACTTAAATCAAGGAAAATCTTTCATTTTTCAAGTCCTGAGACATTTTTTCGAGTGTCTTAGATCGTTCGGAAATTTCAATTCCAGGTTAGGTGGAAAAATCAACCTTGTGGCATCAGGGGGCACTCCATTGTATTTACCCCTTACTTCTGCATGCGGGGCTCTGTAGAAGTGGACCGACTATCCCTAGCGACTCGTGGGAACACTGTGAGATTTAGTATTAAAAACACCACCGGTGAAGCTGTGGGGAGCCCCCTAGCGACACTGAGCCCCCTAGCGACACTGAGCCCCCTAGCGACACCGGGAACCCCCTAGTGACACTGGGAACATTACAAATGAAAGTTCTAAGGGACCAAATCCAAAGGAAACTACAGGAGGGGCGGCTGACACTTGCTTGGGATCATCCTCCACAAGTGGCACACAAGCTACCACCTTCTCCAGCAAGGGTCGGGAGCCTACCTCTAGACCCAATAAGCGACATAAGCTACCGTTTCGTCTACCCGGCCTGGGTCAACCAGGAGGGCTAGACGATCCTCTGAGAGTAGGTCTTAGCGGAGCAGAAGCACGGAGATCCACGAAGGACTTGCTCCAGAGGAAGCAAAAGCGAAAACACTCCTCCAAGAGTAAAGAAACCAAGAAACAACCTGACTCATCTCCATCAAAGGGCAAGAGAGGGAGCGAGAACCTCTCATCACTTCTCCGGCAGGGAGAGAAAAAAGCCAGGATGGAAAGCAGTCCAACACCGGGAGACAAGCAGGGACGTATCACCAGCTTTGCCACTATTGCTGGACAAGTGAAAATGGCGGTGCTGCCAAAGGATTTCCCAGAGGTTGCTCTGACCACCGACCAGCAAACATCTCTAGAAGAGGCTATACTGGACGAAGTAGTGGCGATCGGATCGCAACACAACGATCTACAAAATGTGGGTCAGCTGCGTTTTGCGGGGATACACTTTCGGGTGGGCATGATCCTCATATATTGTGTATCTCAAGAATAGGCGAATTGGTTGGTGGAAATCGCACCTAAGCTTAAAAATTGGAACTGGTTGCAGTGAAGGTAGAAAACATCCCTAAAGGGGCGGCCATAACGGTCTTTCTGCCGAGGAGCAAGTGGAAAGACACCACCCACCTGCTGAGCTTTATCCAAGGTCAGAACTTCAATGTAAGGACATCGAGTTGGCGAGTCATCAACTCGAGGGAGGAGGGTCATGGTCAGGTCCTCATAAAATATAGGAATTGACCTCAAATCCAAGGAGGCAATAGAGAAAGAGGGACATATCCCCTATTATAGATACGGGACAACACCGGTATCAGGTCTAACGAGAGACCAAGTTAAAGAGGTGGAGAAAATGGAGACAGATCCTCCAGCCTCCACCTCACGGGTTCCTCAGCCGGAGGCAAACTCCTCGATTCTGAAGAGCGGCACGGACGGCCAAACTCCAGCCGTGGAAGGGTTCCATCGGAGGAAGAACTGTTGTGAAAGGAGGATTGGAAATACCCTGTCCCCTTTACAACAGGGGTATGATGGGTTGTAGATTGTGTGATGACTCAAGGAAGGGGGGCACAATAGATCTTTAAGGTTGCAGTGATTAACCTCCCCCTCTTACTCATTCTACATTCTACATTCTAGGTGGAAAAATGAATATTTTTCCATTTGGGAAGCAAAATGGTTTTGGTCCAGTTAGTGGGGTTTTGCTTTTTTATTACCTACTATCCTAAGTTATTAGATAATGCGTCTACAATTTAAAACTTTGATACATTTTTGACTCTGTATAATTTTTTTCTTTTTCAGAAACATTAAGGCTGCATCCTCCACTAAATGCGGTGGCCAGGATAGCTGCAAAGCCGTACAAATTAAGAAACACGAATGTAGTTATCGAAAAAGGAACCAAGGTAGTAATTCCAGTGGTGGGATTCCAAAGGGATCCAGACTATTTTCCAGATCCTGAGCGGTTCGACCCGGACAGATTTTCAGCTGAAAATAAAGCCTCCAGAAATCCTTACGTCTATATGCCTTTCGGCGAAGGACCCAGAATGTGCATAGGTACGTATAAAATACATATATGAAATATAGATCATAACAAATAAACTTTTAGTCACGTGATTAAGCTTGACTGGCACAGCGTTGCCCACTTTTACATATTTTCTTTTAATCAAAATATTTTAGGGAACGAAAATAAATTAATTATAAATATATAAACAGTTATTATTTACATCAACAAAACTCACCTTCTTAACAGCACTTAAGGGACATAAAGGGCCATTACTACAGCATTCCCGTTCAAAATATTCTAATAAGGTTGCGATGAGTTTTTTGCAACGGCTATTAAGCTATCTTGTACACTTTGCAATAAAGAGGTTCTAGAAAGAATACTGTTCGACTGCAAGGTCTGCTAGTAAACATTTTCAAGCTTAAAGTATCACAACACAATTCATTTAAACCAAAAACTCGTAATACAAAACTAAAGTGTCAAAACGAATGACAATATCAGAAAATAAATAAATGAATGCGGCAACTTGACATTTTTTACAGCAGAGCTTCCAATTTGAACTACCCCAGCGGGAAATGTAAATCATACAATAAATATGTCCACGGTTGGCAACAATGAATTTAAAAATCGCGCCCTCAATTGCGTCACTACAAGTTTAATTGGTATCGCTTATAGTATAAAAATGGTTTAATGCATGCATTTTATGTTTGTTTCTAAGGTATGCGATTGGCTCTAATGCAAACGACAATTGGCTTAGTGCAAATACTTAGGAACTTCAAAATTTCGTTAAGTCCACGCACCAAGCTGCCTGTCACTGAGAAAAAGGGAGTTTTTGTAATGGCTCCAGACGAACTGATATACGTAAATGCCGAAAAGATTTAGGTTTATATATTATGTATTTTTATTTATATTAAATATATATTTTTATATTTGTGTTTTAATATACCTTAGTTTAAACACGATCTGTTAATTTAACTACTATTTATACAGTGTGTTTCAAAAAACGTAATGGTCCACGCCTCTGCTCCATACAGAAGGGTTGAGAGCACGTAGCATCTCAGTGCGGACGTTGAGGGACAGGTTGCATAGTATATTTCGCATTTTGTTAAATGTCCCTCTCGCGATTTCGATTCGGTGTTTTATTTCGCGAGAGTGGTCCCAGTTTTTAGTCAGGGTGCAGCCCAGGTATGCAACTGTCTCGGCCGCTGGGAGAACGATGTTGTTAGCAGTAAACTGAAAGTTGTTGATGTAGTTCTTGCTAATGATCAACGTTTGAGTCTTCTTGCAGTTCATCTTCATTCCGTATCTGCTGCATATATTAGCCACACGATCTATAAGCCTTTGGAGACCTTCAGTGGTATCGGCCAACAGAATGGTATCATCTGCATATCTCAAATTGTTTACTATTTCTCCGTTTATTACCAGTCCATCCTCTGTGCCATCCAGTGCCTCTCTAAATAGATGTTCCGAGTACACATGACTAGCAGAGGCGACAATATACAGCTCTGTCGCACTCCCCTCCTTACACTAAACTCTTCTGAAGTTTCGTTCTCGATTCGAACCACGGCCTTTTGTTGACGATAAAGTTTTGCTATTATCTCTGTATCTCTATCGTCTATTCCTGATTCCTGGAAAATTGAGATGGCTTTGTCATGCTGGACTCTATCAAAGGCCTTTTCGAAGTCTATGAAGCACGCAAAGACATCTACATTGACGTCGCGTGCTCGTTGGATTAGGACTTGTATTGAAAACAAAGCCTCTCTGGTGCCCAATCCCTTTCTGAAGCCGAACTGAGTTTCACCTACATTTTCATCAAAATGTACAGATTACAGAAATTTTTTTGTTTCAAGAAAATGTACAGATTACAGAAATAAATTGGAAATAATATTTATATTAAAACAGCATTATACTATGTCATTTTTTCAAACACATCCTTCAAATCCTTCAATTTAATAGCTATTAGTAAGACGTTTCACTTCAAATATGCAAACATAGTGCACACACTGTTATATATAGTACAGTATGATCGAAAAAAAAACGGCGTCGAGTTGGCTTGGAAATGAACATCGATGACATTCCCTACATAATTTTACATTTAAAATTACAGCGATCTTCATTTCATAGCCATCGCTGACACCGTTTTTTCAATCATATTATACCATTGAATTTACTAATCTATTCCATACTAATTTAGAGAACCTGAATGAAGTATTGTAGTCTAGATTAATTAAAAACGCTTCTAATATTTAAAGTAAAAAAACAGAATAATTGAACTACACGCTTTATATTTTACTCAGTTCAAACGTACGAATATTCCTGTCTCTAGAACCAAACCTATTGCCATATTTGAGCCCCGCACTGACAGAATTATGGCATCCTTAATTGAATTTAATAGCGATGACATTTATAGCCGATCCCAGATTTTCACACACACAAGCCCAAATTTACGATGTCGGCGTGCCACATGGGGTGTTTACTGTTTCCAGCTTGGCTGTCAGATAATAATTGGGGTTTACTACTGTCGTATACACGGCCAGGATTATTTTTCATAATTGGGCTACTTAGGTGATTAAATTGCATGGTAGGTATGTCACGAAGTTTGTGTTTATCGGTGTGATCAGGAAGTAACTTATTTTTAAATGCGTTGGTTGTCAAATGAGGCACAATGTAAATAAAGAAAATACTGTAAAGGTCAGGCAATAGTGCGTCGGGCATCTGTAACTCCTAGAATAGAAAACTTGGGAATTTTTTTGGGAAGTGCAAATCTAAAGTATGTAGGAGGATGTTTTTCAGGAAGCTCAAAAAAGTGTCAGTGAAACGGGATGTTTTTTTTTTAATTGAGCACTGAATTTTTGATTTGGTTTGTATCATTTTGCGATAATTTTAGAGATATTAATAAATAAATAAAAACTATATATTTTTTAAACTTCTTTAAAAAATGCAGCTATATACAGGGTGTTCCATTTAAAAAAATCTTCCCGATCTACTCACATCACTGCATAGTAGATTTTTATCTTTAAATTGTGACTTTTCTTTATCTTTAAATTGTGAAATATACAGGGTGGTCCGAATTCTATTCCGGAAACTTTGGCAGCATATTCTGCAGATAAAAATAAGTAAAAATATTCGTATAAATGTATGTCCTAAAATGCTTAGTTTCAGAGATACAGGGTGTAGAAGTTTCAATTTTATTTAGATTTTTTCTAAACTAAAAATATTTGGATGAAAATTGGTGCCTGCGAGTTTTTTGACATGAGAAATTTTATTTTGATGTCAGTATGATTCCTACTAGTAGAGGGCGCCACTTACATGTGTTTTAAGTGCTTTGAAGCGTGATAACTTTTTTTCCGTACCTGTATAAAACTACCGAGCGAAAAAATATACATCTCTGTGACATTTTACGTAAAAAATATCTCTTTGTAAAAATCGCTACGAGCAACCGTTTTTAAGATATTTAGAATAAAAATAGTCAATACATGTCATTATTACGAAAAATAAACACGTTGAGTAGATAGTTATTTCACTGAAATAATAAATTTGGGAAGTTTTAATTTTTTTTCAATTATTCATAAATTTTTCTGCAAAGAATTATGATAAAACAGTTTCTGTTGAAGTTTTGACACAAAAACCTTTCAAATTTATGATTTCAGTCTAATAACTATTTAGTCAACATGTTTAATTTATGTCAATGATGACAGCTTTTGATAATCTCGATTCCAAATATCTCGAAAACCACGGACGAAAATTTATTACTCTTCAAACCAGTTAAAAAATATGTAGGTGGCGCCCTCTACAAGTAGGAGTCATATTGATATCAAAATCAAATTTCTCATGTCAAAAAACTCCCAGACACCAATTTTCATCCAAATATAGACGTTACTTCAGAAATTATTTGAGAAAAATCGAAATAAAAATGAAACTTCTACACCCTGTATCTCCGAAACTAAGCATTTTAGAACATACATTTATACGAACTTTTTTACTTATTTTCATCTGCAGAATATGCTGCCGAAGTTTCCGGAATACAGTTCGGACGACCCTGTATATTGAGTCTCGTAAATATAAATTGAAAATTCGAAGTTAAAAACGCTTCAGAAATTTGACTCTTAAGTTCGTCACAAAAAGGATATAAATTAGAACTTAGTTTATATGGTTTTCACTAACGATTTTCAACTTTTATTCTACAGTACCCTACTCAGTGTTGCACGACTTATATTACTATCGATTTATTTGACGTATGAATGGTTTTTGTACCTGTTCATTTTATGGGAAATGGTTTGAGATAAAGACCTTCGGAAATCGGAAGGTCCCAATTTACAATGGATGTGCATCGACCTATTGCAAAATAAAAAATTACTCGGTTTGACGAATATGAATTATAAACGAGGGAAGTAATTTTAGTTTTTTCTATTGATGTATTTTCAATCCCTTGTGATAGGATCATATATTTGTTCATTAATCTCTATAATAGAATTGTAATACATCTTTTATAAACGCCATGAAGAGTTTAGTCCTATAAAAATGTACTTTTAGTCGAAATCGAACTAACTTCCAGGTAAAACATTATGTATAAGTGACACCATTTAAACTTTTACTTACGCAATCGAGGACGCGATTTTTTAATTCATTGTTGCTAACCAAATATTCGGCGCCGGGCTGACTAACTGGAATTTAAATTTCCCGCTGGGGATTCAGGTGGTAGCTCTGCTGTAAAAAATGTCAAGTTCCCACATTTATTTATTTATTTCCTGAAATTGTCATTCTTTTTGACACTTTAGTTTTGTATCACCTGAGTTTTTGTTTTAAATCAGATCTTGCAGTCGAACATTGTTCTTTTTAGAACCTCTTGGTACAAGATAGCCAATGCAAAAACTCATCGCAACCTTATATTAGAATATTTTGAAATTTCGGTAGTAATGGCCCTTTATGTCCTTTAAGTGCTGTTAAGGAAGTGAGTTTTGTTGATGTAAATAATAGATACTGTTTATATATTTATAATTATTTTTTTTTTGTTTTCTAAAATATTTTGATTAAAAGAAAATATGTGAAATTGGGCAGCGCTGTGCCAGTCAAGTCTAATCATGTGACTAAAATTTTAATTGGTATGCACTATATTTATACAGGGTGTCCCAGAAATAAGTGCAAGTATTTGAAGGGGTGATAGAACTCGATAAAAGAAACATATTTTCTCTTTATCGTTTTTCAAATAAGTCCAAAATAACGGAGTTATTTTACTTTGAAAATTTCAAGAAAAATTATTTTTTGCTAAAATTTTGAGAACCACTGGATCTCTCCTGGATTTTCTTTCTTGTAAATTTAATCTAATACCTATATTGCCATATTATCAAGAAATTTTGTTTTTTAACTAACAACTAAAAAAATTACCAAAATTTTTTTTAAATTTTTTTTTCCCGAAAAAAACCTCATAGGCGTTATTCTGGGGTTGAACTATACTACTAGTTAAAATACTTGCACTTATTTCTGGAACACCCTGTATAGTAAGTATACAATAAACAACGATAAAAAAAATATTTCGTAAAACATTTCCCACGAATTTCGTCTTAAACCGTTTTTTTTTCTTAACGCCGATGAAAGAAAAGGAAACAATTTTATCATCAAAACCGATTTCAATCTAGGCAATTATGTCCTTTTGTCCCTTTCTCTACGCTCTACTAACTTTTTAAACTTATTTTCTCATGTTCTAGTATCCTAAGTTTTCGGAAGACACTTTCAAACTGTCATAATAAAATTAATATCTGTTTGTTGTCAGAGTTGTTATATTTGTTTCGCTATAACATAAAAATAATCGAGAAATTATTATCTGTCACTAATCTTGACTGTTCAGTCAAAATGTACCTATGAAGCAAAACCGCGTGAGTAAA